GCAAAATGAAAATTAGTCCCTGGGCAGCTTCGAACCGACGATTACACACGTTGGTCACTTGGGGGCAACCTCATCACAATGATGTCCGACTGGTACACCTTGTAGTCAGGCGAGCTGATGAGGTTCATGACTTGGTCGTAGATGATGCTGGCATCAGGGTCATCGACGGCACCGTGGCCACAAATCAATAGCTGGGGCACCTCCGCTTCGGTTACCCTTCCAGACTCTTTGAGCATGACACGGAGGCGAGCATACGAGTCGATGACATTTGGAATACCCTTTGCTGGGTCGAAGCGGGCAATTTGGACGACGTAGTCCCGCTGAGGCCATTTGAGCTCGTTCATCTTCTCCTTCACACAGAGGTTCCGGAATTCACCCATGTAGAACTGGCTATCCCATGGGTGGAGGTGCTTGTTCAACCCATCGAGCCTTGCAAACAAATACGTCAACGGATGAAGTAATGAACTCGAACTTGGCTTACCAGTCAGTGGCGGCACCCAGTAATGCGAGCTTCTCGATAGGAACATCACTAGGGACGAACTTGCTGACTGGATGACTGATGAAGAGATCTGCTAGTTGAATGTTGTTCCAGAGGTATTTCCAGACTTCTTCCTGAGGAGATCCTTTCACATGCACGAGATCGCTGCGGATCTCAATGTGCGATCGATAGACGATGGGTAGGTCGGGTCTGACTTTTTTTATGAGCGGAATAAGACCAGGCATCTGAGGGTCATCTGCAATGTACAACGATGAGCAGTTGATACCTGAGAAGAGGACCAAGAACTCACCAATGAAGGCAATGTCAACGCCGCCAGGGGCCAAGGGCCCGCCCTCCGCAGTCCATCTAAGTCCGTTTTTAAGAATCCATGCATCAAATTGATCTTTCGCCTCCTGGGTGAGGCGAAGGTCTGGGGCAGCAACACCTTGCAAGATGTTGTGGTTGTTTTTCGTAGTACGGAATACGCTCGGCGATGGGTTCGGCACATACCTAGCAGTCGTCGCCAAGCGTCAGTATCCAGGTACAAGAGAAATAGAATCATGGGGATGCGGGGAATGTTACGTACCATGCAGCGTCAACATCCAGGGCAGTAAGGAACCTGATGAGAGCATGTCGCATCTGTCATGGGCGTGAGTAAAACTATACCGGGACCCGTGAAAAGTACGCACCAAAGCTACTCCACCTACAAGCGCCAGGAAAAGCCACAAAATTATGATCCGATATAGGACAATTGACGATAAGTTACTCACCCCCTTGAGGTGTGGAAGAGAAGAAACCGATCTTGACTTTTTTCTCTCGCAATTCGTCTGCGAGTTTGTTGACGGCATTCCAAGTACCTGGTCCAACAGATTTCCTGTAGACGTCAAGATCATCTATCAGATGGATCTTGCCGGCCGCATCGACAGTAACTTGATTACGGGGACCGATGGTGAGGCGAGGGTTATTGTTGGGGCCGTAATACATTAGACATTTTCGGGCGGCAGAATCAGCTTGCTCATCAAGAGTACGCGGGATCGGAAGCTTCGTAGCGACACCTGACTGGAGGTTGTCGGTCTGATCCAAAAGTGGGGAAGGATCAACATAGACTGTGGGGGTCTCAGCACCGGAGGGAACATATGAACCGGTGGTTGAGGAGATGCGATGCTTGATGTTTGGGCGCGTCAGTGAATCAGTGTGGAATGGCTTGATATTGAAGACGATCGGGACAATATCAGCCTCAAGCCATAAATGAGTGCAGAGATTGGGACACTGGACGAATATGTAAGCATCGATAACAAACGAGATAGAGTGAATACTCGCCTCTTTCAAGAGACCAAGGGTAACACCAGCGCCAAGGAACTTGCACAAGTGCTCCTGAGAGAACTTTTTGATGGTCTGAAGAACGTGATTCGCAATGTCAGACGCGGACTTAGTAGGATCGTTGGAGGTGTAAGGCACGATGGCCGATGCGAAATCGGTGTTGTAGACGGAGTCATGTATGGAAATCGCGATCTCAAAGCCTTGTCCGCCATTCACAAGAGCGCCAGCGATACCTGCCCACATAGGCTTATAACACGGCATCAGCATCAGCATGATGCACTAAGGGAATGATCGATCAAACATACAGTGAGGGAGGAGTAGGCATGGAAAGCAGGTTTGCCTGCAGCGTCAACGCTAGAAAGCCTGCGCTTGGCATGACTAGAGCCTTTGGATTCGAAGTCAGTAGAAGGAGGAGACATGGTAAACGAGGTTGAAGCTAGTAGAAAGGGTAGCGCACTATTTAAGCGAAACGGAAATCAGATTGGCGCTGGTGGGACTAATCTTGGTTGAGGATTTTGTGCCCCACAAGCATAAGAAACTCACACTGTATGTAGCCTAGTAAGTCAGGCAGAGGACCCTGATCACATCCGAGTGCCAAGCAAGAACAACGCGACCTAAACTGGATCTGTTTGAAAGAGGAAATAGGAGTTTATGAGGGTCTTGAGCGGTTGAACGTTGAACCTTACGAACATGTCCAACAAAACGTTTCATCCAGTGGAGTTGAAGGAGTTGATCTAATCATTCCTGAAATAAGCACTGGGTTTTCGGGGTCTTAACCCAACCCACTTTTGTCAAAGTACATGCATGACCTGCCCGGACTGTGGGGGAACTTTTGTCTGGGACGACGACGTCTGCTCATCCATCTGCATAAAATGTGGTACACTATCTAATTCTGATCAGTATGTCCTTGCCTCTCATACAGAATCCCATGACTCTTCTGGGCGCCAGTTTCAACTTAGCTCGTGGCTTTCCTCCTCGGCGGCTCCCCTCAAAAATATTCACAAGCAGGGATGGAATCTCGCTGGGCAGCACAAAGAAGCGCGTGATAGAGGGAACGCTGTAAGTTTTCTTTTCTTGGAAATTATTTACTCACCACACGCCATGTCAGATCGCCATGAGCATTTTCATCACTTCCGTCCTGACCAAGTTGCAAAATCCCGGTCTATCTCCACGTGCAGAAGCTATCTTCACACAAGCTATGACAAAAGGCAAATACAGGTGGGGACGCAAGGCAAAGCTAGCTGCCGGTGCATCTATGGCTATTGCCCTACGTGAGGCACACAAGTCGGACTCCCTCCGCGACATTGCCTTTTTCCTTGATGTCTCGCCGTTGTCTCTGTCGCGCGCATTCGTGGCCGTGGTATCTCTCCTGAATTTTGACCTAAATTCATCAGACCCAGTTGCCCATCTTCCCATCCTCCTGTCTCATCTTCAGTCCTTATTACATCCTGAGTCTGCCACTTCTCATCTACCTTCAGATCTCGTTACCATCCTCACACCATTGTCGTCTCATGCGGTATTGCGTATTGCTACGTCCCTGTCGGGTATCATTAGCCGAGAGGCTTGCGCTATACCCGTACTACAGTCTCCCACCCCTCCTGTCGCTTGTGCGATGCTCATTCTCGCACTTGAAGCGGAGACACGCAGCCCCCTGCCACACCTAAGTGAACTGGCTAATGCGCTCGCGTCACGCTTTGGCTTTGCGCGTGGTGTAGTTACATCGCGTTACAAAGCATCCTATGATTTACTCGAGGAATGGATCCGGGAAGTCCCTTGGCTCGATCAATTCATATATAAGGGAAAGGGTCGCGGTGCTTCTGCCCGGTCGAAAGTTCCGAAGCGCTCTATTGTTGCGAAGGGGATCATAGATGTCATTCAATTTCAAGAAGAGATATGGACGAAGAAAATGTCCGCTCTTGGAAAGCCCAGTATCATAATTGAGGCGGATCCGGCAGACGAAGACGGCAAGAAGGACGAGGAGGCATTTTTCTCGGAGACGTCTTCAATCAGTGAGCTTCCTGAGCTTCGTCGTCAACAGCCCCGTAAGAAACGAAAAACAAACGATCATAGCATCGAGGATGTATACCATTTCCTGCTCAATCCTTTGTCCGCGAAATCTCATACTCTGTCGAATCCTATCGTATCCGAGGGCCCGGCCGCTTCGACAACGCATTCTGATACTTCCTCATCTATCTTAACACCGCCAACTGTTCCATTTACGACGCATCTCCTCAGTACTTCGTCGTACGATTCGAAGCATTCTCTTTCTCGTCTCCAGCTCCTGGCTCTTAGCCGAGGTGGGGGGTCTGCGGAGCACATCCGTGATGACGAGCTATTTGTAGAGAATGAATTAGAAGAGCTTCTTCGAAATAGCGAGGAACAAGAGGCCTTGAAGCCACTATTCAGACTCCAATGGCAAGAAGAAGATGACACAGTCGCACACCACGCAGATCGTGGACCACAAACCGCCAGAATGGAGGTGAGTCGGGGTTCGGGACGCATCGACATGGCAGCTCTGGCACATATTCTAGGTGGGGAAGAAGTTGTTGATGATGATGATGATGAGGAGGGTGAGGTCGAAAGCGGATCATCGGCGCCGGCGACGCCAAGACACATTCAATCAGATGTTGCCGAGGAGGTAAGCGCTTGGCGGGCCCTTTCGCCCGGGAATGCTTTTACGAGGCATTGCACCAGTATGGATAGGTACGAAGAGGAGTACTGATGTGTCTGATGGTCGGACCCGAGGCACCCCAACAGTTGATATTCTTACTTTTTCATGCCTACAGCACTTCTACTGTCATGTAAGTATCCATGTGAATATTTCGCGCTCAGAAAGGTTATTGAACTTGCCTCTTTTTTTTTTTTTTTTGAAAGCTGGAGCACAAGGTAATTTTTCATTTTGTTCGTATCTAGCCTGCGTGATATGGCGAATATCACGCCTTCCTGGTACCTAGGCTTGTTGCAATCTGGATAGCTGGGCCCGATAGTCAGATGTTGGAGGTAGTACAGAGATCCAAGGATCGATTTAAGAGCTAATTGTACTCGGCTTAACCATAACCTAAAAGTAATTTCGGAGTACATCGTCCTCGTGGCCTGTCAAAGTGAAAGGCCTTCTCTGTTCCTATCCATAATCAGCGATAGGTAATTAACGAACACTAAACAAGTTGAGTTATGCAGTGGTTTAAGGACGCTAAAAATATCATCAATTTTCCACTTGTAGGCCAGGATCGAACCCCTTTGGAAAGACCTGTCGGACATTGATATTAATCCGAGTTGTCCGCATGTATAATTCATATGATGTCCAACTAGAGAGTCCTTCGCCATCCAATTTTAGGGAGAAGTGCTCGGGTAGAGTGTCCTCCAAGATACGGGGGACGCCTGGCAGATTTGGATCAGATCTGATGTAAGCACACGACAGGCTCGGACAAACCGTGATAGGCCCGTCTACAAGCAGGTCCTGACATTATCACAACATCACCCGAGCGAAGAAGAATTGCCGTTGGCTCCACGTCTCTGGTGAGACCACCGATGAGGAAGATAGCGGCGTTGCCCAGCCTGTCGCGAAATCGCCACATCAAAAATTATTGATCACCGAAGATAAGCTTTGATAACTAACGATATCGAAACTAAAGGTGATGTAGCACAGACTTCTGAGCGATCTACGTGAGCCATGAGAGTATCCTACAGGAACAATTAAGACACACTTCTTGTTTATTTCGGGAATGAACCATACCTTGATTTGATAGTAATTAACGATGCCAGCATCAGGTTCTACGATTCTCGCGGTTAGTCAGGCGAGATCAAGAACTCGAGAATTCATACCATATGTCTCATGCCAACTTCTCCAATGTTCATCACTCCATCCTTCCTCGTCCGATTGACCAAAAACTTTTTTCCAGTCAACACTGGAGACAGCCCGCTTGCATATGGCTCCGATTTCATTGTCGACATGACCCTTGCCCTTGGTGAAGTCATACTGCTTACTACCCCAATGATATGACCATCCGATATTTGCCCAGCGCAACTTTGAAATCAGTGTAGTGGGTGAGGCTGGTGAAACAGTCGGGGACGGCGCGGGCAGAGGCTTTGGTGAATGCAGCATCGATTGAAAATTGGCGGGATCAGCCGGTGTATTAGAGACCAATTGCCTTGGTCCAGAGTTTCCGGATTTCGTGTTTGACAACTCTGGAGTACATGCTCGTGTTCTGACCAAAGGTGCATCTGAACTGAGATGTGCATTCCATAATCCTTCCTCGGGCAGGATATAATGAGCATCGAGGTTTGTCTCGTTGGGATGCCGTGCATGGTCACGAAGAGCCCATCGCACTAGCCGACGTTGATCCTGCGGGGAAACAAACGATGGAAGTATAACAAGACCTGGTAGAGGGTTATTGATTTCACCTGCATGGTATCTCCTCTTGCATACCTGGGACGCGGGGAACTGTGAATGCTTTACCGACGCCAGAAGACGTTGATTCATTCGTCTCAAGAAGTCTGATCTCAACCCCGTTGCAATAAAAACCTCGATCACTGGCTAGTGTTTCAGCATCATAAGTGACTGATGTTAAATCCAAGACGTGGCTAAGATCGGGAGGGGGAAAACGTGCTTTGTATTTTTTCTCCGCTGCTCGGAATGGGGTCCATTCTGCATCTAAGTCTTCATTTCTATTCTTTGTCGTCTTCAAGTACTGTCGCCTGGCTTTCTTATAAGCTGCACTAGAGAGGTCATAGATGTCCATGATCAAGATTTAGTAGATTCCTACAAACAAGAACAAAGAATGCTTTGCCAATCGAGCTGAACTGACTGGCGCACGTCAAGCGTGTCCGCTGGCCGAGGTTATCAATCTATAGTCATGAGATTCGTTTACTAATACAATGCACAAGTTGAAGGTCTAAAAGTGCGGATGAAGATATGATGTGAGTAGTGTGATATAAGTGAACAATAATGATAATGATAATGCTGAGTATAACATTGTGATGTCGATGATGATAATGATCCATAGGTAATATGAAGGTGAGAAAAGTTTTCACAAGTATTCGTTCGTAAATGAGGGCTGGGCCATCGGATACATCGTATTGTCTGGGCACGCGTAGAGGTCTTCAAAGTACCCGGAGCCATATTTCTGCAAAAACTCGTCCAATTCAGCTGGTAGGGGGTTGTTCAGATGTTTTCCTGAGTCGGGCTGGAACTGAAAGTTGACATCAGGAACGGGCTGCTGATAGTTGACATCAGAAAATAGCTCTGGGTCGAACTGCGGCATATGGAGAGTGGAGAGATCGATGGGGACAGTTGAGGGCCGGAAGTAGTTGAAGGTGGGGATGGGGAGCTGAGAAGGTTGTTCGTAGATGGAGGCGAAGCTCTCGGCAGGGAGATCGGGGAAGAGTCGCTCCCAGGGAAGTTCAGTGAGCTCGCCCGAGGATTGGGGGATGCCGGAGTCGCTGAACTCAGCAGGTGAGAGCGCATCGCAGGGAACCAGCCCTGCGAGCTCGGGAAATGCTAGGTGGTTGAGATCCAGCGATGCAGGAATCTCTATTTCTGGCTTCATAAACCGAGTAGAGGGGTAAGGCGCGGCGGCGGTCCGTCGGGCAGCTTTTCCACCGGGGCTGCGACGCGCTTTGGGCTCGTAGCCATGTAGTTGTTTGCGGTGACGCGTCAAGCTACCCGGATCGGTGGTGGAAAACGCACACCCAGAGTGAGGGCACGTCTTCGAACGTTCACGAGTGTGTGTCCTGATGTGCGTCTGCAGATTTGACTTCTGAAGGGTCTTGTAATCGCAGTTAGGGAATGGGCATGCGTGCATACTGAAAATAGGTCAGGAACCATTTGGGATGGTGATAAGGTACGAGCACGTACAGAGCCTCCTTGTGTTCATCGTGCGTACGCATGTGTCTAGGAAGATCCGCCTTGCGGCTTATAGCCTTGTGGCAGACAGGGCAGTTGACAGGTGTCTGTAGATAAAATGTCATAAGTACAAGGCGTGGGATGTGAGGAAGGTTAGAAGCGTACCGTGTTACGTCCTGCAGCAGGCATATTGTGATAATGTTTGATAGGATAGAAGGGGCTGTGAATGATCTGAGGAGTGGAATTGAATCCTTGAAGTGAATGAATAGCGAGTGCGTTGTGTGAAATCTACACATCTTGCGCGCGTCTTTTAAAGCACCAGGCGCGCTATGGACATCGAGTACGATTGTTTTTCTGCGGCGCGCATTTCTGCCTTTAAAGGCAAAAAGCGCGAAGCAATCGTGTGCGATGGTCCAAGCATAAGGGACGAGCCACTCGGTTAGCAGGGAAGGTAAAAGAGTTGGAAGAGGGTTCGATTGCGTCCTAACACTTTTCATTTTTTGCCTTGTAAGGTAATTTCTGAATACCTTCTCGATGTGGAGACGAGTGGCTCGGTGTTCGGACCTGAAGGCCTCATGAATGGGGAAGTATGCTGTAGGGACCCATACTAGTAGACCCTTCCGAAGAGAGCTTTGCCTCGAGGCGCCGTTGAAGGCATTGAGGATGGTATCGAGTTTCATTTCCTAGTATAAATATCAAGGACAGCATTTGCAGTCACCGGCAATGAAAAAAATTAGAAGACTCGAAGGTGAAGAACAACAAGATCAAGTTGCCAGTCAAACTTGAACCTGCTATTAACACCGCTTACGTCAGCAAGAACAAACTACGATGATAGGGGCTATTTGTACTGAACAAGCACTACTATGATCATCCCTACTACACGCAGGCGGAGTTTTCGAACAACAACCGTCTGGACCTATACTGATCCGTTTGTACCAAGTTTGCCTATCAATGGGTTCCGAGATGGCAACTAATGATGAAAGATGTGGCGGAGAGCTTGAATACTCTCAAGAAGAGGCATAGTGTCGTAGTACACGGTGTCACTTGATTGCATCAATGAAGAAGCCGGGGACCTCAAAAGAATGGAATAATAAGCTTTCTTTTGTACTGGTCAGATATCTCCCTTGTTCTGCATACAAGTTCTGAACTTTTCAGTACTCGGTTTGAGCCCGTATTGCCAAACATATGTACGTATTCAATAGCATACAGTGTTGTATATACAAACCTAGAGTCAATCGCTTCTTGGACCGGAACCAAGTGGCACCCCGACAAGGACCCTGGAACTCAAAACCAACATCGCGCACTCCAGCGCCGAGGACGCCAAACGGCGGCCCCAACGCTTCAAGGCAACCAAGGAAATTCACCATGAAGCTCTCCAAACCTCCCAAGAAACCGACTACAGAACGGGAACTCTCGACAAGATCCTCAATCACATCCATCCGAAGAAGCGCAAGCGTCGGAGCCAGTCAACCCATCACCCGCAACAACTCCCCGACCAATGGTCTGGCAACTCGCAGATCAGTCCGCAACGCGCTCAGTCAGGAAGAAATAGAAGACCTCCCAAACACGGTTCTAAACTACCAGACAGCTGAGGACTACCTCACTAAGAAATCTCTATGCCTTTCAGGAGAACCTTATACGCTGACCCACTTAATCTCTATCTTATTCCAGATAACTCAAATCTCAAGCTCGATACCTCTCCCAGTAATAACAGCCATCAGAGCCGTCGCCTTCATCATGAAGAAACACGAGGCATCTGAGTTAGCGAAGGAAGTGGCGCAGCAAATTACGGAAGCAATTACTCCCAACATCGTTGACAACGTTATCGCTGCCATCGCCCCCCAGGTAGCCAAAGTACTAACCGCTTCAGATCTCCTCGAAACCACGCTAGGCCAGGTGGAACATATCAGAAGCTCGCTAGTGAGAGAACGGGAAGAGAAAGAACAAAACTTTGCCACAGCTGTCGAACGCATTGAAGAAATGGCCGGGAACCTATACGGTGTAGTGGAAGAATGTCAGAATAAGCTAACTCCTCTTCCACCATTACTAGAATCCACGAAGGAGAAAATCGATTCACTCACAACGCAGTTCTCTGACAAGACGGCCAGCTTACCCAGCTCCTCCCTCCCCCAGCGAACATACAGCTCCGTGGTAGCGGCTCACATCCCTCCAAGCGCAGACCGAGCAGTAGGCAGAGCTGCCATACGAGCTCGTATATATATTTTCTACTCTACCGTGACTACCCCTCCTGGGCCACAGCGTCAACGTATCTTATCACTCTATTTTGAATTGTCTCTAGTCGAGTAACCGACTCGCCATCACTAATTTCCAGTCCAACCTCTCCACAAGAGCTTCTGCTATCAACCCCTTCTCCTAGAACCTCTCTTGATAAGACGTGGTGTCGATATACTAGGCAGGGCGTACCGGTAGAAGATTCTTGGACCCACATTCACCAGAATAAACGATGATATCACCAGTAGCCGGTAAATTGGTATCTCCTATCATAGCTGCTTGGTCGCTCTACTGATACTACTTATTATGTATTAGTGTACAATGATGATGCAAACTCATCCTCGCGGAGGTGCAGGATGTGAGCTTAGCCAGCAAGGGGATTATTTCTGGTGTAGATTGGATCGGCTGTGAGAGATAGTGGAGTGTTGATTGGAGGCGTTTATCAGGCCATCATTACCATCAGATGTTCGCAAAATTATCATTCTACGGGCCGTGCGGCTCCTTCGCCTTGTACTGTTGCGGTCATATTGAAAGCACCTGTCCTACCATGAGGCAAACTTCTGCCACTATCACCACGTTTTCATAAGGGAGGTGGTTCTTCGCAAATTATAACATGGTCGGGTCGGACCAAATCACGCTCTGCTGCCCCCACCGCCCCACAAAAATCACAAGGTTATTCGGGACCTTGATACAAATGGTTTCAAATTCTACGAAACATGGACCGGCCCTTACTAGTTGTTCCATGATGTCACATATCATTTTTGTATACCGTTGACTTCACGACAATCTTATATGAACACTACTTATACATCCACCGCTTCAACATAGATATCGGCATCATGTTCTTCCTTCCTCTCCGATATAGAATCTTCGTCTCTGATGACCGGTGTGTTGGATACGGGTCCAGTGTACCAGTGTACGCCTCCGTACACCGGGAAATAATACCAGGAAATTGCCAAAAACATGAACCCTCCAAGCACCACAACCGTATAGTTCATCTCCTGTACCGTTGTTTGTGGGGTCGCGGGAAAGAAGAAAACAAAGCTCATGAAGGTCATCCACACCACAGCGATCACAGAGACCGGAAAGCTCTGCAGAGGCATATTAGGTCAAGAATACATTACGCCGATTAACCCACCAGTTTCCCAAGATAAAACGGACCGGGTTTAAAATCATTCTTGAATACAAAGCGGTTCGTGATCGGCGTTATGTACGCGATGTACGATGCGGTGACAGCAATTGTGAATACCGCATCGATGGCTTGGATGCTTACGAATGACAAAAGTCCAATTGCCAGAGAGCAGATTATTTCGAACCAAACTGTGTTGACGGGTGTTCCTGTGTAGCGATTGATCCGGTACAAATACCGTGAAAAAGGCAGGGCTCCATCACGAGCAAATGCAAACGTTTGGCGAGAGCCGACCAGGAGGCAGTTCGATGCTACCATGTACCTGCTCTATGGTTAGGCTGGGAATAGACTACATGACACTAAAACGTACTCCGCTATAATAACGAGACACCATATAGCCAGGGCCTTTTGCTGCCCGAGCGAATTGAATAAGATTTGTGCCATAGGCTGGCCAAGAGGGCTGTTTAAGACGCCGCCGACATCAGTGCCCATGCAAAAGGCAAGGGAGATGTTGATTCCTGGATCAGAATATGTCATCAAGATCAGAGTGACATGTCATTCCACATACCCAAACCAAGGAAGGCTGATACAATAATGGAACTGACCTGACTGAGATAAATACAGCAATTAGTCATTTTTAGTGTTACTTACTATTGCCCATGGTATCGCCATAGTGGCATTTGAGGCCTCTTCGCTCATATGGACGCTAGCATCATAACCCCCTGGTGGGTTAAAGATCGTCATGGAGCAATGGTTCGAAAGAATATGGTCTAACCTATTGTATAAAGAGGAGCCATTAAGCTCAAAATAAATGCGAATCCGGATGGCCAGCCGGCCACTACAACTAATTGTGAGCTGCGAGCGTAATTGGACGATGATACATACAGTTAGTGAATTCCCCCAGCGCAAATTTTGCGCTGTTTCGATAATCTGGTGGCGTTGCGATCGGAAGCGCGATGATGATTATGAAGCACAGGCTATTGGATGATTTGAAAAAAATGATTGTGGACGAACTCTACAACACCTACGATGCATTAACCAACGTGAATAGTCTCTGCAACCTTGCCAAAACTTTGGTACCGAGGCTCACGAGAACAGCTTGTGACAAACCCAAAGCTGCGTATATACCACTATAACAAACAATATAAAGAGTGTCATGTCTGCATGAGGACGAGCTTACTAGAGCTGCAGGCTGGTAGTTGTATATACCTGGTCAGAGGAGGCAATGGTGATTGCTGCGACGATTTGAATTGTACAAGCCCAGTTTACGGAAGCTAGCACGCGTGATCAGGGGGAGACTGTTGAAAGAATGAAACCCGTCTTACCAACTCCCGTGATCATCTCTATGGTGTTCGAATCTGCAGATGTCAGGACCGGCTGCATGTCGCATCAAAATGCAGGACTTACAGCCAACTATCCACGACAGAAAATTGCGGCATCGTGGAGAAGCGAGAGAGTAAGTCCAATAGTATAGCTAGATCGTGTTAGTCAAGTGTGAAACAGCGACAGCGCCGATGACATACGCCGCCAGAAGTAGGTGCTGCTGATGCGAGCTCTGCCAACGCCAACCCGGTGCACATAATAAAGGGGCAAGCGAATGCCCACTACGCAGAGGAAACGTAAAACGTTACGAAACAGCAATTTCCACGTGTGATGACAGCTTACACCCCAAACCATCGCGAAAGGCCCGCCGTTTGGTATTGCATAGAAGAGCACGGAGCTGAACGGGTTTTGATCAAATTTTAAATTGGCTTGCGTCATAGTGACAACTTACACTATAGAAGGAACCACTCCAACATAGGTGAATGCAAGTCCAGCCACCTGCAATTATTAGCTTGTGTCGTGTACATGGAAGAGTCTGAAATCAATCTCACCTCTAGTGGAGTGAATTCCCTGCAAAATTCCTGCTTATATCCTAGCTTGGCGAGAGTCGCCTCATCTCCACTTGGTTGCGGGTGCAACTTCGAAATCGCTGAAGCGCTCGGAGCTGCCATATTGCACCGTTGTAGGTGGTGATTTCGAATGAGCCTGATCTATTGGCCACGCAGTATAAAAGAGATTAATAGTCAACCGGGAATCACCAGGAAGCACTCTCAGTATCCACATTAGGTGACCGTAACGACCGAGACGCCCTGATGCCATACATGTGGTTCTGTGGAGCCTCTCTGCGATCCAAACGGAAATTGAACCAAGAGATCACTGAAATTTATCCCGGCTTACAATAGAACTGCGGACACTAGTGAACCTGAGAAGGCTAGGTCGACATCCAGTCATGGGCCTCATGCGGGACAGTACAGGTAACAGAAGCCTACCGTAACCTTTACCATACCTCTGCTGTCAGCAGAATAAGCGTTCTGGTTTCTAACTTTTTTGCGCACTTCTCAGGCTTGCCGCTTGCATAGCATAGCTTTCGGAGATGGTCGTGGCCGCGTTTCGGTACCATGGGACAGAACGGCAGTGAAATATGTCCTTGCTGGCTCTGAGTCGTAGTGAATGGGTTCCGTACTGTGTCTCTAGTCAGAGAGAGTCAGGGGATGCACATACTATGGCATCGATGAACGCGTGCTCTGAAATTTTAGCCGACATGTCAAAATCACGTGGATGATGTCGGTAGGGGCAATGCATCATGTGTGTCAGATATCGACTCGTCATTCGCGCGTAATTCAATGAACTGATTGTCTTATCAGAATGGTACTATTTATAGAAAATAATCACACAGACCCGACATGCGACACAGTGCATTCGTTCGAAGCTACTAATAATAGGTTCATAACCGCAATACTACCGACATGTTCCCCACGAACGTAATATTTTATTACGATGCGGACAAGACTCAAGTCAAGTTCGCCTGGCACCGTCTAACGCAATGGGTAGCTCACCGTTGGCGACCCGCCCTCCTTTTCGACGTTGGGCTTACCTAGTCTTGTTTACCATCGCACTCGTCTGCATCGTTCCTTTCCATTCTTCGACCTTTATCTCTTCGGTCTTTCCTCAATCCACTCCACAGGAGTTTGCCCGAAGGAATCGGTGCGCAAGTCGAGAACCGCCTTCTGTAAGGTTAGCCCTTGGCTTCCGTTGAACGTCGTAGCATAAGCCGCACGCAATGGAAACTGCTTTCGATTGACCGTCTAGCTCGAACCCGGCGGATTGAACGTGAAAGTAATCTGAGGGAGACAGTGTCTTTCCTCCGTCTCGGGAATCTGCACTTCTATGAACCGGCGATGAAGACCGGCGATGCAGACACGCGCGTTCCGTACCAATCCTTTCTCGACTGATAGATTCCGTTGAATAGCGCATACGGCGCCGATCTTGAGGTCCAATCGATGGGGAGGAGTATTGGGATGCGTCAACATTGCGAGATAGTCAGGCGTTTGTTCAGGTGCGTCAGGAGGCACCTGTTCAGCTTCTTTCAGGCTGTCCGAACTGAAGTACGATTCTGCGCTCGCTGTCATCATCATCTTTCGTTCTGCGTGTCATAATTGACACTCGTACTCACCATAATCTCCCCGCAATGCATCTAATATCATCTCGTTGAACTCATCTACGAAAACGTTACACGGAGAGAGGAACAACCGCTGGAGCACCAGTGGAGCTCAAGTGGAGCGTGCACATGGGAGTCACAGGATATTGGAAATCGTTCTGTCCTTACAATATGTAGAATAACTTAACGTTGAGATTGGCTGTCGCAGCAATCATATCAACAGGACTATGACATCTGGAAATCAAGGTCTTCTCGTTCGTCACATCTGTGAAAGAGACCACGTAAAGCTTGCGAGTAAACATGATGTGTTTACATTTTCTACACAACCGTTTGAAAAGGCGCGGGCCCGCTGCGCCGCTGCGAGACTCGCGGTGAGGCTACTCGCATTCAAAAGTCGACACAGAAGGCTACACATTTCATAACTGATTCCAGATAGTACGTCTGCGTGAGGAGAGCACCACCCCAACCCGGTGAGCAGTGAGCGTCATAAGCTTGAAGGTCGATACTACTGATCCGGAGAAAACCAAGTCGAGACATCGCGGATCGGATGACTTCCGACGCAGTCGGGACTTGGCCCTCGTCGAGATCGGGTCAGATACTTACCAAATATTCGAAGTGACTCCACAGCAACGGTCATTCAACAAAGTTTACTACGACCAGTTGCTTCCAAGCATCGCTGGACAAACTCGCAGTGATGGGTGTACGAGCTGGTGTTGTCGTTTGCATAACCTCCTTCTTACTCGGTCAGTCTATTTTTTCACGACTTCCTCGGCGTCGACGTGTCATGTTAACATCTACCTTTCAGGTTCACTCTTTACTCATTGGATTGCAGACTCTCTGACTCTGTGGAAGTCACCAGTAACTGACGAGCATTTGTGGACCGCGGCTCTTTACTACTCGATACTGACCAAAGGTCCCGTGCAAATCCTCTACGTACTCTTTGGCATCATTATACTTGGCGGAACAACCATCTTTTGGAGTTTTAATGATTTGGAAGCGGGCAACTTGATGTTTGACGGAGGGAGCATATGTATGTGTTCTGCTCAAGTTCTCCATCGAACGTTTATCACCTATTCTATTTCTTAGTCCTCTACGGCGTTGCCGTCATCATGTATGCGTACTCCGTCATTCCCAGTCAGTCGAACCATAAAACCATGAGTTGCGATACTAAAGATATTCATCCCAGATCTCATGGATAAGTTCACGGAAATCCCGCCCTACCATATGAAGGACGCGTTTCCACGTTTGCTGAGAACACCTACTCTTGACCTCGCGTCAAATCACCTCGTTTGCAGCGTAGCGCTGACAGGTGTCCTGATACTTCAGGCTGGTCGGTGGTGGGCTGAACTATCCGACGGTGATGACGATGAAAACTATCTCTCTGAAAAAGTTGAAGACAATAACGCTGTTGAGGAGACAAAGTCAATGACACCCCTCGTAACAACCGCATGATGAAAGCCACCTTTCCACACATTATCTTCATGCAAGACTGCTTCCCAGTTATCCACACCTCTAGCACTCGTGCGTGCTCAAGTTTCAATCCACTGTTGGATAGTCTGGCCCCATCTAATACCCTTCACGATCATCGCGCATGGCATATCTTGGTTCCCAGGTCATCACATCTTCTTGCGGCAACAATGCTTCCATTGCGCACTGGACGAGTACTATTTACAAGTCGTTAATGATATATCATATGAACATGATGACTGCAAAGACTTGAAAAATGACGACATTTTGGAGATTCCAGAACGATCCGCACGATCCACTCGCCTTTGCTGGCCGAAGCCTCAGTACTAAGTTCTTATGGTACGTATGGATAATAGAGTTGTGCTCTAGTCTATGTGTAAAATGTCTGAATGAGCCTTTACTCCTGGACAATGTCCTCCTTCCTCGGTCTCGAGTCCTTGATTTCTTTGCCCTGACCTATTAACGTTTGGGCCTCATCATCGATCTCGATACCTAGCCTCATGATTAGACCATGTCCCCAATAGATGACCAGGTTGCTCACCAAGGCCCTCTTCCTTTACAAGACCGAGTACGTGCTCCAGCTCCACAAACCCATCTTTGTCGACATCTAGCTTTTGGATCACTGCTTGTCCGACTACGTCGTCAGGCTTGTGCTTGATCACAGCGAGTGCCTTTTCTAAGTCCTTCACAGGTATGCGTCCTTGTGGATCTGCAGAGAACATCTGCAAGGAATTGCCAACACGTGAATCGTATTCTTGCAATTGAGTGTCGATTTTTGTGAGCATTGTCCGGATACGTTTTGTCAGCGCCCCTGAAGGTGACTTGGGATCCTGAGTGAGATAATTAGTATGGAAATTGCAACAAAATTCAAAATACTACCTCTTCCGCCTGAAGGTTCTCCTCCATGAGGGCGCGAAGCTCATCACGTTCTTTCAGGACGCTAGACTGTGCTGACAAAATCGACAACGCTTCGCCAAGCTCCTTCAGTTGCTCGGTGGTCATACGAGCGTTCTCCTCTTCGAACCGTTCCGGATGAAGCTGCACCATGTAAATTAAAACATAGAAGTTAGGGTTTGAGGGTCAAAGTCACCTCAGTGTCAGGCAGAAGAGATTGTGCGGTGCGTGCTTCTGACTCATCGGCCTCACGCTTGGCGCGGCGCGCATCTTCTTCCTTTTGTTCCTGCTCCTCCTCATCTTCAATGAGTTCCTCTTGCTGTTGTAGAACTTCGAGCTTCTGTTTGTAGCTAGCGCTGTCCGAGTCAACCTCTAGTTCAGCCTCATTTAGCTGAGAGCGGACAGCGTCAATGATGAAGAGGAGAGTAAAAGGGAGTACGAACCAAGTTATCTGGCAATCCGCTCAGGACGCTTTCAAGGCTCTTAATGACAGTTGTTTTTCCATCTTCATCTTCACCAGGCTTGCGGTCGAAATGAAATGCTCGCCCGAGAATCAACAGTACACCAGAAACACGATTATGAAGATGCAGGTGAATCCAAGTAGTCAACTCGTCCCGGAGTCGTGCAGGAGAAACGCCAGTGGTACGGATACCACGCGACTGGCATGCAGCCTGCAACTCCGAAGTCGACAACTCATCGACACCTTCCGAGTAAATGACTTGATCGTCTCGGCGAAGATTCATGAGACGGGAACGAATGGCACCCCGAAGGAAATTGTCTGTGCCGAATGCATTGACGCCCATGTACCGACACATTGAAACGAGTTGCGGCCGAGACAAGTTATCAAGAGTAAGGTCATCGTCAAAGAGCTTAGCAACATTGATAATATCCGTTGCAGAGGGCGACTCTCCGGTGGAACGGACCCTCCTGAAAAACTCTTCGAAGGCGTCCGAGCCTACTATGTGGGCATTTGCCTTTAAGCCAGACTCTCGCAACGTTTCCTGGAGGAACTTTGCCATTTCGAGTCTCACTCGGAGGAGCTTTCGTTGTTTCTCTTCCTACTTGTGTATTAGCCAAGCGAAAGGAGAAAATACGCCATAATGCCTTACAGCAGCAAATTTGTCTTCAAAAGTCGAGGGAAGCATATTGGGGAATAGTTTCAAAGCAACAGGAAGTAGGAGCTCCATGAATGGCACAATGATGAAAACAGCGAAGGGTACGAGTCGAAGCAAGTCCTGGGTCGTACGCTTTAGCTAGATACCAATTATCATAAACTTGGCCGTCAGCGGTGTCAGAGATAATGTGCTCGCCTGTCGCCGTTCTCTTCGGGTCAAGCTTTCTCCATGAAGAATCTTCCACTGCAGTCTGGCGGAGATCCTGACTTCCGAAACAAGTAGCTTCGAGCCATGCCAATAGTGCGCCGCTTCGTGTTTCACTTTTTTCCAAGCCCGAGTCATGAACGGTGCGTCAGAGGCAGGATCTTTAGGTGCAGGGGATGCGGCCTTTGGTTCAAGAGTGGATGAATCGTCGGTGACAATTTTAGTCGTAGCATCACGGCTTGCAGGAACAGACGAAGAAGTTGATGTGCTCTGGGAGCGGTGCAAAATAAGAGCATAAGTTACGGAGTGCGGCGACACAATACGAGTACGTGGACCCAGAGAAATGTAACGAGTGGTTCGTGCTTCGATGAGTTGACGGCTATAACACCGCACAAAGGCAGCTTGCTGGGAGCGCGGTAGCCATACTGACATGGACGTTAAGAGAAAGATTGAAGAGTTCTAGCTAGCTAGATTACTGGTCGACCATAAAATTCACGGAATAGCACCAAATTGCTAATTGCATATTACGTCGTTCGGCCAACGTTCGGCAGAATCATATAATCGAACTCCGACACATTCTGAACCCCTTGTCGGTACTGCAGTGTGACTTGTCATCACTACAGGAACCTCTAGATTCCAGGCATGGCTCAATTGTATGGCATACAATTCATGTCATGGAGTCAGCGCTCAGCGCTCAGCATCCATGCACCTGGCCGACATCCTTTCCGTCCATATTCCGGCACACTAGACCAACGTCGATCAGGATAGCTTCATGGCTTGTCACAGCACCTTCTACATCGATCCCGCTTATGGGGTATGCTAGGTTTGTGGAACAGACTGCAAGGATGAGAAGGAGTGATTGTGTGCTCATGAGCATGGGCCTGGAGAGCGATGACGTGAAAGAGCTTGCTAGTGCGTTGTGGGAAATCGTTGATGGTATGGGAATGACTGATAATGAAAAACACCATCTTATTCGAGACAGTACTTTGCAGCAACCCGAAACAAGTGGCATAGGACTATGCATAAATACTTAAAGGGCAACCAAATACAGGGTATGTGTAGAACGAATCCTCAAATCTCAGCAATGCAACACCCTATTCGTATCTCATGTTAGGTCAATGTCCGATCCACCCAAAGAAACAAAGTTTATTTTACTCTCAGGTCCCGTTTGCGTCTTGCAGAGTCGCGAGTCCATTGCGTGACCTCGATACACGAGTACTACGAGCGCTATCTGGCGTACCCTTGTTTTTGATCACTGCTACATTATTATGCTACCTTCAAGCTCTTCAGCATGGATTCGAATGCAAAGAAACACAACAACCAAATTCAAGTCTGAGTGAGTTGCATCAATGATTCAGGCGTAACTGGAAGGCACGAGTAGGCTCCTACTATCTAAGTACCCAAGCAAAAGTACACAAGAACTTTGGTGAAACATTCTAGTCGACAAAAACACGACAGTATACGAAAAAGAAATAAACTATAGCTAGAGTGCAAGAATATGTATTAGGGTCATTTGTACAACATGTGAATATATACCAGACGACAGCCATACGACGTAGAAGCCTCGACGACGTGTTTCGCGACAGCATCGTCGACCTCCCAAAGTGTGCCAACGACGTTCTTGAACCCTGAAAACTGAATACCAGCTGCTAGGCGGACCACTTCGTCGGGCGTCTCCTCATCGCCTACAGCAGTATGACAAGCTAATAAGAACGCAAACTCGGCATGCGGAAGATGTTTCTCCACGATATCGAGCAGCGTCAGATGTTCGTGAATTATAAGGCTGCGCAGGGTCCTGCTTGCCATGGCAAGCAAGGTGCACCCGGGTATTCTGCTGCAAGGCTTCGAGTGCACCTGCTCGTGTGGCTTTGTCATCAGAAATAGTGGTGCGGTTGGCCGTTGCAGGGACGAAGCTTATGAGCAAGCTCGAGCTCGCTGTCGACACCCAAGAGCGTTTTGCCTTTCCCTGCACCCAGGTGACCCAGTCCGGTCGCCACAAATGATGGAGGCACGCGCTTCTTCATCGACTGTCTAGATCTGATCAAAGCCGAAAGTGTTGGCGTGTAAGAGCAAATGTAGAGATCTTCCAGGCATGGCTCCTTTCCAGAATGATCCGCCTTTGTTTGAAACGGATGAGCTGCATGCATGGAGAGGAATGGGTGCGAAAGCTGCAGTCGGACACAGCCAGATTCGAGAGCGGTGCTTTAGTTTGAGGACATGCTCGAGTATCTTGACGATGGGTAGCATGATCTGGTCCCATATTATCCGCAAGAGCACTATGAGATCCGTCCTCGACTCCCCTGGGTTCATCGAGATTCATCTCGTATTGCCCTGGTGAAGTGATCCTTGAGAATCTTCAGATCTGCGAGTGCGATGGGCGGTAAAGGAACATGATGGGGGTTTCCTGACGTCGGGACGATGATGGCGTGATGAACGTTCATGTATCATGCTGGAGTATTAAGGTTCTGAAATTGTGCGATGAGTGTAAACTCGTTGAAAGAAAATTATATATACAACCTCGGAACCATAAGCTGCTCCTCCTGCAGCAGTGTTTGTTTCATGTCGTGAGAACCTTGTTTGGGGAATCGTTGGCGAACACGTCCGATGCTCTCGATTGTGTGCTTGACCACGGGTAGACTTGAGTCCCCATTGTGAGCGGCGCTTCTTCAGGAGGCTGAATCTCATTCATTTGAGTATCGGATGCTCCACGTGTTTAAGTAGATGACCTACGATATCTTTGGTCTCCTTGTGTGTTCGAAGACATGATATAATCTCCGGATTGCTGTAACCACTAGCAACATATCGCTCCGAGTCTACTAGTGGTCTTATGATTGCATCCGGAGCGGCTGCGGTGCAAATGATATCAGTAGGAACTGATGAGTTCAACTTAATTCCAGTATAAACACTTACGAACCGAACCTTTTTGCCTTGTGGGCTAGGCATTATAAAAACGTGTTAGGACTCAGTACTGGGCTCCAGCACTTCCAAAACAATGGTACACTGGCACGAGAAGATGTTTCTGTATTAACGGTAGTACAAGTTTACAACGGAGCACGAGAGACCCATTGCACTGAGGCTTACAACGTGACACCACTTGCAACTCCTCTCGACTGTAAAGGAGTCCACATTTCCTTTATTATACTAACTGCGAGCATCAGGTCGTCCTTGCTGGGAATCAATGCGAATGCAGGCTTCAATATGCAGTCAAACCAGTGGTAGAATAAAACTAGGCATACATCGAATAAAATAAAATAAAGTGCAATACTCAAAACAAACAACGATCGGATATTGAAAATCCTTCCGGCATAGCGGCAAATCGATAACCATTGACCAAGAATCCACCATAGCAATATCGCGAGTATGCAAACTCTTCGATGCATCCGCCGTGCGGTTACGGTTGCGGGCCCAGGTCCGTCACGTCTTGGATTCACTTCCAGGAGCATCACTGGGGCAACACCACCTCCTTCCACGCCATGGTTCATCGATACTGAAGGTCCAGTTCAATCAATCACTAGGCATACTCCTCCTCACCTCGCTCCAAAAACCCATGAGCTTCCAGAAAACCTCTCTGCCGGGATAAGGCAACTATTTGTGCAGCTCAGTAAATCTCCTTTGCTAGAGCCATCGACTTTGAGTGTCGAACGACCTGTCGCCGCTCTTCCTGGTCCTCCATTACCTCGAACATTACCCAAGGGCCGCCGAAAACGCGGGCGCACATACTCTGGAGAAGGTCTTGTGGAAGAGCCCGGAGGTATATGGGACTGGGTAGTCACTGCTCAAGTGTGTACCCTACTGGCGCCCTCTGTCTTTCTTGTTAACCACTGTTTTGCAAGGTAAAAGAAGGCACCGAAAACCGAGGATCGATAGAAGCTGTCGTACGTCAAGTGCGAAAGACTGTGCGTCTGCTCAGCCCTTTTTCTTTTGCAGTAACTGAAAATTGTCGTCTAGCTATTGTCTGTCGACCCACCGCTGCCTCTTCCACCCAATTCTAAGCGGAGAATGCTCAATGGGTGGGCCATGATTGATGCAGGCAAATTTGCCGTACATATACTGAGCTGCGATGCGCGGCGGAAATATTTCGAAAGATCAGCTGCTGAGTGGTAGTTTGGCAGCCACTACGACGAATTACGATACATCCCCGACTCCCACTTTAGTGGGAAGACTGCACCGACGTGTATAATCTTCAATGGCACCATCGTCTGTGCCTCGCATCGTAAAAATATCACATCGTTGTCCATTTGCATTGCTTTGCTTTGCTCGTGTCGTCGATCGTATTTTCGTCAACACAGATGTGCAATATTGTATTAGTCTCCACAGCGAGTCTCCTGTTGTGAAATATGGTGCTTCTAAATTCGTTATGATATTCCGCTCGTTCTCAACCGTTATGGCCATGGGTAGAGTACACTGGGTTTGAGATTTGACTCGCTCTCGGAGTTTTGATGGCGTTGACTACATCTTAATGGGTCGAAATTACTGTCCACTATGTGCATGAAAAATAATTCCGTGTATTTTAACAAAAATGGCAAATATTCGAGATAAAGTATATATCAAAGTTCCCATGAAGTTCCCATGGTTGTTATTTGACCGCCATGTCGAGCAGAGCAGGTGGCCTGTACGGCGGCATTCAATTCTCTACTGGCGCAACCTTTAGCCTTTCCTCATCATCTACATCTGCTTCGCCTGCAACACCAACACCTGCAACCGGAGTAGACAAAGTCGAAGCTCCCGCAGCTCTAGAGGCTATTTCAGCACCAGCACCAAGTAGTACAAGCAATGATGGAACCAAGGCAGAGGATGGAAGTATTGGAGGAACAGAATCTGGGTCTGTAGGAAAGCTTTCAGCCGGTATCTCCCCCTCCTCTGCACATCGAGTCTAGAAGCAAAATATTGACCGTTGCAATCATCATGCTACTCCTCCGAACTCGCACAGGATGGTCCGCTGCGCTTGCGTTCGCCCCCGTCCGTCGTGCACCAGCAAAACCCAAGCCCGCTTTAACTCGCCTTCCCATGGGTGCCAAGACCCTACCCATTCCTGCAACAGCTGCAATTTCCGCTGCCACGCCAGCTTCGGGTCTTTCCGCAACAGCCGTCGTCTTCGCTCCGCCGGAACTAGTAACTACGGATCAACAAGAAGAAGTCAAGGATGATACCGTCCAGAAAGACTCCACATGGCGCAAAAAGGAAGGCTGGGGCAAGAAAGTCAAACCTCCATCCATGATACTTGATGAAGATATCAATGGCTTCAAGGCTCAGCACAAACGCAGGGCTGGCGGAGGGGGCGGTGGAAGGAAGGGGAGGAAGGTATGTATTTCTTGACCCAGTTTGGTATCTTGGTTGATTCTTGATATGCAGAATAAGAATGCCCCAGTTGCGGCAGTATGGGATCCGTTGGAGCCTTACGACACTCTCAAGCCGAATGACTACAACGAATATAAGTTATGGAAGCAACGTGACCGCGTCGAGCGGGCATCCGAACGTGCGGCTGAAAGGAAGCGTGCTCGCGAGGCTCTCGACAGAGGAAGTGACCACTCTGGCAGTGACAGTGAAGGCCAACGCCCAAAAAAGAGTGGTGTGCAAACCAACCCTGGATATGTGGCAAGGTTTAACTTTTGGTTTCAGGGAGATTTGACCACGGGTCTTTTGATAAGTGGTCTCGCGCAGATGACGAACGTCCCCGTGGGCTTGGTGCCTCCAACACTCCGGCAGTTCATGTGGATCGCAATATGTCAGGGGAGGAGGCCTTTCAGCGGCGACTTGCAATGTCTGCTGGTGCCGCCGCTCGAGTACCGTCACCGACTCCTGTGCCTGTTGATCATAACTTATCGGGTGAGGAAGCCTATCAGCGCCGCCTTGCCATGGCCTCAGGAGGTAACCACCCGCCCGTGTTCTCTGCATCCGCATCCCCTCTCCGTCAACCATCGCCGGGCGGCAGCGATGACGAGCCATCAAGCCAGCCACCTGCTCCCGTAATGCAGCCGGCACAATTGATGGTGCCTGTGCCTCCAACGCGTTCTCCCCCTCCATTGGCATACAACCCCTTTGCACCACCGGCGAATATTCCACCGCCGCCACCTCCACCATCATCTCAAATACCAGTTGCACTTGAAGACAAGGTCAAGGCTGCCGCAAGTATCGCAGCACGTCTCAGTGCGCTTGCTGCGGCTGCAGGTGGGCCGGGGCCAGGATCAAGTCTACCTGGCGCAGTACCGCAAGAAGAAGCTCAAACACGGTATGTCCGAGTACATTTACTGTCGAATGTGTCTGATAATTTTATCAGTCCTGATCCACAGGGTTTTGCAGCTCGTATGATGGCTAAGTGGGGGCACAAGGAAGGTCAAGGTCTGGGTGCGGATGGGAGCGGTATTGTAAACGCTCTCACAGTCGAGCAAGTCGCTGCCCAAGGCAAAGGCAAGAAGGGTCAAAATCAAGCGCAGGGCCCAGTCAAAGTCAAACCAGCTATGGGTTCAAAGATGGGTCGGATCATCAATGACAATGAGGACGCGAAGGGTCGTGAAGATCGTTTAAGGTTTGGGGAGGCTAGCCGCGTGGTGGTGCTAACGAATATGGTTGGACCGGAAGATGTGGACGATGGCGATCTGAGAGATGAAATCGGTCAGTCTCAGACATTTCATTTGTCATATTTTGACTAAATTCCTCCAGGCGAAGAGTGTTCGAAGAATGGAACCGTCGAGCGAGTTATTGTACATCTGACTCAACCTCGGCCGGCGGACCCAGAGGAATCTGTCCGCATATTTGTGTTGTTTGCAGGTCCCTCTGGTGCGTGGAAGACCGTGAGGGAGTTGGATGGCAGGTATTTTGGAGGGAGGGCTGTGCGGGCAAGATACTTTTCGGAAACTGCTTTCTCTCTACATGACTTGGATGTTGCAATCGCTTAGCTACTAGGATTAGTCGATATAGGTCGCCCCGATGTACAGCGACCATTACAAATGTATTAGTCAGAGTCCCCTATCTATGTTTAAAAGGTGGCTAGTTGTAGCTAGCGCACGATATCGATGGCACCCCCTGCCCCTAGAACATCATTCATAACCATTGTTACTACATCTTCACATGTCAAAACTCTCCCAGAGAGCAAACGGTTCAGCGAGACATCGAAATCGGAGGAAATAAAATCTGCGTTACAGAACGCGCTTGCCCACAACGTTCCTGTAAGTCCTTCGGGCAGGACCCTCAAGACCATTCTGTCCCTGGGATCAAGGGACCTTTCATCTTATTCTATTGGTGAAGTCACAATGCCCGAGGGTGCGTGGGCAAAACCGGTCCAAGTGGAGATCTCATCTCGTGAGAAGGATTTCGAGGTAAGCCTTACACAATTGGTATCAATATATGACAGGAATTGAGGGACGACGGGCAGGTGCTGCAGTATGACGCTCCAAATGCCACTTTATTAACTGCGCGATACACAACGTAAATGCGCGATACACACCGAGTGCGCGATACACAATGTCGAGTGCGCGATACACAATGTCGAGTGCGCGATACCATACTACTAGTACTATGTCAAGTAGGTAGTACTTCTAATCAACTGGATGGCTGAAATCTTCGAAGCTGGGCTCAATGATCAAGCATTTTGCAAGATTGTCAGCTGTACGAGTGATGAGTGTCCGCTCATGATCAAAAGCGCTTTGAGCTTTTACAGTATAGAACACCGCCTTCCAACAGTCCAAGTTGATCTCTCCAATGTCAAGTTTTTCGAATTGTTCAACAGCATCCTTGTAAGGTTGTGGATTTCGTCCGTCCAGCAAAAACCTGCCCATTCTGTTCCACCACAGCTGCTTCCAGTCTTCCTCACATCTCGTTTGCTTCATGCAAGTTGCTGCATGCACCATGGGTGGGGCTTTGCATGTGATGATCCGACGGTGTACATCGAGGTGTTCCTTGACTTTGAACATTGTGTTCCATACAATAGATCCAACCGTGTGACGTTCCTCGTCAGATATATCATTGATGCGAGCTGAAACGAGCCGCTCGAAAGCATGTGGAAAGAAGTCTTTGATATTGTACTTCAATGCGAGTGAGATAAGTTGTGTTGGTTCGAGTGAGTAGTGTTGGCGCTGGAGATGACGAACAGCGTAGACACGTGCATCTTTGCAAAGATACATATCACTCAGCTCCAGTAGTTGAATGATGGTGTTATTGGGTATTTTGAGAACATCGGGCCTCCATCTGTAATAAGATATTGGCCATTGGAGTCCATTGCAAAAAAAACGACTCACTTATTGTAACAGACAGAAAGAAACAATTCGAAAGCACTTTCGCTTACTTGCAACGGCACACAGATGGGCTTGTCGTCAGCGCTACCATCAACCTCTTGAAATTGGGTGCCCTGGCTTGCAGCAAACATATCCCGAAAAGCAAGTGATTTATCACCAAGAATGCTTGCGTGCACCCTGAAGAGCAAGTTTCCCGCCTGCTAGTATATCAATCCACCTGGAATAGCTCTGATAGTTAAGTGACACACGAACCTGGAAGATGTGGGTGCCATCCAGGAAATAAAACATTTGATGGTGTCGAGCTGCAGTCATTGAATCACCGCAACAATTTGAACTTCAATCGAGTAGATATTGCATGAACACGAAGGACAGCTTGGAAGAGATAGCCTGAGTGAGTTGTTAGTAATAAAACCGGACACAGAAAAGCAATACATTGAACACACAAAACACGTCACCTGTGAATTATGCTCGTGGAACTCTAGAACAGTTGTTTTTCTAGCCGACGTTGACTCCTTGGAGTACAAAAACAATGGATACTGGTCCTTCATTGCCGTTGTCGCTTCCACTTCTCCCTGAAACTAAAAATTGGTCAGCAGAAATCCGAGCTGCCTATGAGAATGTCCAACATACTTATGATCATGCCGTTCGAGTTCTTCGAGCAGATGGAGCTGACCCTACCCGCATTGCTTTCCATGTGGATGCCATCTCATCAAATGCTCTTCCAATCCTCGAAGCACTCATACCAGATAATGACATTGCCAATTTGGATGACAATTCAGAGTCTCTCCCAGTCAAATGGCTAGCTGATGTAGCTGCAATACTTGGGTGCGCAGTTTCGAATCTGGAGCAGCTAGGAACAACTGTAAACGAGCAGTAAGTCAAATTTTCGATCAACATATAGATACTGACACAGGATCTTACAGAGAGGAGCATAACATTGATATACAAGAGTACACTGGAATTGCAAGAACTGGAAAATGAGGACGTCCGAAGAAAATAATAGATCTTGATTTCTTGAGGGAGGCCACCTCTGCTCGACATCAAATCAGGCATGTTGAGCTAGCGAAGATTGTTGATGTTCATCGAGAAACACTACGGCGCTACATGCGTCAACATGGCATTGAAAGGCAATATTCCAACCTTTGTGACTGTGACCTGGATGCTTTGGTGAAAGTATTCAAATGTCGTAGACCAGAGTCCGGTTTTCAGTACCTTGTTGGTTTTCTTCGACAACAAGGTGTCCGTGTACAACACAGGCGAATATGGCAATCCTTGCGGCGAGTTGACAGAATTGGACAGCACTTAAGACGGCAACAAATTATTCGAAGAAGGAAGTATGAAGTAAAACGGTCCAATGCTCTTTGGCATTTGGACGGACACCATAAAATGATCCGATGGGGGTTCGTCGTCCATGGTTTCATTGATGGTTACTGCAGAACAGTGTGTAATTGTCATCACAGGTTGAAAGTTCGACTAATACCTGCCTAGGTGGTTGCACTGAGAGCAAGCACAAATAATTGTGCTGCAACAGTTCTTGATTTATTTCTTGAAGCACATGAAGAGTATGGTATGCCATCACGTATGTGAGGCGATCGTTGTCTTCTTAGATAGATGATCTATAGATGAACACCTATAAAACCAAATATCTCCACGGTCAGCGATTCAGACAAATACCAATGACTGATAACGTGGTCGTTCGTGGGTGGCTTGCCTTGCTCCTAAGATACAGTCAGTAGAATATGGCTCGCACAAAAAGTCAGTAGTCAGCGATCAGCAGTCAACAGTCAATCCAACAATATGGATATGAAACACAGCGATGAGAGAAAAACACAGAACTCGGTCAGTCAGCGATTGACAACAACAACAATCACAACAACACAGACAACAACAAAACAAATCAGGAAACACAGTCACTCTAACAATATAGAGATGACACAAAACAAACAGACACTCTTCCTAACACTTCACACAGCAACAAGGATTCGTACACAAACTTAGTGCAGCAAGTTGTGCGGAGTTACAATGAGAGTCCCCCTCAATACAAAAACAGGTGAAACTACCGTCAGGCCTAGTCAAGCCTTTGTAGCACTCTTAGCCTAATATTGAACCTGCTGCCAAGGAACTCACAATGAGTATTAAACAGACTCAGAAACGGGTGACCTTGGACTTCAATACCAAGTCCCCTTTTCAATAGCTAAAGTCTAACTCGCAATGACTACCCTCGATCGGTATAACACACAGATGTAAGAGGTCAGGTATCACTGTCAACACCTAAAGTCTCCTCACTAGACTATCAGAGTCTTCCGTGGACAAAAAGAGACAACACCAAACTTCTGGGTAAGAATGAGACTGAAACTTTGGTACTTGAGAGAAAGTTGATAGGTTGAGTCAATCAACAAAATGAGACCGCTACAACAACAAAAACACAAACACAAACACAAACACAGAGACTGTTAGCAACAACGATCACAAAGCAAACAGACAGCGATCAGAGAGATGGTCAGTATAGACAGTCACCAACGCACCACACACTTGAGACAGAGAGAGAGAAACAGAAACAGAGAAACAGAGAAACAAAGAAACAGAGAGAGAAACAGAGAACACGAGCTTCAGTCACGAATCTCAGACACGATCTCAGAGAGAGAAAAAAAGAAAAACAATCACAGAGAGATTCACAGACAGAGACACAGACAATGACACAAAAAGAAACAGAGAAATTCAGACAGACAATCAAGAGAAAAACAGAAAAAGAAATATTAGTCTTGCTAGTCATCAGACACAGTGAGCTCAAGGTATGTGCTAGATGTTCAGCACAATGAGCTCGAAAGTGTGGTGCTGGTTGTTGAGCACAGTGAGCTCCAACCTTGAACTGCACTTGCTGGTTGCCGATTCACACTTCACTCACAATTTTATTCTGAGAGTCAAAAACAGTGGGGAACTGCTTGTTTTATTGGGCAAAAAGCTGGTCCTTATATAGACAAATTTGGTGGCTATACTACTAGTTTCTCGTACTTAAAGTTGTAACTTTAGTTCGATAGTACCAAGTCACACAGTATCTTTGAGTTCAAAAGTAAATATTCATAACTCTAGTTAGTATAATGATGAGTCAGCAAGAGCTGCGTATGGATCATGTGTCAGGTGACCCTTGATGACTCAGCTAGACAAGAGTGAGAAATGATTACATATTGTGTACATATGTTTATAAAATCTGTGGCTGATGAATTGACTGGTAGCATAATGACATAGGACGCGTGTTTAGCGATTTGTAAGCTTTCCCACAGGGTAATCTTATGCAAACATATTTTTCACAGTCACCTGATATGTGTGAGAATCTGTCTGAGTCACCCTCATGGCTGACTAAGCAAAACTCATCGCAGGAATAAATGTGCAAAAATATTCAATCCGCTCGCGTACAAACTCGTAAAAGTGAAAAAAAGCGAAAAATATTCCCTTAGCCTCAGTCTGACTTCAGGTCACAGGGAAAATGATTTCATAGTGATTCTAGGGCATAGGGGCTCATAGGAGAGTATCGGTCATCCATGCACCGAACCAGTTTGGTGCAGGTCATCGTGGTGGTGAAAATATTGATGTTGCCACTTATATGGTCATGCAAAATGGCCCAAATCGTGGCTCATTTATGTGGGGATCGTAAGCACTGTATTAAAATATAATTCTTTGAATGTTATGCTCACACAAATACTATAGGTCCACACGAAATTCCAGGATTGAGCGGCTTTGGGTTGAAGTAGGAACTCAGTTTGTGAGATGTTGGAGGGCATTCTTCAACCACTTGGAGAGACTGCATAGTCTTGATATCGAGAAGACAGGCCATCTGTGGCTCCTCCAGAATTTATTCTTGGATGCTATCAATGACGACTGTAAGACTTTTTGTGAAGAATGGAACCTTCATCCAATTGCTGGCCCGTCAACAAACAACAAGAGTCCACAGGTAGGTAACATTTCGAGTTGAAATTTGAACACAGTCATATTTTGTCACAGGATCTACGACTGATAAGTCAGGCAACACTGGGTGTTTACAGGGACAACTGCGATGGAGTTCACCCAGACACAATTGAACGATATTATGGCACCCATGGCCAAGAACAGACTCGTTGTCATGGGCAGACTGGTGCTGGCCATCCTGATGATGAAGACACCAATTCGGAGGATCAGCTCATCTTACAGATAGAAGAAGATCAGGAACAGAACGTTCGCCATGCTGCTATTGAAGTTCCTGGAAAGAAAAGCCCCTTTGTGACCCAACATGATGAGAACCTTTTTTTTTTGATGCTTGAGCAGATAGTTATTGAGGGCATCGTACCAGAAGGTTATGGCTTGCTCCCTGGTGAGCAAGATGATGATGATACAGCTATGGCTGAAGTCTTACAATTTGGGAGGCACAGAACAAAATCTGTCGTAGTTTCATTAAGAGATGCTGTCTGGGAAGCTCGTGCGACACTTTGGTGTCAAGCACTATCAGCATTATCTTTGTTCGAAACTGAAGGATATTTTTAGCTATACATACATAGTGAATCAAATAAGCTCGAAAATTGATGAGAGACTTAGAATCAATAACCAAAGCTTATGCAAGATGTAAATATATGAAGTACTACATCTTCTCGTTCTCCCGAACCATCTCTACTTCATCCTGTATGCTGCTATGTCCGACCGCAATGAAAGGTACTGCCGAGACTTTCATGAAGGCAGGCAAGCATGCACATGTGAATACTTCACCCCACCTTCTAATCCTGATGCTCCTTACTACTGTCGAGAATGTCAGCATGGCTTTAGCAAGCATCCCATGGCTCTGGATTCTACGAGAGACATACCTCAAAAGCAAGACAGCACAGCACCATCTGGAAAAAAGAGGCTCGTCAGCATATTCAAAGAAAAAATCAGTTCAGGGTCTGCAGCAAGACCCTCGCGAACCACTACCTCATCCAAAAGCATGCTCAATCAAAAAACAGGTGTCGAGCAAGCTAGGGACGAAGTCTTGAATGGATACAGGACTGGTTTGAATTTGCAGAACAGTAAAGTCAATAAGGTGCGAAACGTGCAATGCATAATGAGTGGCACTCACAGGTTGAAACAGTTGCAATTTTGCCGAGTTACCAGTACTAAGGCAAGGGCTGCAAGCCAATTCGATTCAGAGGATAAAGTTGCCAAGGTTGCATCGTGGCTTCTTTTGGTGAATAATCTTGATGTAAATTCAGAATATCTATCTCTTTCTTCGCACAAGAAAAACTAACACAATATGATGAAGGATGATGGTAATCTCATTAACACAAGTCCACCATCACGAACACAGTCACTCAACATGGAGCGCCGTCAATGAGCACATATTGAGACAGCTAATAGGTTTTCCTTCAGTCAAACGTGGACTCATGACAAAGTCCATCATTACCTGCAAAACGAGGTGTTTCCATTAGCATTTGAGTACGTCAATTCAACAGAAAAGGGGAAAGGAATTGGCATACCTTCTTGCCCATGGGTTTTAATAAGCAAGGAGAGGCTCCGATATGAGGTTGTAAACATTGACAACCCCACCGGCAGTGATCTTGCATGATTCCGAGGCAGACCCAAGTGCCCTGTAAAAGATGCCAATGTCATCATAGGTAAGGAGCCTCTGTCTCGTATAATCTATTGATGTTAACCTTAGTACTATTTTCAGCCTTACGGAGAAGATTGCCAGAACATATATATGCGTCATGGGATCCTGAATATCGAGAAATGGGGGACAACGGGATGTTTCTTGATTCCGATGATGCTTCAAGTTTCGAGGCCAAACCAAGAATCCTAACACGTGCGGGTAAGTTTATTGGTTTACTTATTATTTACTACATATTTATCCAACTTTCTTTCTCATTTGCTAGCCGCTGCAAAGCTCAAACGTGGACGACAATCATCACCATCCATTGAGATTCTCTCCGACACTGAATACAAACCAACCACCAAAAAAATGAAAGGTGCGCACCACGTAGTTCACAGAATATACTGTTGCTTATTCATTGTCTTGATACTACTAGGCATTGTAACAGTGAAACGAGAGGATTTTGCATTGGATTTCCAAGCACCGAATGCAGCGGCCTCTCAGCCTAAAAAACGTGAGTTTGTAGTATCTAAACACTATTTTTTCTCACTAGCTTGGAATTCAGTTTTTCTAGAAAGTTCCAATGCAGATATGGACGAACTTCCTGATGTTATTCGACAGTTGTCGCTGGTGCCACAGACCCCACAGAAAAACACTGTCCCTTCCAGCTCTTTTTTCAGCGCTGCATCAGAGGTTGGATCAAGTCGTCAGGTGTCCCATTTTGGTACCGCTGATTTACTGTCTGCGCAGTTCCAGTTTTCGAACCTTCGTCGTGTTGCCATGCCGCCTGATTTTGTGGAACCCCAACCATCCGATATAATCTTACGGGGTATCCGCGACCCTGATAGCCCATCTGCCCCTCCTCGTATTAATCCTTGGTCTGAGGATTATTTCATCGGCGACGTAACTATCTCTGTCTAATTTCTCGTGCCCTACTGCGATCTACTTGATATCTTTTCTAGTACAATAATCATCACTACTACTGGCCAGGCCCTTGGTTGCCAATGCTGGCAACTTTCGGGTCTTTCTTTCCTACTCTCGGACTCTACTTTGTTAGCGCTTATAGAGTTTAGTTTTGCCTTCGAAATCCATGATATTGTCATTTTGAAGCACTTCTAAGACAACTTCAAGGCCCAACTTGAAAGCTCAGGCTGCGGCTCTTTTCGTGTCGCGCACTCGACGTTGTGTATCGCGCACTTGACATTGTGTATCATGCACTCGACGTTGTGTATCACGCATTTACGTTGTGTATCGCGCAGTTTATTAAAGTGGCATTTGGAGCGTCATACTGCAGAAGTATGCTGCTGAATCTGCACAAATATTATTTGTGCCCCCCCGAAATAAAATGTGTGCCCCCCCGGAAACTGAATTGCTGCTGAATCTGCACAAATATTATTTGTGCCCCCCCGAAATAAAATGTGTGCCCCCCCGGAAACTGAATTTGTGCGACACCCAAAAAAGGAAAGTGTGTCGCCCCGAAAACTGCAACATGTGCCGCCCCAAAATTATATCATGCCACCCCGAAAACAAAAGTGTGATGCCAAAAAAAAAGTATGAAAATTTCAGAATATTTCTTTGTTGAAGGCAAACTTGAGTGACGATTGTAGACTGGTATGTATACTGCTGGAAGACTACCTGGATACAATTCATAATTTCACTCTTCCAGTGCAAGAGGTGTGTATTTTGTAGTTGTGCACTGTTTCTTGTATCATACCAAGTACATCATGCATCACTGTGTATATTCAATCGATTTTTTAACAGAATGATTCACACTGGTAGTATCTAGTAGTACAGGTTTATTTGTACTGATATTTGTCACTCAACTGGAACAGTGCGAGCACTGGTGTCCATGATAGCTATACATCCTGTTGGAACTGTGTGAATTACCTGTCTGTGCTTATATGCTTTATGTGATCGCTGTCTGCTCTGTGAGAGTCTGTGGGAAACTGTGGGAAACTGTCAAAATAGGCATTATCTGGGAGAAATTGAGGACATCCAGGAAATGGTCAGTCTGGGGCCAGTCTGGGGCCAAAGTCTGGGGCGGGGTCTGGGGCCAAAGTCTGGGGCTGCGGCTGACGTGTGCAGAGCTCAATTCGGAGTCCCAATTATATCTGGTCACGTTTGCAATACCAGTGTGACCTGTTCATTGTGAGTTGTGACCCACCCTTTGTGACCTCTTGCAGGCCACACTGCGCTCAGTGACATCGAGGGCATCCAGGAAATGGCCACTCCAGGGCAAATAGTTCGGGGTGGACTCCAGGGCCAGAGTTCGGGGCATGTGACCTTTTCAGTCAGAGTTTCAATTCACAAGGCTGACATTACACGTAAGCAATTATGTCAATGCGCCGCCCCCCTAAGCTTGCCTCCTCACCCCTGCCTTGTTGCTGCGCCCACCACCTGCCTTGTTGCCCCCCTGCCTTGTTGCAATGTCGGCGTCCTTGCCAACAGGTGCAAGCCCACCCAACATTGGCTCACTTTTTGATCTGTCATCCATTGCTTGCTGACCTCCCATTCAACAGCCTCACCTCCTTCCTTCGCCGCGCCAAGATCCTCAAGGAGGATATCCTGCAGCCTCAGCCACACCACGTCTCCATCTTCTGCACCCCTCCTTTTCTTCCAGCAAGTGTCGCCGGCTTCCTTGCAGCCTCTTTGGACATGCCGCCAGAGGCAGTTGAAGTCCTATGGTCCTTGGTGAAGGACATCGTGTGGGAGCTCCGAGTAACGCTGAGGCGAGCGCAGATGACGAGACCACATTCAGGATTTATGGCCACGAGCTAGGACTTAGTACTTTTTTTTTCCTTCATGAATTGTGCTGATGTGATATGAACAGCAAAACGCACGCTATACCCTCCCATCAAGATTTGCGCCAACCACGAGTGTGCGGCATGGCAGCGCGGATCACTGCTGAAGAAGGAGGAGCCACGCCGTATTGTCTTGTTCACTCACAGCGAGGGTGCGAAGCCTGGCTGGATGATATACCTGAAGTGCCGAGGTAAGTTTTTGTTCTCGAGTGCATGCTCTAGGTGCTAAGTATGACGAAGAGTGCAATACCAACTACCAGGCCAACTATAGCGTCAACGGGGCCGTCTGAACATACTACCGAGGCATGCCGCAGTACATACAGGTCACCGATCATCAGTTCATCAAGCTGCAACTTGCCATGCACTGGATGGATCTGATGCAGATCGCGTACGTCTTTTCATTTACTTCTCGCAGTGCCGTCATTGACTTGGTATGATATTTGCTAGTGTATCGGCGACGAACTGCACCAACCTATACGCAATCACCCAGACTCGTCACGACCTTGGCGACAGTGATGATCACTGGCAGTTCAGCAATGCTCTGATGACAGAGCAAGTCTGGGATTGCTGCACACTTCTTGCCCTGCTTGACGATCACATACTAAGTGTATGTGGTGAGTAGAATGGTGGGTGTGTCGGCAGCCGCTAGCCATCTACGAGAGGCACACTAGTACTGACAGGAGGCATGATGATGGCGGCAGCTTTGGAATTGTCACAAAGCAAACACATGACAAAAAACAATTCAAACTCAGCCCGGGTCAGCCACGTTTGCCGAACACCCCAGACTCTGGCCCCAGACTGGCCCCAGACTGGCCAGATCTCTGACATTCACAAGAAATTTGTGTTTTACTGATGGAGCATGTAAAGATGCTACTTGCTGAATGCTGGATCTTGAGTGTTATTTTTTGGAACACACTGGTTGCTGTCATATTGATGCATTACACAGTACAACTACAGTGCACTAGTGATGCATCATCAGTGCAACTGTAGCATCCTTTACTTTATGCCCACTTCCACTTGCTGGTGCATCACCCCATGCATCACCCTCCACTCACCACTAATGCATTAGTCCACTCAATGTTGATGCACTGTGATGCATAAGCAAAAGCAAACAAACAAAATATGACAACATGGAGAGTTGAGCCAGCAGAGCTGGATGTTATCAACACAACATAATTAAATTTCAACATTGGCAAGAATTGAACAGAATAGCAGCTTCCTGGCCAATGGTGACCAAGTTAACACTACAAGTGGCAACATAATTAAATTATGACATTGGCAAGACTTGAATGGCAGAGCAGCTTCCTGGCCAAAATCCCGCACAGTATCGCAACAGGGACCAAGTTACCACTACACTATTCAGCTGATAATGAAGGAGGAGGTAAGAAGAGCTATCCAGTGATGGACATTTGGTTGTATCATTGTGCGTTGTAAGACCTATGGTCTTTTCAGCCTTGTATAGGCCATATTTGCCATCCCTCAGACTCTATTATATCCTGTGTTGTCTTTGCCATAGTGCACAGTATCTCATCGTTGGCCAATGGCCGCAGGTCTTGGCGCTCATTGGCTTGCATCAGCTTTTCTTTGGGTCCTTTGCGCATCCTCCATCCATCCTATCCATATCCTCTGTTGGTTTCATTGGTGCATACCTTACTCAATTAGTATTAGACTGACATTATTTCCAAAGCTATATCATTTATATTCTCATTACATGTGTCATGGACCCTACTTACATACTTATTGCTATCTACTTGGTTCCGAATAGCGCTTAGGCGCGCATACATATATATCCCATACTTACGAATTTCATGTATCTTCTTTTCCCTCACTCGAAATCTATCACCACTCTGCACACAAAATAAACATCCGCACTCAAAGTCAGTAAAATTCAGGCATATCTCGGTGCACGCATTTCTACCGGCCGCCTTACTTGATTATATCAATACATTCGCGTATTCATCAGCTTTCTCATCTCTACGTTCTGGCTTCACTTCTCTGATGACATCTCTAGTGCGATTTTAGTACTGTAATACCAAATAACATGACATGTACCACCAGTGAGGGAGAATGGCGAAGGCACCAGTGAGGGAGGACAACAAAGGCACCAGTGAGGGAGGAGGACGCCAAAGGCACAAGGGAGAGAGACAGCAAAGGCACCAGTGAGGGAGGAGGACAACAAAGGCACAAGGGAGAGAGACAATGAAAGCACAAGGGAGGGAAACAGCGGGGACAATGAGCACAATGAGGAGAAATAAGACCCGTGAGAAGCCTGTTGGGCATTGCAGAGGGTGCCAGGTTAAGATAAGCAGATGATGTGAGGTGGGGTGCTTACCAATTAGGGCCCATAGGCCCACCCCTACCATAGTAGGGTATTGGTGGAGGTAGTATATTATTTCTAAAGGTATTTTGGAGAGCTGGGGCACTATTTAATGCTGGTGTAGAGATTTAACGGAATTGAGCCTAATTATAGTTGGCGAGGCATGTAACTGCCAAGTATGATAAGGCTTATTAATAATTGTAACGGCAGTTAACCGCCAGTCCCCAACTCCGCCCAGCTGTATCAGTGATGTCTCGTCTCTTCTTAACTACTCAGCTCAGAACTTCAGTTGTACTGAATTTAATGCCAAAAAACAAGTGAGACAAGATAAAGGAGTGGAAAACACACAACGATACGATGGCAACCACAAACCACTCAATAAGGCATTAAAAACCCACAAACTTTTTGACAGAGACGGGTATGTTTCTAACCTACAAAACCCTCCTTTGGGAGTTGGGGAAGCATCCCAGGTGACGATGGTGTCACGAAACATCACAAAAGGTCACAACAATGTCACATCATGTGATGTCGTTGCATTTGGATGTCATAGGTCTATCTTAGAGGCAGAAAAGTGAAATTATGGATTGTATTCATGTAGTCTTCCAGTAGTATACATACTAGTCTACAATTGTCACTCAAGTTTGCCTTCAATAAAATACTATTCTAAAATTTTCATACTTTTTTTTTTGGCATCACACTTTTGTTTTCGGGGCGGCATGATATAATTTTGGGGCGACACATGTTGCAGTTTTCGAGGCGACACACTTTCCTTTTTTGGGTGTCGCACAAATTCAGTTTCCGGGGGGGCACACATTTTATTTCGGGGGGGCACAAATAATATTTGTGCAGATTCAGCAGCATACAAATTCAATTTCGGGGGGGCACACTTTTTATTTCGGGGGGGCACAAATAATATTTGTGCAGATTCAGCAGCATACAGAAGCGTGTGCAAGAGTTGGAAACAAAAATGGAAAAAATGGAAGGTAAAATGGAAGACGTGGAAGGTAAATGGAAGCTAAAATGAAAGATTTTTAGCGCGCTCAAAATCTCAGCAAGTCACGCTGATAGGCTGGCAAGCAGCCAGTCAAGTGTTTGATGGTATGCCTTCTAACTGCGTCCGAATCTTTGAATGTAGAACTCGCTGAATTTGCATGGGCAGAACTTTCAGTCGAAACTAAGACCAGCCTGGAAGTATATTCAATATTTGACTGTAGGTCTTCATGTTGTACTAAATCTAGATCTGACCATCATTTATGTAGTCCATTCCCTCTTCTTCTATCATTCTCGCTACAATCCGAACAAACCCACTGCCATTACTCGGGCTGTGCAGTCCGCTTATGCAACCATCCACCGAGATGTACGTCAGGCGATCACATCAGTATCCAAAAGCAAGAACAAGCACGGAGATGAGCGACGACAGATAGCTCATCCCAAAGTACCCAGAAGAGATTTCGAGATACTTATAAACTCCTTGAGTCCAGGGTCTCATCATCACGTCTTCGAACATCTTAGAAACACTTTTTTATAGTACTATTAGCTACTACATCCTACAATCCGCTCAATATGTCCGCTTGAATGGCGGGACTGCCTTGCATTCATTTTCATCGAGGGTCTCGCCAATGACACTGCGGTACTTGAGAGTGACGTCGGGCAAGTTGATATCGGGCTGTATTGTGAGGGTGTGCTTCATCCAGTGGTCGTCGTCACGCTACAGATAGGTTTAACAAATAGATTCACGACGTGTGACACAAACACTAACCTCAGGGAAGTCCTCACGAGCATGAGCACCTCGGGACTCCTTACGAGCAGCAGCGGCCGTGATAGTTTGAACTGCACACTGAAGGAGGTTGCGTAGTTCAAGAGTCTCAACGAGATCACTAAGATGAACGCATGAGCACGAAATCAGCATCACATAAACATAAAGCCCTACGAGTTCCAGATCATGCTCCTATCCTTGATGCCGACATTGTCAAACGATTTGTATATTTGATGTATCTTCTGAACACCTTCGTCGAGAGTCTGCTGTGTGCTGCGATGATCGTCAGTATCCCTTTTCATTCAGACGTAGTTGGTGGAACGCACCGGAAGACAGCGGCATCGCTTTGCATCGCTTTTTGCATCTCTAGCCTAATTTCGGCAGTAGGCTTGGGACCATCTGCATTTCTGATCTGGTCCAAGAACTCCACGCTCTTAAGGCCAGACTCTTCAGGAATAGCTTTGTGAACTTTTCCGGGAGTCAAGGTCTCCGCAATATGATGAGCACATGCGCGACCAAAGACGACGAGATCCAGGAGGGAGTTTGCACCAAGACGGTTCGCGCCGTGAACGGACACGCACGCGGCCTCACCAGCTGCATACAGACCAGGAACAATCTTGTCCTTGCCATTCTGACCACAGCCTATGAGCAGGATGCAACCAGTGCAACTAGCCCAAGCTCACCTCGTCAACAGTCAGCACCTCACCAGTGTACCTGGTGGGAATACCACCCACTATCGAAAGGTCAGCTACAGTACAGAAGACAGTATAGTAGGGATACTGACTGTTGTAATGGACAGTAGGTAGCACTGGGATAGGCTCCTTGGTGACATCGACTCCAGAGAAAATAGCAGCAGTCTCGGAGATACCGGGAAGCCTCTCGTGGAGGACTTCGGGAGGTAAATGGCTAAGCTGAAGGTATAGGTGGTCCTTCTCAGGCCCAACACCACGGCCTTCACGGATCTCAATCGTCATCGAACGAGATACGACATCACGGGAAGCAAGATCCTTGGCCGTGGGTGCATAACGCTCCATGAAACGCTCGCCCTCAGAGTTCAGGAGGTAACCTCCCTCACCACGGGAACCTAACCCACAGTCAGCCACAAGGCAGATATCTGACAGAAAGACAGTCACCCTCAGTGATAAGGCAGCCGGCGCCATAGATGCCGGTTGGGTGGAACTGAACGAACTCCAGATCCTGCAGAGGAAGGCCAGCACGAGCAATCATTGCATTACCATCACCTGAACAGGTGTGCGCACTCGTGCAGCTGAAATAGGCACGACCGTAACCGCCGGTTGCGAGGACTGTCTTATGTGCCCTGAAGCGGTGAAGCGTACCGTCCTCCATATTGAGCGCAATGACCCCAACACACTCGCCATCCTGCATGATCAAGTCCAGAGCAAAGTATTCGATGAAGAAATTCGTGTTGTGTCGCAGCGACTGGCCGTAAAGGGTGTGGAGGAGAGCGTGACCGGTACGATCGGCAGCCGCAGCACAACGATATGCTTGACCACCTTTGCCATACTTCAAAGACTGACCACCAAAGGCACGTTGGTAAATCTTTCCATCCTTGGTACGGGAAAATGGGACACCATAATGTTCAAGCTGGAAAAAGTAATCAGCCAAAGAAACAAGTACGTAAGATCTAAGCTGACCTCGTAGACGGATCTGGGAGCCTCACGACACATATAATGGATGGCATCTTGGTCACCAAGCCAGTCGGAGCCTTTAACCTGTGAAAATTCAGCTCAACTACACGACTCGAGAGCGTAATGTATCAAAGGACACGAACCGTGTCGTACATGTGCCACCGCCAGTCGTCTTCTGTCATGTTCTACGTGCAACTCATCAGTGAAAAGAGTATAAACTCATCAAGGTGCGCTTACACCAAGAGCAGCATTGATACCACCCTTGAAAATGTGATATGAGTGTGTCAGATACTGCTGAACATGGCGCAACATACCTGTGCCGCAACAGTGTGACTCCGGGTTGGGAATAACTTAGTGATACATGCCGTGTTGAAGCCAGCTTCCGCAAGACCGAAGGCAGCGCGAAGACCTGCACCGCCAGCACCACTAAAGGGTCGCATACTTAGCTCTAATAATTATTTATGGGTTCGGAGCATTACTCACACGACAATAGCATCGTACTCGTGTTCAATAAGAGGGTATTTGCCTGAAGACCAGGACTTAAAAACCATCAGAATAGTAGAAAAAACGACATGGGAGAGCTGGGAGATATACCTTGACCTCCTCTGCCTTGACTGGATTAGACGCTACGACTCTCCTGACGGGGAGTGAAGTGGAAAAAGCGCGTTGATGATGAAGCAGAGCCCGAGAGGGCACCGCCTTAGACACCGACTTCCTGAACATGGATGTTGTCGTCGTCGACGGTGAAGAAGAAAAATAACCAAAAGACTTGCGAAAAACCCGATGAGCTACGTACGGGAAAGTTGTTGACACCGGAGGCCTTGCAATGGGAAATCACGCGCCGAGTCGGCCAATAACCTTCCCACCATTGGTCAATCAAATTCCGTACAACCTCCGCCTACTAGTACCATATACCATAATCTAATTGCATTAATCCATGTCCCGAATGTACAGATATCTATTAGCGCGATCGCCATCTCTCATAACCGCCACAGGCAAAAAATCTACTTGAGAACTCCCAGCGGATCGTGCTGCTGCACTTCACTTCGGATCTTCGGACTTTGATCGCTTGTGACGGCCGCAGGCGGCATCCCACCCACATCAGGCGTGCGTTGGAAGGGATTATTAGATGATAGGCGAAGGGGTGTCCGCTGCATCGTAATCGGCTTGACGGGGAACACCCCAGTCGATGACTGAACGCGATTATGAGTCGAGGATGCCATAGGAATCGCCTTTGAGGTCATCGAAGAAGAGTGTAATGGAGCAGATGTCGTTGACCGAAGAAACACAGGAGTCCCAGACGTGTTGGGGAGAAAATTTCGAACTTCCCGCTGCAACGGTGGCACTGGGTGCTCGTTTGTAGGGCTCGTGATTGAACGTTGTCTTCTTGGTTGGGAGACAGATGCTTCCCTAGACTCCTGCTTGCGCTGACCTTCCAAACGCTTATTGTATTCTACCACCCCCCACAGACGGCGTTCATCAATCTCCTTGACCTCCCCACCTAAGATGTCCCTCACATAAGCCAGTGACTCGAGAGCCTCTTTATGCTGCACCGAAACTCTCGCAACACCCTCATCCTTGGCTTCCGATGATTCTTTGGACTGTAAAACGCTTAGTATCCAAGTAATCGATTCACCAAGGCGTTTATTCTGCGCTCTCAGTTCTCGTTCCGTATCCATGCGGCGGTCGTTCTCCGAAACATGCCTTTCATCTGTCACCTGCTCGTCGAGCAAGGGATATGCCGCATACGGCGCCGATACTGTAGATGGCGTGCGAACCAAAGATGCGGCCAATTCGGGGAGGTTGCGCTACCATGCCACAAATCAGGAGGAGGACACTCTCAATATTGTCTAGGCTTACCCTTAGTTCGGACACCGCATTCATTACAGTCTTGTTGATCCCAAGGCTCTCCCCGCGATCCATGAGACCCCGAGCAATCAATTCTGGGAGCCCTATCTGGAACGAGGGCGATTGACGCATATGCTCTCCTTGCGCAGAGGAAGTTCCATGAAAATCTGATGAGGAAATCGGAGGACGTGCCCTCCGCCTCGTTTGGGCAGGTGGATCAGGTACTTCCAGGGGAATATTTAGAAGGTTGCGGTTTTCAGTCATCACAACCGCGCCCGCGGAGGGTGTACGGGACATTTCCAGCGACGATGCTTGACGAAGTAGTAGGATTGCGTGATGCGGGGCTCCATCTTCCGCCTGAGAAGGAGGGTATCGCAACAGGTATGTTAGTTGCATGCTATAGTCCGATGCGATCACTACAGACCATTATTGTCTAAATACAACTCAAGAGGATATTGAGAACTCACATTTGGTTCGTATCCGTATAAGCATAGCCACGCATATCCACTGAGCGAGCTCAGAAATTGGGATTGGGTTCGCGAATAGCCCGTCCCATAATATCATCGCATCATCCATAGAAAGTTCACGAGTGAACAACAGGCGAAGCCATCGTCTGACAATGTGATCGATCAGATTAGCCTGACAGGGTCCAGGAGACATGAAAGCACACACAAGCCATAGATTTGTGGCTCGATGCCCGAGCTCTGCAACACGCCGTGAAGAATGGGATCGACGGATTTCAAAAGATTATTTTGAATGTGGTTGCAGGCCAGGTTAATAGGTGACATGTACGGCTTAAAGTTAACTTGACCACGGGCAGAGGACGTTTCGACAGATGACGGTTCGCGCCACTCGTACCACTTGGAGATATCGCTCATGATCGCGCAAAAAAGTGCCCATGAATCAGCCGCAATCCACGTCCGCGAGCAAACCTCCCGAAAGACAGATTCGTCCGACGATGATGTAGCGTCATCGGCAGTGGAGTCATAATCTACAGCCAAAGATATTTATTCTTCAGCTTTGAAAACAGTCATATGAGCGGACCAAGCAGACGAGACATAGACTGCGGACACATGGAAGACACGAGCGGTTGGATCACATACCTACAACATAGTACACGGGTGCAAGTAGCTCATGCATGCCTTGCCGGTATTCAATATCGGGATGCATGACAGCGTATAGGAACAAAATATTAGTGAGTTGCTGCTGTACATCATCGTCGCGAAAGTAGCCTATATCAGGGAAACTGCAGAAAAGAAGATGTACCATAAACTGTAAATCTTTGAGAACGGAACTCACGTCCGCTCAACATCTTGCTGGATAGTCTTCCGGAGGTCTACAGCTGCAAACCATTCCCTCCAAGGGTTCTTCAATGCACACTATTAAGACGATGGTTGAGTACATGCAAAAGCGTTTGCGTACCTCATCATGTAAGCTAAGAGGGTTGTTCATCTCCAAGTCCGTCGGCGGCTTGACGTTCCTCCTTGGAATGGTGAGGCCTGGCACGACAAAAGTCTCATCATAAGATCCATCTGGAGCACGCATCTTCTCCAGCAGTAGCTCGGAGTACTGCTTCCTGTAGGCGCGTAAAGCCTCCAGCGGTGGTACTGCTATTTCGTGAGGTGGAGGTTCCAGTGGCACGTTTTTCAAGAGGAACAGCTAATGGGAATAGGTGTGAGCACGTAGTCTGATTCACTGTGTTCCCCTTGCCTTCCATGCTAGACTTCTCCCTGGTACACCGATACCACCATCTGAAGACTGGAGAAGGCGGCCTGCTGCGATCGCATCTCTTAGCTTGGAGAGACTCGACCCGTGATGAAAGAGCTGGTCGTAGACATTCCTGGAGACTAGTTTTGTGCTGATTTTTCCTGATAACTCTCGATATAACAAACCTTGTCATGTGTTGAGGGGGTCTTGTCCTTGAGGGCATTTGTGCCATAGTCGACGCTCACCGTTCCAGATGCAGAAGCTTGTTTTACGCACGCAAGAGTAAAGATTGACATACTGAGATAGCACGCATTAATACTTCATCTATACTAGTACTCATCTCAAGGACTCATGAAGGAACGTTTGCATTACAAATGAAGAGATGGAAGAGAAATTCATTCTAGGAAATGCGATAATGTAACATACACTCAATTGTAGTAAGGAGTCGGACATTATTGGTTCATGACACACTCGTACCGTGCTATGCGATGGAAATATGACGTAAAATGCGCAACAAAAACACTAGGCAAACAAGAAAACAAGCGGCTGCTTTAGTCGACCTCCTCCACAGAAGGACCGTCCTCGCCCGCGCCAGGGAAACCACCTGGCGCACCGCCAGGAGCACCGGGGAAACCACCAGGAGCACCACCTGCAGCGCCGTAGAGCTTCTGCATGATAGGGTTGGCGATGCTCTCCAACTCCTTTTGCTTGCCCTCATACTCCTCCTTTGATGCTTCCTGTGATGCATCCAGCCACGAGATGGTCTCGTTGACGGAGCTCTCGAGCTTCGACTTGTCGGCGGGGTCGAACTTGTCAGCAAGCTTCTCGTCAGTGATAGAATTGCGCAGGTTGTATGCATATGATTCAAGGCCATTCTTGGCCTGAATGCGAGCAGCCGCGGCCTCATCTTCAGCTGTAAGATAGCAAAGTCAATTTATGGATGCAAATAACGTAGAAGAGCAGAAACCTACCTTTGTATTTCTCAGCTTCGTTAACCATGCGCTCGATCTCCTCTGCAGACAAGCGACCCTTGTCGTTGGTGATTGTGATGCGATTTGACTTGCCGGTAGTTTTGTCAGATGCGGAGACGTTCAGGATACCGTTGGCGTCAATGTCGAAGGTGACCTCGACCTGAGGAACACCACGGGGTGCCGGGGGAATGCCAGATAGCTCGAACTTGCCGAGCAAGTTGTTGTCCTTCGTGCGCGCACGCTCACCCTCGTACACCTGGATCAAGACACCAGGCTGGTTGTCCGAGTATGTCGAGAATGTCTCAGACTTCTTGGTGGGGACGGTGGTGTTGCGCTTGATGAGGGCAGTCATGACACCACCGGCAGTCTCAATACCGAGCGATAGAGGAGCGACATCGAGAAGCAGGAGGTCCTGAGTCTTCTCAGAGGTGTCGCCGGAAAGAATGGCAGCCTGAACGGCAGCACCGTAAGCAACGGCCTCATCAGGGTTGATGCTCTTATTGGGCTCCTTGCCATTGAAGAAGTCAGACACGAGCTTAACGATACGGGGAATACGCGTGGAACCGCCGACAAGGACGATTTCATGGACGTTCGCCTTGTCGATCTTAGAGTCCCGGAGGACCTTCTCGACGGGCTCGAGCGTGCTGCGGAACAGGTCCGCGCACAACTCCTCGAAACGGGCACGAGTAAGGGAAGTATAGAAGTCGATACCCTCAAAGAGGGAGTCAATCTCAATGGAAGTCTGGGTGGCCGATGACAGAGTCCGCTTGGCACGCTCGCAGGAAGTTCGTAGACGACGGAGCGCACGAGGGTTGGAAGAGAGATCTGTTACGTTGTTAGCCCAGAAAACAACAGATATAAAATTGACTCACCCTTCTTGTGCTTGCGCTTGAACTCTTGTGCGAAGTGGTTGACGAGTCGGTTGTCAAAGTCCTCACCACCCAAGTGAGTGTCACCAGCAGTGGCCTTCACCTCGAATATACCCTCCTCGATGGTCAAGAGCGACACATCAAAGGTTCCTCCTCCAAGATCGAAGATGAGGACGTTGCGCTCACCGATAACCTTTTTGTCGAGACCATATGCGATGGCAGCAGCAGTGGGTTCGTTGATGATACGAAGAACGTTCATTCCAGAGATAGTACCAGCGTCTTTTGTAGCCTGTCTCTGGGAGTCGTTAAAGTAGGCAGGGACGGTGACGACAGCGTCGTTGATATTGTAGCCCAAGTAGGACTCAGCGGTCTCCTTCATCTTAAGAAGAACCATCGACGAGATTTCCTCGGGAGAAAACTCCTTCTGCTCTCCCTTGTACTCCACTCGGATGTAAGGCTTGCCACCCTTGCTGAAAACAGTGAAGGGGAAGTGCTTGACGTCGGACTGGACCTCAGCATCATCGAATTTACGACCGATAAGACGCTTGGCGTCGAAAACGCTACGCAGACGAGTTAGCACTAGAAAGGAAAAGACCAAGGGTCGAAACTTACGTATTGTGGGGGTTCATAGCTACCTGATTCTTGGCAGCATCACCAATCAACCGTTCGCTGTCCGAAAAGGAGACATAAGAGGGGGTAGTACGGTTACCCTGGTCGTTGGCGATGATCTCAACACGGTCATTTTGCCAAACACCGACACAACTAGACGATTGCATGAGCATTGGCGATAGAAGCCCTAGACCAAACTTACGAGTAGGTTGTGCCCAAGTCGATACCGATGGCTTTAGATGGCGACATTTTAAGAGATTAGGATTCTTGTGAGGATTAAGGACGTGTTTAAAGGAAGTTTATGCTCTTCGAGCTCACCTATATAGGACTGAGGAAAAAGATAACAGTGAAGAAAGATCGAACGCGAATTGACATCTTTTATATGAAAGATATTCTTCGTCATTCCAGGACGTTCCTTCATCATTCTAGAGGGTTCTTTCCTGACGTAGATCGATTACATAACCACAACATGACATACTTACTCCAGGGTCACTGCCCTAACCGTTCGCGTTAACCCTTGAGAACAATGACATTGGCTATGTTGGTCACGATAATGTCCAAAATACTTCTCTAGAGGATATGTATCGTACGGTAGTGGTAAAAAGAAAATTTCAGAAGCATATAACGAAATGCTGTAAACGCTCCAGGCTTGTTCATCAGAACATAAAATGACACGCTGTGTACCAAGTAGAATAGCCCTGATGTCGGTCGAGAAGTATAACACAGGCAGAAATGAGGTAGCGCAGAATTGAATTGGAAATGTCGTCAGTCATGCGGGCCTGAAGCTCAGATAGTATCTTGTCAATTCAGTCATGATTATACGAAAAAGAATACGCGGTCGTGCGGTTATGCCCCATTTGTATGATGTCCCCCGATTCCAAGAGTATCATCCAAGCTTCGATGAGCTTGTAGGTCGCGAATTACAGTCGGATCCACTGAACATGAGGTATAAGCTTAAACTGCGGATTGATGAAATGAAAAGGCACGCACCGGGAAGAACGCTCTTTCGTCGTACATGAGGACTCTGAGAAACGGGTGAATGATCACCTCCGACTTGGGGAAACTCACGCTGAAACCATGTGGTAAACAGGTGCACCAAGATTGTTGATGGTCGAGACGCCACTCACATCCAACCCAGGGTCAGCCATGGGCACTCGTTCGATACCCGATTCGTCCAAGTCACCCGGAATATCACCATCAAGCGACACTGCATTCAGCTCCATCGATAAGTCCAGAATATCCGAATCATCATTAGGAGATGGAGGCGGCGGGGGTAAACGTTCGACCTCTTGAAATCCTGGAGGCAACTTCCCGCCAGCATTCTGTATTGCCTTCTCGCGGACTTTCTGCCATTGCTCATATCGCTCAACAGCATGTTGTTGTTCCCTGTCGTCTTGGGTTCATATTAAACCGAGGTAGAATATCAGTGAACTTACTCAATCTTCCGTTGCCTGTAGTGTTGCATCGTGTCGTCAAACAACTCTGGGTTGATCTCCATAAATAACTTTAGTGCATTATACACCATCCCATGAATAGTCCTAACGAGAAGTGAGTAGCCGTCCATTGATAGAAACGGTTGACGCACCGGTTCCAGTGGCTCTTGGAATTTGTATACAACGCGGGAAAGACGATTGGGAGGAGAACGGCTAGATTATCGCTCATGAGATTGACTACGTATTCGTTGTTCCAGTATAGCAAGGCTCGCTCAGCGACCTGGAAGTGTTGGCTGTTGATACATCGGGCAAGTTGCTGGAATAGCGGAACCTGGATCTTCTGGAACTCCAAGGGATCGGTGACATCAAGTACTTCCTCGACTTCATTCAGGAACATGACCTCTTTTGGGGAGTTGACCTTGGGCCAGTATTTGAGCAGTCCGAGCATAACCTCCTCCGCCAGGGCTGGATCCTTCTCTAGGAACTGCACGACACAGTATGCAAGTTGGGGGTGATAAAGCGAAAGACTCTTGACTTTATGTAGGGGGAGGAGCACGCGGGTTAAGAACGTCTTGTGCTCGTCCTTTAGAGGTAGGGCAAAGCCGTTGATGATCGAGCCCAATATTTCAAGGAGCTCTGCGATCCCATTATGTCTCTCCGATTCGTAAATGAAATGATAAAAGACGTTGTTTATCGACCGACGGATAAAGGCCCGAAGGTTGAGGAATTTACCGTAAATGCGGTGTAGGGTAGTCTTGAGAAAGTCGCGTTCGCGAGGGTCTTCAGAGTCGAAGAGCTCGAGGAGATTTAGCACGAAAGGCTGGTCAATGTATCGTTTGGCAAGATTGGTGTTGAAATCTGGGCTCTCGACGAAGCGAAGAAAAAATTCGTACACAATCTGGAGATGAGGCCAGGCGAGTTCCAAGACAGGCTCATCTTCTTCAGGGTCAAAAGCATCACCGGTTGGGTTGACAGGCGGGGGTATTGATCGGAAGAGGTTGACAGCAAACTAATTTGAGAAGTGAGTGGAACATAAATGTTTGGGTAATTTGAGACTAACCATGTTGACGACCTCGGGGTATATATTTTCAGTGATAACATTCCTTTGAGTTGTGATATACTCGAGCATTTCGTGTAAGGTCTGTGCCTTGATTTGTTTACCTTTAAGCTCTGCACTCGCGTCATTGAAGTCAAATAAGACGCGGCACTGATTGAGCTTCTTGATAAATAAGAGAGAACGCTCGTTGATGGGAATATCTGGATAAAGTGGATAATTAGTGACACGACACGGGTCTTAACGGAACTAGTAAATACCTGAGAAAGGGGGCAATTTTTCGATGTCAACCTTTTCAGTGACAACGAAGCGACTGCTACGCTGCTTGCGTGGAGGTTTTCCGACGATAGGGATTGTATCGCGCGGACCAGAACGTAGACGGTTGAGTGTGTTTGCGCGCGGAGGAGTGGAAGTGCCATCTAGACCAATTGTGCTACGTTCTGGAGAACTATATGGACCTGAGCGGGGTGCTAGGTCAGACGATGGGTCTGAGCTAACGACAACAATTGGAGGAATGGGGGATGGGTTCCCTGTGGAAGGGTACCTGCGATCTGGTGGAGAAGGAGTGATTGAAGTAGCAGAAGCTGGACGGCCTGAGGAAGAGGAACCTTGTGAAGTGAGAGAGTGATTACTAGAGTTGTTAACTGATGCGCCTGGCAGACCACTTGAAACAGGTTGAGGAAGTGGCTTTGCTGTGTTTGGTGGTGGAGGTGGAGGAGCTACTTGTGAAGTAGATGTAGATTTTTGATCTTTAGACTTTGATGAGGAAGAATCTTGAGAACTCTTCCTATTAAGCTGTGGATGATATTAGATATATTGGACAGTGATAAATGGATGAACTAACGAAAGATTTCTTGAGCCCCTTCATAGCAGTCGCTACTTGTTGGTTGCTGTTGCTGTTGGGATCGATGAAGGGTGTGACTCAACATCACATTTCAGTCACAAGTCACAACTTGTCGTCCAGCCCACAGACTCAGTACTGAGGTGGTGTTCCTTTTCTGGAAGTCACCACAACTTGTCTTCTTCCTCCATGGCTGGTACGTTTCGATTGCCCTTTCATTGATACAAGCTGATTCTCGGTGTTTAGCCATTTACGCCGTATATACCTCTCCTACTCACCCGCCCATACCAAACCATCTTCCTACTCTCATAGTAACTCCTCATGGCGAGTTTCAATCAGTATCATCCAATGGCTCATTAATTAATAAACAACAGGTCAACCGTCTAACATTCTCTACTCTTACCTTCACACAAACTTTGTAAGTCATATAACCTGCTTATCTTGAATCCCTTCTTTAATATCTCGTCATTAGAATTCCGAGAACTATCTTTTGACACCCTCTCCCCAAGGTGACCTCTGTGTCGCAAAGCTTTTCCCCCCACGTCAGAATCCTGGTAAATCTACTGCATCCGACCCTGGTCATTCAAGCTCTTCCGCTGCCCGCTACGTCAGATGCGAAGCTTCCCGTAATCTGAAGTGGACGATCACCAACACAGGTGTCATATCACCCATCTACAAGCTCTCCCTGCCGTCCCCAGACTCTCCCGATTTACCCCTCTTTCAAATATCAAAACCAAATCCTAATGCTGCTTTCTGGAGCATGTTCTACTTCGCTTATGCAGGTCATAATATTCCCCCAAAGCGCATTGAATTCGGAAAGATACAGAAGAACCCCCCAGGTCCAAACGGTGGCGGAACTAGAATTAGCATCACTGGAAAATCACCCGAAGAAAAAGCAGTCTGGCAGACCTTGGGAGAGGGGAATGAGGATTGTGTCGAATGGGTCGTTCTCTGCGCAGTACTGAACCTTCTCGAGTATGTCATTCACCACCTTATCATGTATCTAACCCACGCTTACCTGAAACAGCGATGAGATCATCAAGGCCGCTGAGAAGAATCCACCTCCAGCTGCCACACCTGGTCCCATGCCAAACAGTCCACCTGGCCCTGGCGGTCGACCAGCGCCTGTTGCGCTTCACGACCCAGCTCCAACGTCTGCACCTCCCCAAAATCAACCACGCCCTGGTCCATCCCAGCAGCATCCACCCCGTGGTCCACCACCTCCTCATTCCCAGGGAGGGCCAGGACCTACCCCGGGTGGTCGTCCCCCGCAAGGGTTCCCCCCTCCAAGAGGATTTCCACCTGGACAAGGACCCCCTCCAGGATTCATGCCCCCTCCTGGGTCCATACCACCTCCGGGGTCCATCCCCCCTGGTCCTGCTCAAGGCGGTTATCAAGGATTCCCTCCTGGACGTCAGCCCCAACCTCAGCAGCACCGCATGCCTGGTCCCCCCAGTGGCCCTCCACCCGCTATGCTCCCTGGCCGTGCGCCGCCCCCACAACAACCATACCCACAACAAATACCCCCTGCTCAACAACAGCAGCCAATGGCAAGACGTTTCTGATACTCGTATATACCTGGACAGTTCATCATGAGACAGTCTTCTTTACCCCCTTACCCTCTCCTTGTCTTTTTTTGGTACCCGATGCCTCCATAGGTGTCATGAACTCACTGACTCTGGATTTCTCTTTCTTTCGTCTTTTAGTGGTCGATCTAGTCTGACCTTCTTGGCGATATTGTCATTCTCCTTCGAATATCTTCAGTATAGGTGTAAGATACCATGTATGGCGTTTTTATTGTCTTTCCATATTTTGCGGGATATAAATGTGGTTCCAATAAAATAATGATGCCCTCACTCCTACGCGAAATCAGAAATCTCAGCGCCTCTGTGATGTCTATCTAGTTCTTGATGAGCTTCTGAAGGGCGTCCATCGAATATGCTGAGTAAAAATACCGATCAGCCTTATCACATGTACTATTTTCCATCAGATACGTACATTTAGGCCGCTCGAGAGGAAGTCCTAGTGCTATATTCATCACATCATCAGAACACTCATACTATAAGAGACCATCAATACTGACCTCGTGCCCACACCAATTGGGTTAGAGCTCCCAAAGCTAGATTGTGGCACATGAGCAAAATGAGAAAGTTAGCCGGCGGTCGCTTACCTCTGGAAACACCGAAGATAACGGTGTAGTACTTGAACTCAGTCAGACCGTAATGGTACAACACGCAGCCTTTCATAACGATCCTCAGAACCCAGGATTATGCCATGCGTGGAAGGACTTGCCTGAAGTTGCATCAACATTCGGGTAAGGATTTTTCGTCTTCAGAATAATGTGAACAAAATTACACCATTTGCAAACGAGCGCACACACCTTTCCATGCTCTTTGAGAACGTCAGGGGCAATCTCGGCCGTCTATGCGGATATATATATATTATGTGAGATATGACAGTAATAGCAATTCTAACCTGTTGCACGAGCTGAATTATGGGACTTGCTTGCAACTCTGGGCGAGTCTTGCAGAATTCCTGAAGAGCAATGAATCGAGGATCAGGGTTACGCAGGACTCCGTGCCCGTATCTAGACATCAGGTCAGGATATGCCCGTCAGACATAGCACACAAGAGACACACCCGGGAATGACTTGACCACTCTTCAACGTCTTCCAGAGGTAGTCCTTGATGTTCTCATGAGTTATGTTGTCACCAATCTCTTTCTGCATGGCCATCTGCCATCTCAGTACTTCCTGGTTCGCTAGACTGAAGGTATATGATGACGTTTAAACTACACGTGCAATGACTGGAAGCGTACCCATGAAGAGGTCCGGCGAGTGCAAAGAGAGCGGCAGAGTAGGAGATATACGGGTCAGAGAGTGTTGATCCGACGAGGTCTGATCGTCGTCGTCAAAAACGGATACAGTATTGACGTTGAGGAGTACTCACGAGCAGTGTGAGCTGAAGCATTACCACCTTCATGGTCACCATGCAACGCGATGTACAAACGGAGATACTCCGTCAAGTGCTCGTTTTGACCAAACCCGAGCATGTTGGAGTAGTTACCTGTACGCACACTAAACATGTCTTTGCGAATGATACTAGCCAGATACTAACCAACAAGATCCAGGTTTTTATCAACAGATTCTAAAGACCTCTCAGGGTGATAAACATTGCGATAGATACGGGCCGCCAGAGCAGGGAGTTTCGCAATGAGATTCAAACAGTCTTCAAGAGTATACGTCCAATACTCCGGCTTCTTGATTCCACGCTCATAGGCTGCTTGAAACTCCGAGTCATGGTTCAAAGCTGCAACACCCATGCCCAACTGAGTCATGGGGTGGAGGGTCTTTGGTAGGCTAATAAATTGAATAAACAGACGGTAGACACAGTAGTAGAGACATACGAGTCTATAAGCTGCGTGACGAAATGCGGGAGTTCTCCCTTGACTGCAAGCTCGGTGGACAGTTGACGGCTTTGCTCCGGAGTAGGAACTTTTCCGGTCAGAAGAAGCCAGAGCATGCTCTCAGCTGTCATCTCCTTGCCGCCGGGTGCTGGTGGGAGAACCTTTTGACAATCTGGGATAGTCAGACCGTGAAAACGGATACCCTAGATAATGATTTAGCGTCAGGGCACCTGCAGTTCGGCAATTGTCACGAACCTCGTTCGGGTCCAGGACTGAAGCTTCCCAGAGCATGGCTTTGAGACCACGCATTCCACCCAGGATGTTCTCCACCTATGTGACACGTCAATCAGCTCCACGGCTGTGGAATGAAATACTGACCTTGACTTCCCCCACTACAGCTTGACTGTGTTCGGCTTTCTATTGCAGGATGGGCACTAATGTTAAACTAAAATGTTTAAAAGAAACGTGACAGACCAGTTTCTTAAGTTGCTCTTGCTTCGCCGGGATGACTTCTTGAAGTGTTTCTTTGAGAGACTTGAAAGCTTTTCTGAGCAAAGACACCACCGAAATAAGGCGGTGATATTAAGTACCTTGGTGGAAGCCAGACGCCTAAAACCGTTGGTAGAGATATTTCTCGCGACAGACTTTGCAAAAAAAGAAGAACGACCAATCATAGTGAAAGTAGTGAGTTGGCTGGAAGTAAAAAGCGGAGGATGTGTCTTATAAGTACTCGGACCAAGCGCAAGTACACAAGACTCCCGCTCCCATGCATGTGAAGTTCGGTATTCAAGAAATCCGAGAACAAGTTTGCCACATTTAGAAGCTCCGCCGGCAAATTGATACAAATATGGACAAAGCTTCCGCGTGGCACACTGAGTGAGTTGGCAACAGTGAATCTGCAAGTCTTAGCCCACGTCTCCAGCTGCCATCATGGCTTCAGTCCTGGTTCCCGTCCTATACGTCGGAATAGTCATTTCAAGTTTACTACTCTTCAGCCATTTCTACAGAAAACGCAGTGCAGGTAAGAACCGTGAGCAGTTTCATGATCGTGCATACTGACGTGTAACGTATAACAGGCAAACTGTACGAACCCTACTTTTCTTCGCATCCAGAACGCGATGTCTACATTTCCTTGCTACAGAAGACCGACCCTCCAGCTCACGAAGCCCTTCTCAAAGCCGCTCTTGTTCGCCGTGCAATGACAGACGTCTCTCGTGTTGTTAGACTCCGCGAAGACAAGCCTGCTCTACAAAATCTTCTGCAGAAAGGGTCAATCGGCGATGACCTCTGGAACAGTCTTCTGCAAGCAGAGAAAGAGCTAGAAGCAGAAATCATGGAGGTCGTCGCAGAAGCTAATACCTTTGTCGAGGGATGGGGAAGCATAATATTCCAGTCAGCTGGTGAGATGATCGCGAATGAGAAAATGCGCACGCTCTATGAGGAGACTCCAGCATCTAGAGGGATCAAAGGTGTTTTACTTCACGTGTGATATCCGACAACTTTCTGAACTTCCCTTCAGAACAAAAATATGGAAAAGTAGGAGCCAAGATCGACCTCCCTCTACCTCAGCCAGTCCTCATGCCCGGACCACCGCCACCTGGCCACCCTGCTCATGCTGCTGCGCTTGCAGCAGCTGCAGCAGGGGGTGCTCCAGGTTCTGTTCCTGGAACTCCCGTTAAGCCTCCGAATAGTCTTATCCCACCCCGCGCCAGTAGTACAAAGGCGGAGAGCGTGGCGTCAAGCGATGGCGAGAGCCACGATACCCCATCTACTTCAAAATCTGTAAGTACCACTTCCAAATCACTCTCAACCAACTCAAGCCACATTACCCACAGTCCAAGAAGAGGGGCAAGAAACGGAAGTAAAGCTTAGGTGTTCGTACATACCTTGTCCATATCATGCAGTACACACACGTCTTGCTGAAACACGATTGTTGATACTGCATAAATTGAGACAAAAGTACAATGTGCTTAAGATAAAAGACGACGCGCAGAACACAATCCGAGTCCAAACCGTATACATCACTTCACATCAGCCTCTGATGACGATAGCCTTCTCGCCTGCTGTTCTTGCCTTGCCCGACTTGTCTATGTGATCCAGTCCAAGGACATCTTCGGGAGCGAATTTGTGTTCGTATATGGTGTCCTCTGTGTCGTTGTCAGAAAATAGCAATCTTTCGCGATAAAGTTAAGCGCTCACCATCCTCGATATATGACGGCTGCTTGAAGGTAGCCACTTGGATTAGGGCAAACCGATACTTGGCAAAGTCCTTGTCTGATGCACCTATTCGTGCCTGCAGACGCTTCTTTGTGTCCGCAAATTTTTCACCCTTGATTCACTCGTCAAAATAAACCATGGTCAAACGACAAAGATACTCACAGATTTTACGACAAATCGGAAAGGTACACCATGCGTTCGTGCAACTTCCCTATTGAAGTGGAAGACACTGATGGTCTTGCTAGTTTCGTCCGCTTCAAGTTCGTCTCGAGGTATTTCCTGTTTCACGTTGAAATCGCTGATAGAAAGATACAACCAAAAGTAGTTATACATACCTCCGCATAAAGTTCAACAGGTTCAGGGATGTTTCCAATCATTTCAGAGCCCGTAAACTCCTTCTGGAATTTCCCATCTTTCGACACTTCAAAGACACGAATCTTACCAGTCCCTCCAGGGCTCAGCGTCACTTGCTTCGCTAGGTGATCAGCAAGATCATGGACCGAGCTCGTCTTCGGCAACAGGAACGGGTATGAGGCCTCTTCTCTATTATGAATCCCCGTCCACATAATCTTGAGGCTTCGCTTTGTCTCCAGCTCCACAATGCTTACATCCAGCTTCTCGTAGAGAATGACAGTCGTCGTTGGATTGATATAACTCGGTACCATGATTTCCTGTATGCTCTGGTTGAGAGATCGCTTAAGGACTGATTTGGGTGATCCGTTCGTTGCGTGAGTCGTTGTGAATCGAAGCTTGATCGGATCATGTCTCAAGAACTCGCCAGCCTTCGTCGACATCTGGGCAAGTCATCAACTACTCAAGCCACTAACACGTAGGGAAGAACACCAACCATGTCGTAGTTGTGCTTCTTGCTGAGGATTAGACTGAACTCTGGGTGATCGTGGTCTGGGTCCTCGAATTTCGGTCGGAAGATGATCATGACGCGGTTCTGGAGGAAGTCGTAAAATTGTATCGGGTTGGAGTACATACCCTGGGCATCGAGGTCGTGGATCCTAAACAAGACTTGAACATAGATTGTTGAGAGTAAGGATTGAATACTCACTCTTTCTCGGAGTGGTCAACCTGGAAACAAATGACATCTCCATCCTGGATCTCACTCTGAGCAAAAGTAAGCTTCTGCTTCATCAGCTCGATCATGCCAGGCTTTATTTCCTACAACCAGTCAAGAGTAAGATCCAAGCCCGAACGGCAATTCAGTTAGCGCACCTCAAACAACCTTAGAGGAGTGCCAGGTGCCCACCGCATCCGCTCATTGATCAAAGGGTGCAGATCCTGGACTTTACTATTCCTCGACATATACACCTTACCAATACCAAACAGACTCTGCTTCGCCATGTCGAAGTGCTTGAGGAAAATCATGATGGACCCCGCTGGTGGCTCGGGCTGCAACAACCTGTCAATGAACTTCCTGCAGCACAGAACAGCGACATACCTTGCTTGGATCGGGTATTATATCAAGATACAAGCGGAGATCATTCTGCCTTGCTGCCATATTATTGCGAATAACCTCGACAGCTACAGCGAGCATTAGAGATCAATAGCTGTGAAAGGACAAGAACCTACTCAGCGTCGGTTCATTCTCAGGAATATGAGTATCAGGGCGAACAGTCTTGTTTTGACGGTTCACCAGAACCCAGAGGCGTATTTTGTTCTCCGGGAGGTTGAAGTGGCTCGCTACACGCGACTTGAAGGTACTATAGGTTTCTTGCTTCAAAACACGGAAGCTCGGTAGCTCCGAAGGCGGCCAGTTCTTTTCATCAAAGGTAGCAAGATCAAAACCTTCGTGATGAGCGAATGTATCATCAGTGATGACCTTGAGTGACGTGAGCAGGAGGACAAGTAAACGACGAGACCGTCACAAACCTTGGCCGTGAGGAAAAGATGCTGCTCCTCGCGTTCACGCTTCTTAGCTTCGATCTGTAGTCTCTCGTCCTCAAGTCGACGCTCTTTAATTATAGTCAGCAACACGTGTTATTACGTTACAAAGTGACTCACTGAGATGTGCCGGGGTGTCCTCGTCCTTCCAAGTCGAAAGGATTTCCTCGGTGGCTGATTCACGAATGTAGACCAACATATACGCATTGGTGAACCTCTTCATGGCTCGTACTTGATTGCGTTGCAGTGGTGGAGTGATGCCATTCAGAGGTTCACCACCATAATTTTCCTCTAATACCTCGCGATCAGTGACTGGGGTGACCTTATCATCATCAAATTTCAGCCATCTCGTCTCCCGATCGGGTTTGATGAGTGCAAAGTAATGTCCGCCATATCGATCCCCTGAATGTACCAACACGCCATGCAACTTATAGTTCCATGACTGCGAACGATCGGCATCCTCATCCAGGAATTCCGCGAGGTCGATTTCAAATGGGAATTCATGGCGATCGTTGATCTACAGGAGATTAATCAATGAGAACCACAGGTTTACTTGTGCTACGAACCTTTGCCATCGCGTCACGCTGTATATCATATTCGAAACGCTTCAGTTGCAGATGGAGTACAGGAGGGAATGATTGGAAGAGGATTCCCTTCTTCGCGTCTTGGAGGCCAAACCCTTCAGCTTGATACTTATTCTCACCCTCCATCATCTCAACAGCGACGTAATCCTTGAATGACTCGTACAGGTTCTTCATTCCCTTGACGTTGAGAGAGATGTCTGGATCAAATAACGCGTTAGATAGTGCCAGATAGGAAAAAATCGAGATTACCATTGAAGTCCTCAAATACAGATGATTCAAATTCGACGTTCACACATTTGATGTAACTCTTCATCTTTCCAACGAAGAGCTTGGAGATTGCACCTTCGGCTTTCGTACCCTAGACGGGATGAGACACTGCAGGGCATATGATCCGAATTCTGATACCTTCATCTTGGTCTCTAACTTGTCTTGGAGTACGCGGTTAAATTCTTGGACGTCATGTTGTTGATCAGAGTCAAACGACTTCCACCCAAACGATTTCGTCAATTCCGTGGTTCCTGAGGAATTACATTTTGGAAAGGATCACGGGTTAAATTAACTTGATACGTACCAACAGGCTGATCTGATGTCTGAAGATGGTAAAACACCCGTTGCAAGGCGAGGGGTACGCTTTCGGTAGGGTGTTCGTCTTCTGTTGGTATTTGGTACACAGCCTAAAAGCCACGTTAGCTGAATAATAGATGTCAACGCCACACTCGCCTTTCGGAAGTAACGCGTGCAGAAAAGAGATTGGAGAAGAGAATTCATGTAACACGTCGCGCCTTGGTTCTTCAAGCCAACGTATCCAGTCTCCTTCTTGGAGTCATAGCTGAACGGAATAAATAAGAAGGGCTGAGGATTGGCAGGATGGATACGCACTTCACAAAATTGTGCCACAAGACGCCGGTAGGATCCTCGAGTACACGAACATAGACAGTAACATCGGCCGACTCATCCTCGATAGTTGGACGGGAATGGCCTTCTTGAATATTGAACAGTTTGCGCAGCTCACTGAAGCGGGTGAAGCCCCAGTCGCATTCCTCGGCGATAAAGCGATGGTGGGCATCTATGGAATAGTTGTATTTTTGAGCAGGTGAAATGAAATGATAGAACTCACGGCTGACTGTGAATATGGTAGGGTCGTGGGGATTGGAAATGACGAGTGCGAACTGGGCACATGCATGCCAACCCTCTGGGGACTTCTTTGGATCAGCGTAATCAAGATAGACGGAAACGGTGTCGTTAGGGGGTGCATTAGAATTTCCGAAGGGAAATAATAGTATGCGCCTGTTAAGAAATGTGAGGGTGAGGGGAAGAGGGCCCTCTAATAAACTGACCATTTGTGACCGCCGCATTCAAAGTCAGGACTTGTGAGCCTCTTTTCTAATTTCTTCCAGTTGTTTATCCGCCAAGTGTAAACCTGAAAATCTTTGACATCATGCCCTAGGTCTGGCATGTGTTTTGATGCAAAAGCTTGGTCTATAATGTTGATGAGATATGAAGAGGTGAGTTGATATAGAGGAAAGAGAGCTTACGATCGCGAACGGAGATGACTTCATCAATGATCTCCATGGAAGGACCACCGTTTACTTTTAATTCCTCAATAAGATCCATGGTATCACTCTTGTTTGGCTGAAATGTGAGTCTGGGGTTTGCAGGTTAGGTATGATGAGACATACGATGCAAGTCTGCAAATGAGCAGCAGTTCAGAGGATGAGATGACTGAATCGTATTGAAATATAAGCTGATGCTACCGCGAAGAGAGGATAATCCGTGACAATGATACTCCAAAGTGACACTAGCGAGTGAAGTGACGAAGGTCGGTGGGAATCGGTCATAGGGAATCGCTCTCGTAAGCAACCCCCGGATATAAAAATTCGACCCCTCCAAGTTTAAACTTGTTCCTTTTTTTTTATCAACGATGTCGACGTACTACAACGCTTGCAACGACTCTCTCGATTAATCATTCCGAGTGATCTCACACGATCCTTAAATTGTCTCGACAGGGTTGACCTCAGTGTCACCACCAGCCTTTCCGCTGTTTCACTGTCGGTAATGAGTCAAAATCGTGTAAAAGCAGGTCGGACGGACTTTTGGACTGTTGCCAGTCTCGTTTTGTGACTGGGAGCTATCATCCAAAACTCTCTGACGATGCCATGATCATTTTGTATCGACGGCGTTCATCGTCGTCGCTCTTGGTCAATGGCGGACATCACCATGCATTGTATATTATTATTATTATTATTATTATTATTATATTTACTAGAATGAAATCTTATCGGCCTAGCCCTTGACCCATGCAAGGCTATGCTTATCATACCCGCGGAATCGGACAATACTTACCATGTGTGTACGGTGCTGCTATGCTCATTTTGATGAGTATCAAGTCAGAATGAACTGACTATGGTAACAGTTTGGTTCCCACCAATCGTCGTTACAAGCGCTCAAGCATCCTCAAGAACGTAAGTAAGTAACTAGAACTACTAAGCAAATATTAAAAGGAAGTTTCATACTACCGGATGCCTCATGTCGACGGGTCGGCACCTGTCAGTTCTCTCTTTCTTATTCTTCTACTCGTTCCATTTTCAAGAACTGGATCCTGGCTTTTTACTAAATGGCCACTCGAAGACGAGAAGACCGTCTTCATGACGATCGTCACAAACTCTGGGCTACAGAGAAGCCTACTGACCGCGACTACGACCAACGCCGTCATCGTGAATCTAGTAGGTCTCGTGCTCATCCCCAGTACTCTTCCGCTGCACCTTCTCCCTCATATCAGTCAGCCCCATCATCAATCAGTAAAACACGTTCTTCTTCTGCCCAGTACCCATCTGCAGGTTATCATTCCGCAACACCTTACCAGACTCCTGCACCCCTCCAGCCATCTAACACCAAGGGTTATCCTCCAACAGCATCTTCACGCCGCCCCCAACCAGAACCCATTGACTCCAGATCTCATCGACGACATGCTCCAACCCCAAAATCATCTTATGAACAAGTATCCGGCACTGAAGACGTCGCAAGATCCTCCAGGCAAACTTATTCTTCCCGTCCTGTCCAACCCCAGACTACCGCGAATTCAACCACACCTTCCACTAATTGGCTTTCATCTGCTCAAGATATCTACTCTAAGCGATCGAAAGATCGTGACCAGGAACGTGAAAGACATCGAGAAATGGAGAAAGAACGTGACAGAGAAAGGGCTAGTGCTGAGCTCGAAAGGCATCGTGAAAGACATAGATCTGAACAGCATCGAGAGAAGGAAAAGGCCGACAGGAAGAGGGAACAATCCAGGCACAGACGCGAAAAAAAGATCGAGTCAGACTCTGAAGGCCTCGTGTATTCAGACAAAGCTTCCATCTCTGGCAGGGAAGCCTATCAGCCCTCCATTCGCGAGTCTATCACCGGTCACAGGCGGCATCGTACAGAAGACGGAGTTTCATCGGTATGTTCAACTGATTTTATATGGGTGCATGATGTTGATACTGCACCGAAGGCTCGCCGACCTCATGCTGACTCTTCCCATAACCAAACTTCTGCTGTGCATACGCAGTCTACAGGTCCCCAGCAAGAGGTTGTAACTCAGAGTAATACAACAGGCCTAGGGAGCAATCCACCGCCCGCGCCTCGCGTAATGCCTGTCTACCTTCCTCATAAACCCTCCAAACCACATCATGAGCGACATACGTCATTGGCTATGCAAGGAGCTCAATCAGGCAGTGACACTGAACGAGCTTCTCTAAAAGTAAGACACCCAAACAACCTTGTTTAACTCCCTTAACCCTTTTTTTTCCAGCACCGCATCGAGAGAAACCACTCGGGAGGTCCCGTGCAGAGAGGTGATGGGTATCAAACTAGTGCCGTAAGGGAGAGACAGGGCCAAGACGCCCCCCTGGGTCCGCGTGAGGACGCCAAGTCTAAATCAGAGGTGTGTTCAGCAGCCTTGACGACTGAATGATGGAGCTGATTGTGATAATCACCGCCAAGTATACCTCGACCCAGGGTACATATTATGACTCGCGGCAGCCCCTAAAGCCTACGTCAATTCACACCGTGGATATACCCCTTATTACGCCAGGCTTCAACTCGTCACCTTTACCACACGAATCACGAGGACATGTGGGTACCATACCTGTTCTTGTTGCAGGAGAGGGCCCTGCCGACCGCCAGGCTCACGATGTACTTTACAAGTCACATTCGCCTTTACATCAAGATGAACTGCATGGTGCAGGACATCCTCATGCATCATCCCTCGCTTCCGCGGTGAAGCCGTCTCATGGCAGATCACAATCTTCTGAAGTCCCCCGTAGCCGGCCGGAACAGCCCCAACTGGAGCGATCTCGCACAGATCCCGTAGCAATTGATGTCTCGCATGGCCGTCATCATCGGCCGGAAGACCTTACACCACTCCGACACCCTCAGATCAGTACACCAGTGGAAAACCAGCCCTCTCAACCGCGTACACACAAGACATCGCTCTCCAATCCGCCTGCTGTATCTGGCCCAAGACCTCAACGTTCCTCTTCGGTCGCAGACCATCAGAATGAGTCGACTAGACCGATGCCTTCATTGGGTCCGGTAGCTTCCAGCCAGTCACATGTAACCTCATCACCTGCTCACAAGACGAACTCGAGCCCACCTAAGATTGGGTCTGGTTATGGATCCCTCCCTTCTGCATGCCCAACCCCTATGAGCTCACAGACTCCCCTTGCATCTGGAACCCAGGGCAATAACACGACAATAATTCAACGACCACCATCCACACCTCCTGCCCATTCAACATCGATGAACACCTCACAGACGATGATGATGGCATCACAACCTTCTCGTGCACCACGAACTTCACTTGATCGTCCAGAACCCCACGTCGTCGCTCCTCGCATGACGACCGCTCAGACTTCTAATGGGAGTACGGTCAAATCATCATGGGTCGTGCAGACTGCCCAACAGCTCAAGGATGGTTACGCGGCTAGGGAGGAGAAGCATTCAGGTCCTAACAGCTCACATCATCAAGTCGATCCGCCCGCGGTATCTCATCCACAGCTGCGGGAAGTCCTTTCTCAAGACAGCCACTACACAACGCCCCGTTCAGCTCCAACTCCAAATTCATCGCTGAGGTCGTCGCCTTATGGCACGCCAAAGGACGTGTATGTTGCCGGGACACTTCGGCGCTCTCCAGAGAGTTCACCTAAGGTCAAATTGGTACGTAGATTGAATATATCTTCGCTAGTTTAACTCACGCGTAGAACAGGCAGCCACGCCGGAGATTGCTGTAATAGGAGCTACGCCATTGTCTGAAAACCAGGAATTACCTCATAAGCCCCCGCACAACTCCGGTTTCCTTGCGCCGTCTTACTCAGCCCCTTCGCGAGTGTCGAGGACTACGTCTGGGAGTCGCGACCATCCTACACCAGTGCAGGTGCAGCCGCAGATAGCTCACAATCACGCTGTTGGGGTCTTGAGGACGACGTCAGGCAGCCGTGATCATCCACAGACGCCAACGGTTCATACTCATACTATTGGTTCTGTCGCATCGCACAAGCAGACTCCTACGCTTCCATTGCAGCCTGTGACGCCGCAGACTCCAGCGTCCCCATACGGCAGTCTTCCTGCACCATCATACCCAGCGCTCTCGAGGACAGCGTCCGGTAGCCGTGACTATCCACCGAACACGCAGCCGCAGACGGTTCACACCTATCCTATTGTTTCTACTGCATCACAACAGCAGACTCCTGAGCATCCATCCCAGCCTGTGGTGTTACCTTCGCAGGTCTCAAGGACAACGTCTGGCAGCCGTGAGCATCCCCCGCAGCAGACGGTCCATAGTGTTGGTTCTACAGGATCGCAGCAGCAGACTCCTGGGTCTATGTTTCAATCTGTGGTGTTACCTTCGCAGGTCTCGAGGACAACGTCTGGCAGCCGTGAACATCCTCCGCACGGGCAGGGCTCTATAGCCGCACACCAGCAGACTCCTGGGTCTCAATCTGTAGCACCGCAGGCTCCAGCGTCACCATACGATAATCTTCCTACACCATTGTGCCCAGCGCCTTCGCAGATCTTGAGGACAACGTCCAGCATCCGTGACCACCCACCGGATGCACAGGCACGAACGGTCCATCCTGTTGGTTCTACAGGGTCGTATCAGCAGACTCTGTCTCCCTCATCGTACGGTCAACTTGCTTCTGCTGGACAGTTTTCTCCTCCACCTCTACCGGTTCCACCACCAAGAGTACCGGGGATTGACATCCCAGAGGACATTTTTCCTGTTAGGTTGGCACCCAGTAGTCCCGCTGGAATCAACCCTGCGCCCACCAGCTCTGTCGTTCCATCGCAGCCCGCTCCAGCTCCAGTCGTTGCTCATCCCTCGGCTATGGCAGCCTCTGCTTCCTCTGCTCAGCCTTCATCGCCCAGTGGACATGCCAATCTCTACAAGAGCAAGCCTGGGACGGGTGAGGGAATGGGTGCTGCGCCTGCGACCGCAAGTTCCGCGTACCAGAAGGCTGCTACTCCTGCACCTGCTATCTCTCGCGAGGCTTCTCTAGCTGCACCGGCATCACCATCTACGGGTATGGGTCCTGCTAGTGGAGTTCATCAGGGTATATCAGGTTCACAGCACCCCCTGCCGAGCCAAGGAATGCCTGTGAGCGTACATCCACCGACCAATCCGGCTCCTCGGTTGACACGGCCAAAAGTCACCATCGAGGAAGTTCCTGAGTCTCCACAGTTCGGGAATAAGTGGACTGCGAGTCCTCCTCAGACGTATCCGCAGACACAGATGCAGGTTCCGGCGCAGGATTCTGAGGCTCCCGCGCCTTCCTCGAGCGTTCCTACTGCCAAGTCTTCAGACTTGCATGCTCGTGGGAAGGCACCACTGCCAGTGAAGCCCAAGGATAATGTTGTTTCTAGTGTGCAGCCTACTCCGAGCGTGCAATCAACCCCCACTGTGAAGCCTAGCCCCAGTGTGCAGCCTACTTCGAGCGTGCAGCCTACCTTCACTGTGAAGCCTAGCCCCAGTGTGCAGCCTATTCCGAATGTGCAAACTACCCCCACTGTGAAGCCTGGACCTATCAGTATGCAGCCTAGCCCCGCTGTGAAGGTTAGCCCCAGCGTTCAGCCTCCTCCGATCATGCAGCCTACCTCCACTGTGAAGCCTAGCAGTGTGCAGGCTACTCCAAGCGTGCAACCTACCCCCACTGTGAAGCCTAGTCCTAGTATGCAACCTACTCCCACTGCCGTAGCGTCAACTTCATCCCATGCTCCTCCTGCACCATCAACTCAACAGCATGCATACACTTCTGCATCTTCTCGTGCCCCGTTCTCCGCTCCGCCAACGCAGACTACTTTTACTCCATTGCACCAAGATCCTGTTCATCGGACGACATCGTCTGGTGGACAGCCTCGAGGTTACCAACGGTCGACCGATGCGCAGCCAAGTGCGAAAGCACCGCCTACACATATAAGCGCATCAGCTATTGCAGCGCAAGGTGCTCGACAAGTTTCTCAACTACCGAATGTTACTCAGAGTGTTTCTATAGATAATACATCCAAGGGGAGATCATACGCTACGACCCCTACTACGGCCGTGACCGCCCCTCACCTTCAGAATTTGCCCACTGCGGAGACCCACGCGAAATCTCATTCATCTCGGCCCCTTACCAGCGCATCAGCTACCGCAGCGCAAACCACTCGACCAGTTGCTCCGCCGCTGAATTCTACTCAGAGTGTTCCTGTTGATGCTGCATTCAAAGGTAGCAGACCATATGCTGCGGTCGCTGCGTCTGCTGTCGCATCTCACCCTCATAATGCAGAGGCCCACGCAAAACCTTATTCCTCTCGTCCTGTTGTACCTCCCGTGACTATTCCTCAAGGTCTCAGCGTCCGTGCGGCTGCCAGCACGCCGTCTGCGAAAACCCAAGTGCAGGACCCTCCTAATACCAGTGATTCTACTCGTTATCGTGATTTGATTTCTTCTGCTTCTCGTTATGCATCAGCTATGAACCCATTATACCCTGCATCTCATCGTCACGCTACTCCAGCGAGCGCCAGCCAGCAACTCAAACCCTCGCACTCGACACATCCTATACCCCATCATCGAACTGTATCATTACCCACTCCGCAGCCTGTTTCCACATCTAATGTCAACCCACGTCCTCCTTCTCCTCGTAAATTTTCTCAGCCTTTGGTCAACTCCAGTGCTACGTCAACACAGCCTTTCCCCAGTTCTTCGCAAGGAAACGTTTTGTCTCGCCCCTCCAAGACAGCCGAACCTTCGTGGGCTGCCCGTGTTGCAGTCTCAGGGCATCCATCTACACCTGCTCCGTCCCGAGCTCATCTGCCATCAGCTATGAATCGTACATTTTCCCACGAGTCCGAGATGCTGATGACGCCTTCCTCTATTGCACCCTCAATGCCTAAGACACCGCAAACACCGCAGACGAGCTTCACCTCTCCGCACCAAGTAACTGCGCCCCTGATGAGGCAGAGGCAGGTGTCAACAGAATCTAAGGAGTCGAAGAAGAAGCCGGGTGGTTTCCTTGGAGGGTTGTTCAGGACCATGTCAGGGTCTGGCTCTTCTAAACCTCTCGAGAGTCCCGTTGCTCGATCTCCAAAGCTATCTATGGAGCAGCATAAGTCTCCGCCCATTATATCACCACCCATCCAGCACTCTAAGTCGTCTTATTCCCCTAAGGAATCGAAGGATAAGGTTGTGGCTTCTGCACTTCCTGCCCACACGATGCAGACTACGACTCTTCCACCCCCATTAGCGTTGACTCAATCAAAGGCATCAAAGGACAGAGCCAGGAGGCACCCTGAGATTACCATTTCATCTGCGCATCCTCCTCGTGACCGCAAGCACCCTTCATCCAATGTGTTCTCTCCGTTCAGTTTCCTGACTAGCAAAAGAAATCGCACCATGTCTGGAGCATCTCTTGACGTATGTGATGGAAACACTGCAGTACGTATGATTTTTCGTGTGGTGCGATGAGTCTCATGATTCACACAGACGAACACCGTGATTGGGTCTCCGGCTCACTCTACCGTCAGTCAAGTTCAGCCTCTTCCGCCTATGGTGCCCCCACCTTCGCGGGATCCTATGGTAGCAACTAGCCAGTGGAGGGATAGAGAAGAAGCGGAGCAGAAGAGGCGGAGAAAAAATCGACCTCGGCCAGGAGTGACCTTTGACGTTGAGGAAGACCCACCTGACCCTTATCCTGGGGCTACAGGCAAGCAGAAAGGCGCGCGGCTGGTTCGGCGCAAAACTGGCCGTGCTGTGACTCCTGGACCTCGCTGATATGACTGTCAATTTATGTTTGAAGTATCTTAGTATTGTCTTTGTATTATGTTATATAGTTTATGGTCCTATAACAGCTGTTTAGAAGGTATGCCTGAGAGAAGTAGCTAAACATGGATTATAGTGAGGTGCAGTCTAATGTTATTGATCCATCAAATACAACATATTCAGCCCTATTTGAGCACAGCCAATTCTCACTGGGGGTCACGAGTCTATTGTGACGTTTATGTGTAGTGTGACAAATATTTACGCGTTTGTGACACCTCGCGTTCCCTACTTATTGCCAGTGTCTATTGGACTACCCACTGATTGTTTTCACGCAATGTACAACAATTCTGAAAGGAGGAAATTTGACCCAGCGAAATTTGACTCGTCGAAATCAGCAAATTCATTTGAGTGGCCTTTCCGTCTCAACTTGTATGTATCTTTATTGCCTACTTTCAGGAGGTGACCTCAATCCATTTTAAGTTACGACAAGTCCCCATGGTATGAAGTCTCTTTAGAGGATTTTGAGAGATACGCCTTGGATCGCCTTCGCGTTCTTGCAGAAATCGAGTCCTCTTTTGCGCGTAACAGATCTTGGGAGGAGTTGAAGAGTGTGACCACGCGGCAGTGCAAGGATCACCTTCCTCTCAACAGCAGCAGTGCCTTAACTGTGGATACGCAGACTGAAAGGAGGAATGACCACCTAGGTCACTTTGTACTCAGACTTGCTTTCTGTCGATCGTGCGTTACATTCTCATCGTCGACCTCTCATCCGGTTACTGATTTTTAGAGAGGACTTGAGGAGGAGGTTCGTGAAAGCAGAAACCGCTCTCTTTCGAGTGAGATATGAGAGTGATGATACAAAGGAGCGAGAGCTATTTCTACAATCCCGGGACTTTAAATGGACTGAGGTAAGTGCATGATAACACTCATTCCTCGTGCTAACGGTACTGCTAGGTCAACTCAGAGGAGAAGCTACAGTATGCCAGTGAATTGAAGGGTTTGGGAATGCAGCAGCCGGAGGAAGGAGTTCCTACAACGGAGAGGCTTTACAAGGCGCGTCAAACAGTCTACCCTTCCTGCTCTGTATTCATTCTCTACAGGTGAGATGGACTCAAGTGCCGGATCTTGTCAATAAGCGACGTGTCCTTCTCAAAGACGGCTGGGCGTACGTTCCTAACAAGGAACAGCTCAGCATTGTTCTGCGAGCATTTGAAGCAAACCTTGAAAATGCGCTCGATGTCAGTTAGCATTTTAACATCCCTCAGAACTTTTCTGATTTTTTGATAGTCAACCGCTCGGTCGATAATGCGCATGGATGGTGATACACGCCTAACCGAAATACTCAATCACATGTCTCGAGGATTTGTCGCAGGGGTAGCTTCAGAGTACTCTGGTCCAGCCACAGGCGACGAGATCAGAGCAGATATGGTGGATGACCTCGCCAAACGACACTTCCCCTTGTGCATGCGGAACCTACACGAATGCCTCATGCGGGACCGTCACTTGAAACATTTTGGTCGGCTGCAATACGGCCTGTTTCTCAAAGTGGGACATTTATTGCTCAATGACTGGAAGCTTCGTTGACCGTAACTCATCAGGTTCTTGGTTTGTCGATAGACGAAGCAATTGCATTTTGGAGGAAGTCTTTCAGCAATCTCACGGACGACAAGTTCAACAAAGAATACAAGTACAACATTAGACATTCATTTGGACTGGAAGGGAAGCGTGCCAACTATCCAGCAAAGAGGTATGAACATGTAACATCCCAGCTTAGGTGTTCTGATGGTCAATTCCATACAGTTGTCAGCAGATTCTCTTAACAGACAAACCTGGACCTTCTGATTGCCATGGATGTCCATATCGCCACTTTGCCCCAGACAACTTGCAAACGAGTTTATTAGCAACTTATTCATCACAAGGACTGACATCGACGGATCTAGCGGAGGTCATGCGTACTGTGAAAGAAGGACATTATCATGTTGCCTGTACCCGAGTTTTTGAGATCACTCATGCAGCAGCAGGAGTCAAGAAAGGTGATGGGATCGGAGAAGGAGAAAGTGTCACACATCCTAACCAGTATGCAGCAAAGAGCATAGAAATTGAGAAAGCGCAACAAAAGGACGCAATGGTTGTAGAGTAGATTAACGTTTACCGACTTGGACAGATTGACATAATCATTGTTGTATTCATGGGTTTATGCGGTGTTTGGTGTCCTTGAGCTATAATAGAAGGACCCCGCACCTAGTATGATCGTCCAGGGCTCCCTTGCTGGTCATCTGCCCATCCACACCTTAAAGCCAGCATGGCCCGAAGCAAAGTCAGTCCAGTGAATGGCAACCAGAAACACGACAGTTCTCTCCAACAATACAATGATACTGATGGCCATTTCTCCCTAGTCAGGTACAGATCCTCATGTTCTCCGTAACTTCTTGACTTGCTAAGAAGTTTACTTTCAGAAACTTCCGTCTAGCTGATCTTGTTACCATTATGAACGGTGTCTGCGGCTCTTTCTCGATATTTTCATCTGCACAGTACCTATTAACGAACGATGATGATTACTTGTTGTGGGCACTTGGTCTCCCACTGGCCGGATTGATGTTTGACTTCATGGACGGTAAAGTCGCGAGGTGGAGAAAGTCATCCAGTATGCTGGGCCAGGAACTTGACAGTCTTGCAGATCTGGTATGCAATCTCTCGATACGCGTTGCTCGCTCGCCTAATTTTATTGTACGGTAGGTATCATTTGGTGTTGCACCTGCTGTGGTTGCTTTTGCTGTGGGCCTTCGGACATACCTTGACACTGTATGTTTGACTGGTTTCATATGTTGTGGTCTCGCTCGTCTCGCCCGTTTCAACGCGACTGTTGCGTTGATACCTAAGGACGCAGCAGGCAAGTCCAGGTACTTCGAGGGCCTTCCAATCCCTTCGTCTCTGGGACTTGTCGCGATTCTGTCATACTGGGTTCGACGAGGTTGGGTTGAGGGCAAACAGGGGATACCAGGAGGTCTCATTACGTTGTGGGGAACACCAGGTGGCCGTGGGGATATTCACCCTGTCAGTGTTGTTTTCGGTTTATGGGCAGCCGCAATGGTCAGTAAAACCCTTCGAGTTCCAAAGTTGTAATGTAGGGTAGTAATTTTTTACTACTCCTGCTGGAGCACATTATGATAGGGCACGGATACTACGCCTATATACATGTAGCGATGACTACTTACTTAAGGACTCTGATAGTACGCGACTTGCAATTGACTTGCAAATGATTTTTTCATGCCGTATATATGACGAGATGAGTTTCCGGAAGCCACCGACGCGACGCGAGTTAATTGACGCGTCTTATACTTTGACCACGATGGTGTCTGCAAACGACGTTCAGCGTCTCTTTCTCCAAGGTGTATTTTCACGCAGCATACTTTCCTTCAAACACGCTCAGGTTCTCTGGGAGAAATGTATCGATACTGTCAAAGGTACGTACACAGCTCTCACCTCCTGTCGTAGCCATTTGACCTTCTTCAGCTGCAAACCCAACATTGGACATTCGTTTTTCTGACAAAAGAGAAGACTGGGATCTCTTTGTTATCAGTATCAATAATTCTCTCAATTGCCTGGACCTTGAATTTCGGCATCTAACAGATGAACAGACTGGCCGAGAGATGTATGCTATGGTTAGTCATTTTGCACACTAGTGATCCTGAGTGTCCTCACAATATGACAGGTGAACAGTAAGGATGATGAAATCGCACAGATGGCTACAGATTACACGCCAGTTGAAATCGCCTACTTCAAGGCAGTCGTGAGTTATACGAAATTCCTTGTGTTATGTTACCTATCGTGTCACTTCACAGGTAGAGCAAATCATGCTCGCCCCGCATGAGGCGTACTCTGTATCCTCATTGCTCGCCCTACGCGAAGTTAACTCTCTCAAGACAACCATGACGAAAGCGCAAGCCGAAATCGTGCTCGGCAGTTTCGTCGCTAAGGGGTGGCTGCTAAAGAGCAGGCGAGCTACCTGCAAATATCTAGCATGCAAAAGACTAACCGCTCCATAGACGAGGCCGCTATTCCCTCTCAACGCGCACATTGCTGGAACTTCTTCCATACCTCAAAAGCTCATATCCCGAAGATTGTCTTGAATGCATCATATGCTACGAGGTGGGCCTTTAAAACACCTGATTTCTCCTCAGCTTCTGACTCAAGTACATCAGATCGTTACCCGTGGCGTGGCCTGCAGCACGCCGAATTGCCAGGCACGTTTGCACTATCACTGTTGTAAGAAGTATCGCAGTCGGAATGCCAAGTGCCCAGCTTGTTCGCAAGATTGGCCACAGGACCTCAAAAACATGACCCCTGTCGGTGAGGAAGCAATCAAGGATGGTCAAGACGAAGGACGCCGTGTGCGGAGGAAAAGTCCTGAGGATGGAAGTGATGAGGAAGACGAAGAAGAGATGGAAGTAGAACCTTCGCAACCGTCACAGACTCAAACTCAGTCACAGCGAAAAGGTAAGGGCAAGAACAAGGGCAAAGGAAAACCACCTGCAGATATGGATGTGGACGAGGATGAAGACGAAGAAGATGAAGAAGCTCCACAACAGACACAAAGAAACGGGCGCCGTCGTACGACGCGCACTCGGTGATTTCACGAGTATTGTTTATTGCACTCTACACTAGCCTAGATTTGTACTATTGCTCTATTGATGATTGGCTTGGATGTGGTGTGCAGTTGGCCGTCACCCGCCCTTCCTCTTGTGTTGGTGTGGTCTTGTTGATGAAACCGAACCTGCCCTTCCCCCAAACTTGGTGTCGCTTCTTGTCTTTTCGGCCCTCGCCGAACTCCTCGTTCCACTTCCGAAGGTCTGCTAAGCTACCGAGAGACTCGGATGAGGAAGACGTGACTTCCTTGAGTGCTTTGGTGAAATGGCGAGCATAGATGACGCGAACATGAGGTGGAGGTTCGACCACCGGTTCTTCAAGTAATGGATCCTGGGCGTCTGCTTGAATGTCTGTCCGAGTCACTATTTCAAACGTCTGCGGGGCAGAAGCCGTGTCCAGCGAAGCCACCTCAGGAGGGGTGATGAGCTCGCTAGCTGGTGAGGTTTTGAGGACATGAGGCTTCCACGGAACCTTAACATTCTCCTTGACGGCATCCAGGGCAGCAGAGACACAAAGATCTTAGAGAAGGGCGTCAGATCGAGACACAAAACCCGTCACAACTGATCTCACGTTTAAGGTCTGATCCAGAGAAGCTTTCCGTCTTCATTGCCAGCGCCTTAAGATCAATTTCAGGCGCCAACGTCTCGTCCCGAAGTAAAATCTTGAGTATCTCTAAATAAGGGTCAATCGTATCAGATGAAACAGAGCACATCAGATCGAAAGATCGAAACTTACCTTCGCGCTCCTTCTCCCCAGGCAGATCGACCAACAACCGCCTTGGTACCCTCCTCAACACCGCATCATCTAAATCAAACGGCCTGTTCGTCGCACCAATCACGATCACCCTATCCTCTCTCGAGGACTTCAGTCCATCCATCTCCTGCATGAACTCAGTGATGACCCCACGATGTGCGAATGCTCCCCCGCTCTCGCGCCCAGACATACGCGCACCAAAGAGTGCGTCCATTTCGTCGAGGAAGACAACACAGGGCGAGAGACGGCGTGCGAGCGAGAAAACGGCTTTGACGAGCTTTTCGCCTTCGCCGACGTACTGAGGCAAGGAGTTAGTGAGTTGTGAGAGATAGAACGAGGAGAACGTACCATGTCCATGACATCTGAGGGCGATATGATCAGCATCCGACAGTCAGCTTCTTTTGCAAGTGCACGAACGACCAGCGTTTTGCCTGTCCCTGGGGGCCCAAAAAGAAGACATCCGGTCATACCATGTTCCTTCAGAATACCTTGCTGGAACGCCGCTGGGTGAAGTAGAGGCAGGGACACGATCGTGCGGACAGCGTCGACGGTGTGTTCTGGAAGGTGAACTTGGCTGAAAGTTGTTGATAACGAAGCTGGATCATCATGGTGAATAAACAGCATAGATGTGAATACTGAAGCCGCTTACCAGGGTCCACGATGCAAGATAACAGCCTCTGTTCATGCTGTTCTAGGTATGGGTCCTGCCTGACACGCTCCACAACCTCATCCACTTTCTCCCCTTCTGTTTCCTCGTTCTCCGCGTCCTCGTGCTCTTCTTCCGCGTCCTTCTGTTTCAATATCTTAACTGAATCGCGCATGAACGACTTGCGCTGACTATGCGCTGAGCGCTGAGCTGCCCAGGCATGGTGCACAGTAGCCCACGGCACAGGCGTCGGCTCGAGCCCCAGCTTCTTTTGCTGAGGAAGTCCAGAAGACACAACGCTCCCTACCGCCCGATCTGCGATCTGCCGCACGCTCGTCCAGGGCTCAAACTGATTGCTCCAGTCCTCCCACATGTCATCCTTGCTTCCTTCCTGGCGTTCACCCTCACATTTTACCTCTACTGTCTCCGCACGTTCGAGGACACCTCCGACTGCGCCAACACCCATGCGCATCGCGAGTTCATTGATCTCCCGTCGACGGCTCGTGCGGCATAGGCGTTCCTCCGCTTGAAGACGAACGCTAGGCACGAGCACCGACGCGCGGAAGAAAGGCGTCGTCACCTCGCTCTCCGGTGCGCTACTCCCATGCGCCATGCCGCGCTGTGCGATCATAGACTCAAGCATCGGCGGCATGGGCGATCCTCCAATGACGACAACACCTCGAGGCCCATGTTCCCCCTCGGGCTCTTCAGGCCGGGTGGAGAGCGTTGGGAGGTCCTGGAGCAGAGCGATGTCCCCATCTTTCTCCCAACGCCGTAACCGGTCCTTCAGGCGTTTCTCGCGAGCACGCTCGGCAGCGTCGTCTTCGCCCCAGTCAGCCATACCTGATCGGGGAGGCGTAGAAGCTGCAGCGTGTGGCGACCTCCGGCGTCCTGCTACGTTCACGAGGCCAAACTGGCTTGAACTAGCGGAGGACGCAGACATGGACGCAGACGTGTGTGTGGGCGCGATGGGTGGGGTGATGCCAAAGATTATGGTCATTGGGTTATACACCGGGGACGACGGGCGGGAAAGAGGGCCGATGCGGCGCTGGCGGACGGCTGAAAGTAGGTGGGGGTACCAAGTCGCAGAAGCGGACGCGAGGACAGGAAAGTCGCGAACATAGACGATACGTGGGCGACGGCTGGTGTTTGTACCAGTCGTGCTAGTATCGTTTGGAGAAGGCAGATTAATGAGTTCATCGAAGAACGTTTTAACACGATTTGGGGCGGGATTGCTGCGAGAGGCGGTAAGTACGGAGGTGCGTCCACGTGTTGAAGTGGGTGCGAGAAGGTGAAGGGTCATTTGAGAAGGAATAGCAATCGGAGACATCATGTCCATGTCGTCTTCTTCTTCTAGTGATACGCGAAGGGGGGAGGATTGGGAATTCGAGGCAGGTGGCGGCTGGAAATGAAGGGGATTTCGGGGGAGTTGGAGAGCATTTGCAGCTAATGAGGTGCAGCGTTAGAAACACGGGTGTTCGTTATAGGATAGACATGCACCTTTGCCAAAATGACCGCATTCACCAGCAGCGAGCTGGACCGCATCGATAACGAGGACTTCAGCACCAGTCCTGTGAGCAAGCTCTTTTACAGTGGCATCGATTATATATTCACCACCCTCTATTGGACAATAAAGGGCAAGGGTGGGCTCTAATAGAGGACCTGAAGAAGATGAATAGGCTGCTCTATGCTGAGTCTGCGGATGAAATGTAATATGTAAATTAGTCAATGCTTCATTAAAAAGCTCAGGAGCAGGTAGATTATTATTGTTCAGAAAATCAGTTTCTATTGGACCATCGTCTGGAAGCCAGAGGATGTTCAAGTCGTGAGGCAGCTGTATGCTGTCCTCTGGTGGAGTAGACGGAGAACTCGAAGCAGTTGGAGATATTCGCGTCCGTTTTGTTGGCTTTGGATCAGGTTCCTCTGGAGGTACAGAACCAGCAGCAGACGGTTCAGGTGTATCTGAATTTGTGCTGGCTGGTAGAGTAGATGAAGCAAGACGCTTGTACACACGTTGTGTTGGCGGTGTTCCGTCTTTTCGTGAAACACGTTCCAGCCGGATAGCAGGATAGATACTCTTGCGCGTCGATGTTGCTTTGAACAGTGAGTGCGACCTTTGAATGAAAGCACTAGTAGGTGTTCGCATGCTGGTCCGATGTTAAGCTGTTCAGACAACAAACAACTTCCCTTCTTGGTCGCTTGTGGCTCTCGCATAGATCTCATTCTATTACATTAGTCTTTGATTACTGATAGAGTACTGCTCTTCTCGTCATCGTGGCCGCCGTCGTCCACAACGACCTTACAACGTGTACTACCAACTAACTCAGGCTTGTGTTCGTTTCTCACGTAACGGGTCCAGAAACCTCGCTGCGGCCGTGCACGTTTTCACATCAACCATCTGGGACTTAATCACGAAATATGGGTCACGACAGACTGGCTGCTCTCAGAGTATTCACTTTTCTAGTATTCGTGCTTAAATATACTGACGGACACATTTCTTAGGCGCAACGGCCGAATGCTACACCAGATCCTGGACAGGGGGTCTATGAGATGCAACCACATCCTTCACCTTCTGCAAACGGCACTGGCAATGGTACAGGGACAGACCCTTTGTCCGCGTTTTATGCCGAAGTGCGTCTATTCTTTCTCATATTTCTCTTGATATGAACCTGCATTTCAATCTAGGCCACCGCTATCCAAGAGTCCATCCAAGACTTTGATAACAATGTCACTCATATCGCTGAATTCCACTCCCGCTCCCTAAACGCCCTTGACGATGCAGCAACACAAGCAAACGCAACTCAGCTCGAACGCCTTACAGATGAGACAAGGCAGCTCAGCAACAGTCTCGCCAACCGTATCCGTGCCCTTGAGAAACCCGCTGGTGCAGGCCCGAATGCTCAAATTCGCAAAAACAGAGTGTGTCACCCTTCCCTTTTGTACAAGACAGCCGTTGACGTGGTTGTGGTTGTCAGATTGATGTCGTTCAGACAAAATTTATGGCCACCTTGCAGCGGTACCAGGAAGTTGAGCGCCAGTATCGCCAGCAGTACCGCCAGCGTGTGGAGCGACAGTTCAAAATAGGTATATTCATTTCCTAATCTCTCACTCACATTCATTTTAATACAAATATTCAGTGAAACCTGATGCTACGCCTGATGAAGTTGCTGCTGTGGTGAATGATGACCAAGGCGGAGGAGACCAAATCTTTGCACAAGCAGTAAGCCTTTGTTCGCTCAGGAGAGGAGTTTGTCGTTCATCTCTGCGCAGCTCACTTCATCAAATCGATACGGGGATTCGCGGGCTGCATATCGAGAAGTCCAGGAACGACACCAAGATATTCGCCGGATTGAGCAGACCCTCGGAGAGCTGGCTCAGTTATTCAATGACGTAGGTGCAACACTTGCATGTATGATGCATTTACTAAGGATACTCTTCTTATGACAGATGGGCACCCTTCTAGGCGAGCAAGAAGATAAAATTGACGCTATCGAGACGGCAGCTGCAGGTGTCGCACATGACACCGAGGGAGGGTATGCAGCTGTTATGATTACCTATGCGCACTACCACTAACTTCCTTGTAGACAAAGGCACACCGAGGTCGCAGTAAAACACGCCCGCTCTGCCCGACGAAAACGCTGGATTTGCTTCTGGCTCACCATCATTATCATCCTCGCAGCTGTTGGTATCGGTGTGGGTGTGTACTTCAGCCAGAATCCAATAAAGTCGAGCTCTTCTGGTTGAAGGAGCGGGATCATGGTGATTAATTAATACGGACATGACTGAGTCGTATACCCCTTACTTTCTTTTGCAATAGTCCATGCTGCCTCCATACTTGCTCTAGTGATATTAGTTAACTGTGTTGTTTAATACTTGGTACTTTGGTTTTACCGATGCGGCAGAATGACGATGGTAATATTACGTCACGTCCATTTGGCGTTAGTTCAGGACCGTGTAAATTTGGCAGAACCTGCGTTTCACGAACGTCCTCCTTCATTGACTCCTTCAACATTCCCCACCGCAGCGTACGCCTGCAATGACGAAAAACGGTTCAGCAAATCCATCCCGAAAGATGCGCCGGCGTGGCTCAATCGACGTCGTCGATGCAAAGGTCGCAGTTGACCTCGCCACAGCTCAGACATATTCTGAAAATGTCTTTCTTTTCGTACCTAATCTCATTGGTGCGATAGTTCTATTGTGTTGATTTACTATGTGCTGATTTAGATACTTGGGCTACATAGGGTACACGCGCGTCATTCTTGCTGGGCTTTCGCTCCATTTTATGAGCTATCACCCCAAATACTGCACTCTTGCATATGTGATATCATGTTTGTTGGACGCTGTGGATGGTCAGGTCGCACGAGCTCTAGGACAGACATCTAAATTTGGTGCAGTGTTGGACATGGTCACAGATCGGTGTGTCATCTCTTCCTGTTATTCCTCCAATTTATCTCATAATGCGCACTTCCAGGTGTACGACGTCATGCTTGCTCTGCTATCTATCGTCTACATACCCGAATTTCGCCTTGGTGTTCCAGTTCCTTATCGCACTTGATTTCGCCAGCCATTACATGCACATGTACAGGTGCGTTTTGAGTCCCCGTCCTTGCCTATCCAGCCCCTCACCGAATATGAACCAGCTCACTCGTAACTGGTTCGCGGAGCCATAAGCTCGTGACGAGCGAAGTCAGTCGTATCCTATGGTACTACTATAATGATTCAGTGCGTTTTCCACCGTTCGCACGCTACCGCAGCCCAAATTGATCCCGTGCGTGAAACAGCGTACTCTGTTCTTTATGTGCGCAGGCAACGAGCTCTTCTTCGTATCTCTCTACCTCATGAATTGGGTGCAAACACCTATCGGACTCGGCGTCTACTTCCCATGGCTCACGGATCTCACCTGGCCCGAACTTGTCGCAATCCCCAGCGCATTCGTCTGTGTAGGCAAGAATATTATCAATCTCGTACAGCTCTGGAAGGCGTCGAAGATCCTCGTAGGGGTGGACCTTGCAGAGCGTGCACATGCACGTGAGGTACAGGCTAAGAAAGAGTGAAATGGGTTCGTGGACGGACAAATATCATACATACTACATATGCTGCTTTGTGCATTAATGCCAATGGGACGGTGTAATCGCACTCCTTGTTTTTTATATATGTAAATATTTACAGCGCAAACGCAAACTAAAGAATGATGTGGACGTGGGGGTGCTTATCATTTCAAGCGGCAGGCTCTAGATCAAAGTGAATTTGCTCTGCAGGTGAATGGCCTACGTGGGTGGGAGTTCCTTTCTGGATGGTAAATAGTGGGTTGGGCTGAATGGTCTGCAGAGTATCCAACAGGGCCATGATGCGCCAAGCCCAAACTACTAAGTAATATGTTATCTTGATATACTCGTTACTTTTAGCAATTTGACATGTGTTGGTAACCACCCTGCAGCTGGCCGAAGTGAACTGACCTCCATTGTTTGCAGATTATGGGATGTATATTTACTGACTGCAAGAGACCTACTATGACGGGCCACAGGAGATGAGTAAAGCCTAATCATGAAAACTGGATTCATACAATTAGATACGCCACACACACGTGAGTCATGACACGATTGTCAGGGCTGCTAGGATCTCTCTCCAGCACCATCCACGGAAATCAAAGGTGAATAGTTCTTTGCTGTAACAACGTCATTCCCTCAGCCCTGGTGCAGTAACCTACTGTGGAATGAGACTAGAGGTTGGATTGCCTTCCTGATGTATAATCTTGTGATTGAATACCGATAGATCGCAGTCAGACACTGGTACTGGCGGACTTTTTTGATTCAGTGATTTGAGATAGTTTGGAACTCGTGTTCCAAGTATGTGATAGGGAGGGTGAGACTAAAATGATAAGAAGATGGGTAGGTAGTCAGAGCGTTAAAGCCCGCGTATATTTTCCTCGGCAGGAGACTACTATCGAATATGATCTGCATAGCCTAACGATATTGTCATAAGATAATGTGCGCGAGGGGATGTGGTTAGAGTCTAACCTTGAGCTCATCATGTACGTCCCGATGATCTTCCAAACGAAAAAGGTTAAAACCGACCTTGCTGGGCCGTAAGAAGATCATTCCTGTGGATCGAAAGTACCTTCCAACTGGAGGAACAGAATATAGGAGGCAACACATACTGACAGTACTTGAGCTGTGGACTGCGTGTGGAGCTCAGGTGAAGGATGCACTGCATGGCATTCACGCGAATATGTCAGGGATTGAAGGGTGAAGACACACATCGGATAGAGTGAAGTGCAGACATAGAGAAACAGAAGACCGCCAAGCGCACACTGACAGCAAGCAGTGGAGTGAATGCATGTGAACCTCAGGTGGAGTACGCACATGGGAGTCACATGAATTACTTCTGCGGGATCATCAACCATTCCGTCTTCATATATGTTAGAAATAGTAAGACATATACACCCCGTCATTTTCCTGGTATGACTGGATGAAAGCAGGAAGTGGTGGGAGGGCCTCGGGAGGTCACGCTCCGGCACGGGGGTCGGATTCAGCATAGGTTTCGAGGCTTGAAGGTAGCACCAGGTCTCATGCGGTTGTAGTTGGCCTAGTATGTGATGCGAGAGGGCGCAGGTTGGAGCCTAGGTGTGGTAGGCGACGTCCGGAAGACTACGGGTCGGGCATGATGGGCAGGAGTAGACGCGCGATGGACGCGAAGGCAATGTGTTTGACCTCTGATTAGTAAGTGAAGTAACACAAGAGGTGCCGTGATCTCGAAAGTTTTTGGGAGCCAAATTACTTCGGGAGGATAACAGGGCACTTACGCAACTGTGTTCGATGACCAGCCGGCTGCAAACGGCTGGTGCCAGTGGGGAGATAGGAAGCTTCAGATCCCGGATCCGGTGGCCTTTAGAAAAAACATCACCCTCACCAAGGGTAACCGAGATGCGACTGCTGAATCGGGGGTTGCAACGTTGTGTGGTTTACTAATAGTCACGTTGCAAATGGTGATGCGGTATCAACGGGGACGATTTTGAGAATAATGCCAAAAATATTGTCAATCAGCCTGTCAGCCTAGCATACTAAGCTGACTTGCAGCGACTGGAGCAGTGAGTCTGAATCACTAGTAGTGACTCGTCCTACTTGACTACTGAATATGATCACGTGATGTAAAGTACATGCATGCATCACATGATGCCCACTGCATCCTGCTGACTTTCAAAGACAGTGGACACCAACTTGACATTTAAATTTAGGTCAAGCAAGATTGGTAGTGATCATGTCATCGTTCTGACAAATGTACTAGTTCTCGCCACGTGGTTTCCCCCTTTTTCACAATCTGCCGCAGACACTGCGTATCTCGGCCAGCTAATATTTCAAGCTCAAGCCGCGTACTCCCTAGGCAGTTATATATAAAGACCACTTCCACTTCTTGCGATCCAGAATATACCTTTCATTCACAATGTCTATTCGAGCCACTACCTCTCTCGGCGGTACTGCATCTAATGTCACCATTGGTAAAGTAGCTGTATGTATGTTGCTTCATCCCAAAGTTTTTCCTGACCTTTCCCCTCCCAGCATGGATTGATGATGATGACGTGCGTTTTCTTTTCTTCTGACACCATTGGATCAAGTTCACATCGATGGTCCATCATGTAGATGGACACCCGAGCCAGTCCCAGACGAACAGTGTTTTGAGGCTATCAAGGCTGGCGTGGACGCCCTTCCTCCTGGCACAAAGATGTTCCTCAACGGAGGTAGGAAAAAGTTCCCCACATAAGACATATGTCCTAAATTCGTTCACAGGGGAATTCTATGGGCACAATTTATCAACCGCGAACCTCGAGATGATCGCCCGGTTCTTCGAAAAGTATCCCGACTACGTAGACAAGACCTTCTTGTCTATCAAGGTACGGTCCATTCCCGCTTCCGGCTCTTTGTAATCAACTCTTTGTTTTCCAGGGAGGACTAAAGCCTGGCGTACAGGCACTGCCCGACGGCTCGTAAGTTTCAGTTGTACATCATGATCGTTATACTGAGATACTACCTTGACCACCAGACCCGCCAACTTGAGACGAAGTGTCGAGCTCATCAATGAGAAACTTCGCGGCACCAAGCGCCTTGATTTGTTCCAGAGCGCTCGTGTAGACCCCAATGTCTCTTTGGAAGAGTCGATCAGGACCCTTGTTGAACTCAAGAATGAGGGTAAACTAGACCATATTGGCATGTCGGAATGCAGCGCTGACACTCTGCGGCGTGGTAATGCTGTATGTGCATAGTATGACCGTCTTGGCAAGACATCTGCTCAGTATGTTCCAGGTACACCCCATTGCTGCTGTCGAGATTGAGGTCAGCCCATGGGAATACGGAGAGGAGGCCAAAAAAGGTACGTCATTAGACCTAAAGTTCTGTTGGAGTAACTCATCTTCAATTCTGTCAGTCATTGCGACTGCCGAAGAGCTAGGTATTGCTGTTATCGCATACTCGTGCGTGTCACGTTAGTACACGCCTGTTCTGACCTGACAATAATCATGTTTAGTCCGCTTGGTCGTGGGTTTTTGACCGGTCAAATCAAGAGGCCTGAGGACATTCCGGGTAAGATAATCGCTTAACGACATTTATGATGCTCACCGCAATTTCCAGAGGGAGATTTCCGCCGCTTATTGCCTCGTTTCCAGGAAGATGTAAGTTTCCCGATATGCGCTTGGTCACATCAGCTCATCATAGCTTTACAGAACATTAAACACAACTTCGCTATTGTTGATGCGTTGACTGCGATTGCGAGGAGCAAGAATATCACCTCTGCTCAACTCAGCATCGCTTGGGTTGCATCGTTGGCCAAGCATGTCATCCCTTTGCCCGGTTCCTCGTGAGTCCCCGTCCAGACATGCGATTGTCATGGGCCTTGATATTGTTTCAGGCATGCCAAGCGCACTCTAGAGAATTGTGCTGCAGGATATATCGAGTTGTCTACGGAAGACATCGCAGAAATTAACGGTGTTATCAGTGCTGCCGACGTCAAGGGTCACAGGTATGGCCATCAGGCAAAGTTCCTCTGGGGTTAGATGGTTTCTTGGCTTTAGGCTCTAGTCGGCGAATCGGACCATTCAAACTGTATTTGTATTTGACTTTGGGCCGCTTTATGTGAAACAAATACCGTTTCTTGAAAGTGATTTACCTAAGGTCCGCCATATGCTTTGAAGGAAACCTTGTGTATAAAACTTGTGACTTGGTGTGTACACACGACTCGTCGGAAGCTTATGAAGACTTGTCACTTAGTCTTAGTGACAACCGATCACTGGACTCGTCGGCTGTGCATCATTACACAGTTAGAACATTCGAACTCCACGGGCGACTAATTTGCTCTTCTCTAGACTTAGCACAGACATATCCTTAACCTCTCATCAGCGCGTCGCTAGTTCAACGTTCATGCCTCGCCCCGAAGCGTTCTTTTTACATGGGGTCGCCGTGGGCGTGATGACATATGGCTTTATTGGCCTTAGAACGCTACCCATAGATGGCTGGATCCGAGCACAGAAAGGAGGGCACTTCCAGTTTCTGACTATACAAGGGTGAGTGCCCCCTGCCCTGGACTTCTCCGAGAGAAACTGATTCAAGTTTGTGGCAAGGCTGGCTGCCGCTTGGGTGACTATGATCCTAAGCCTTGGCTGTGATTTGCTGCCTTCATTTGCTAGTAAGAGCAACAGTCAATTAGTTCTTTCTACTTGGATTGTGACACACTCTCCAGCCCTTCGCACAGCCAAGCGTGCTTCCCTTATGATAGCTCTCCCTGTAACTCATTTCGCCTCTCTGACGCTGTCGTTCATTGATGAATCCATCCCAGCTCACATTTGTAATATCCGCAGTGTACTGGTCACTCCTGTTGTTTTTTTCCATCATTGATTCTACAGCGCCAGCTTCCGGGTCTATCTGAGCCCTCTTCTTCGTCGACCCTCCCTTCACTGGCACGGATTCCTTTCAACATAGATTTCTCTCTCCATCTCGCTCCCGTCATCACCCTCCTTGTGGACTTTATTTTCTTCGAGAAGAAATATACCAAAAAGCAAGCTCAAATTGGCTCACCACTTGTTGTCCTCGCCTGTGGGACATGGTATTCCTGGTGGGTAGAACATTGCGCTAGTTATAACCATACATGTGAGTATTTGCATCTTCGTTTGGTTACACGTTTCTGAAATAGCTTAGTCCCATACCCTTTCTTGACGGAAAACCCATTCAACATCCGCATTGGCATCTATGCATTTGTGTCCTTCCTTGCTTGGAGCTGTTTCCGCCTCATGAATGCACTCCATCCTTAGAGGGTTTTACCATCTTAATGTCTTCGTGTAGAGCTAACAACAAACAATCAAGGTTCAGCGCAACTGGTGTGGCCCAGTTCGGTGGATTGTTGATGTCATTCGAAATGTGATGATGGCGCACAGATTGTTGGAAGCAGTATAAATTATCATTGGTAAACCCAATGGGAAGTTAATTTGTCTTCCCCATATATTTCGCAAGTAGTATAACATGGCATTGGGCACTGCAGAGGTATCACAATACGAGATGTTCGCTCTCACCGATGCGCCAACGGGAATCTTGTTCTTGACCGCTGGTGTGAATTTGACCATCGAATATTGAGAGGAGTGATGTGGGACATTCAAACGGCGCCAGTACGCAGCTCTTTGGCTGAGGTGGGTTGTAGCTCGGTTGAACCATGGACACACTCCATTATATATATATAATAGCACCTGAAATACTCTCCTTTTCTTTGCGCAGACTCCTAAGAAGAGGTTCGCTGAACGTAGTTTCCCGCCCACTGCCATACACGGTAATAGAGATTTCTTTCATTTCCATTATATTTTTTGCACGAGCATATGCTGCAAGTCCCCATGGTAGAGCTAGTCTGGGAGTATCCAGTGTTTAGTATAGGGAATTATTATCTCGATGCCTGATTGAAAATGCTTGGCAAAATCGAACCAACGCTCCGCATTCCTCCAAGAATAAATGGTGGTCCCGGAGATAACTGGTGTCTGAATAATCTAGGAACGGCCCTCACTTGCCAGGAACAGGCCACGGTGTAATGTGCCACTTGTCGAAAATGCTTTGGTACCCCGTGTGCTCGATGAAGACAGTTACCAGGGTCGAATGTGATGTTGAACAATACGTTGAAGCTGCCATGTGAAGTAATCGTGCCGACTCATCTCTAATCCGTATTCCCTCGATTGAACTCCTCCAGTAGATTGTCGTCCGACACTGGATACTATCAAGAATAGTCAAACCAGCTGAAGAAGCCTCCTGAGAGTAAAAGGTCTTGCATAAACTTGGCTCTCGGTTTGATGGGCCAATCGCTGGGGACCGAGACACAAAGATTGACAGGCAGCTGTCACCTCATGGTTCCCACGAAGTGATGTTTCTCGGACTCCGTATCACTGTCGCTGCCTCAGAATAACACGACGAAGATGATGAGATATTCGTCTTGAATAAAAGATGATAATGAGAGGTTTTGTTGAGTGACTTGACTCTTGAGCCTGATGGGAATTGGTAAGGTTTGAAGATCTATCATTACCTAAGCATCAATTTTTTATCTTATCTGGTCGAGTCACTAGAGCTGCCAAAATGTATGTGAGTCAAGAGGTGTTTTATCGTTATCCTCTCCAAAATGTGTGGTATACTTGCAGTTCATGGCATAGAAAACCCGCCGGCTGAGCGCACTCGATTTTTGGCTCTCTCAAAACGTCTTCGTCATCGTGGACCTGACTGGTCCGGGTGTTTTGTCGGAAAGGAAGGCATACTTCTTCACGAACGCCTTGCCATTGTTGGTGTTGGTGCGTGACTTATCATTCATTCTATTATTGATCCTGACCCGTTGTGGCTTAAGACACCGGTGCCCAGCCCCTCGTCAGCGAGGATGGTCAAGTCATACTCGCTGTCAACGGTGAAATCTATAATCATCTAGCACTTCGTGCGACCCTCGGCTCAACTGCCAGTTTCAAGACACACTCGGATTGCGAGGTCATCATTCCTCTGGTCTGTTGTGCTATACATCCGTCTGTGGCAATTACTGACGATCTGCAGTACAAAAAACATGGCAAGGATCTTTGTAGCATGCTCGACGGCATGTTTTCATTCGTACTTCTGGATGAGTCTGTGACTCCTACTAGAGTAATCGCCTCCCGAGACCCCATTGGGATTACAACATTATACCAAGGATGGAGCTCGAAGCACCCAGGTGCAACGTATTTTTCCTCAGAGCTAAAGGCTCTCGTCGATGAATGCGACACGATTATTTCATTTCCCCCTGGTCATGTCTACGACAGCCGTGACCAGTCAACGACACGTTACTTCCAGCCATCCTGGTGGGATGGAGATGCAGAAACAAACCCTGTGCTGGCGACCACACCCGTAGATTATACCCTTCTCCGGGAAACCCTAGAAGCTGCAGTGCGCAAGCGGCTTATGTCTGAGGTGCCTTATGGTGTTCTCCTTAGTGGTGGACTGGACAGTAGCTTGATCGCTTCCATAGCTGCAAGGGAGACAGAAAAGGTTGCTCGAGCTCAGTACGAAGCTCGCCAGCGCAAGCTTGCTGAGTCCACCAGTGGTCCTCCAACGCCAAGGATGGACGATCTGACACAGCAGGGTAGGCGCACTGAATTTCACTCCATATTTCCACGCTGAAAATTGCCATAGCTATGCTGGCTTCGTGGCCACAATTGCATTCATTCTCAATCGGACTGGAGAACTCGCCTGACTTGCTTGCTGCCAGGAAAGCAGCACACTTCCTGGGTACCGTGCACCACGAATATGTTTTCACAGTCCAGGAGGGCCTGGACGCCATCCCAGATGTTATCTACCACCTTGAGACCTATGATGTGACAACCGTTCGTGCAAGCACACCAATGTACCTCCTCAGCCGGAAAATCAAGGCGATGGGTGTTAAGATGGTTCTCAGCGGGGAGGGTAGCGATGAAATTCTTGGCGGTAAGATGCCTTGAATTTGCCGCAGCGAGCTCAATTAACGCGCTGTCAAGGCTATCTGTATTTCCATGCTGCTCCAAACAGTGACTCTTTCCATCAGGAATGTGTTCGGCGTGTCAAGAATCTTCACACTGCTGATTGCCTGCGTGCCAACAAGTTAGTTTTGAGAATCCCACTTTCCCTCGGATCATTGACGGATCCGCGCATAGGTCGACGATGGCCTGGGGCTTGGAAGCTCGGGTACCCTTCCTCGACAAGGCTTTTCTAGAAGTCGCTATGAACATCGACGCGAAGGAAAAGATGTTTAAAAAGGACTCAAACCAAGCGGTTGACGAAGATGGTCGTCCGAAGATGGAGAAGGTCAGCTTTCCCACCCGCTGAGTATTTCTGGACATTCATGCCTCATCGTTTTCATACAGTACATTCTTCGGAAGGCATTTGACTGTAGGCCAGAGGGGACGGTCTGTCGATCCCGATATTCTCCACACTTGCTCTGCTCATCCTCGAACTTTAGCCTTATCTCCCAAAGTCTATCCTATGGCGCCAAAAGGAGCAATTCTCAGACGGTGTTGGATATTCTTGGATAGACGGGTTGGTCTACACGTTTTCCTATCGGTAGCGAGATATGCGGGCTGATGGACTTCGATCACAGCATCAAGGATAACGCAGCCGCCTTTGTTTCTGATAAAGATTTCGCTAAGCGTGCGGAGCGCTGGCCAGTCGATACCCCAGATACAAAGGAAGCTTATTACATTCGAGAAATATTCGACGGTAAGCGATATCTAGAAGTAAACCAATTCGAAGTACACGTTCTCATATTCGTCAGGTCTTTTCCCCTCTGAAGCCGCAGCGAAGACTGCAGTACGGTAAGTTTGGGTCAACTCTTTTTTGGGTTTTTTTTGAGTTCTATCCAGCTGGATACCACGAGGCGACTGGGGTTGTTCCTCGGACCCAAGCGGGCGTAGCGTCAGCATTCACAACGCGGCGTACGAAAGAGACTAAATCGATCAAAATAGTGTCGTACAATAGATAGCGAAGAAGCACGAAGGTGTGCGGGATTAAAACTGTATATAGGGTGGTGACTGCATCGTAGTAGCTCTAGACCCTGAGAGCATAGGGGAGCACATCTCAAGTACTTTAGATGAGATCAGGAATGATTGGATGATTGTCAATTGTTCGATGTTTGTGTTCCAAATAGAGAATGTGATAAAGATTGAAGGAGCCTGAGGAAGAACGAGAGTGATATGGTATCATCAAATAATTGGGTACCGACTCTGACATAGCAGGGGGAAGAGATAAGAGACGTAAGAGCGAGGTGAACAATGAATGAGTGTGTGTCGGCTGTGCGATGAGGGTAAGGAGGTAATAAAGTAAGAGAGCGCAATATGCAATGATTGTAGTGAAGATGGACCGACGAGAAAAGCTAGCGGAAATATAGGCCTGATTGATGAGAGCAAGAGGTCTGACTATGTGACCAATGATGGATCCTGGGCCACTATTTGACGGTACAAGCCCACCCCCGAGTCTTCAGATCCAACAGGAGAGACTTGCGGTTTGGTGGTGGTGGAGGTTGCGCGGGCGGCTCCGCTCGTTTGCGAGGTCTGGCGAGACCGCTTCATGCCAGGGGCATGCGGATTGCCGCGAGTGCTCATGTCCCAAGCAGGTCGCGTGACGGTAGCCTTCATAGAATGGCTGTCTTCTGAAGCATTCACACGTGTGCGCGTGCTGGGTGTTGTTTGCGTTCGCCTGCTCATGGGACGCGTAGAATGAGAGGGATGGTCGACCGAAGCTAGACGAGTCCCAAACTTAGCGTTCGCAGAGGACTCCCTGCTATATGAGGACGTGCCGCCTGGAGATACACGACGTGTTGAACCAACGACGCCGTGTTGCTTGGGCTTGAGGACTGGTTTCTGGAGAGTGATCCTGTCTGCACCCCAGTATGAGAAACTCATTTTACTCTTCTTGTCTGAGTCATCCGACTCTCCCTCGCCATCTTCCTCGTCGTCAGGGAGAGGGACGATCTTAGGCTGCGCAGCAGACCGTGCTTCTGCTTTGGAGCGTACAACGCTACAAACCGCTCAGCAGACATCAGTGATACGAGTATAAGATACATACTCTTCCATAGAGACAACCCCTTCCCTGGGCTGGACGACATCTCCAATCGCCCAAGTCTCGATCTATGCCAGAGTGAGAACGAGTCAAACAGTGTCACCGGTGCTTTACCTTGAGAAATTTGTACAGATTCCTCGGCTTCGTATGCGAATTTCTCCGCCCTGTTGTGGCATACTTTGACTTCCCCTGCATCTCTGGCAACGAAGTCGCCCTCGAGTTCGACCCTGAAACCAATGGTAATGATGTCGTCCCCGTGCGCTGGCACCGTAGGACAACATCATTAAATACCACAAGCCACAGGTCCTTCTTGCCCCCCATGCCTGAGCCCGTGCCCAGCACATCACTCAGCCGGCGGAATGACGTCTTGCCCTTTACGCCCTTGGCGTTAACGACTGGTGGCGGACTCGACCCTGGGCCTTTCGACGGGCCTGAGTCATGTAGAGACCCAAAAATCTGCCGTTCCTCCAGCAGCAACCTTGACGGCTTCGGGATCGCAAGCTGCTTCACCTTGTCAAGTCCCTCGATGCGGGCAAACACATCACGCGTCTTGTCACGGTCCTCTTTCTGTATCTTCTCGTCCTCAATGCTGCGCACAATCGTCTCGACTTCTGCGACCATCTGCAGAGTACTCTCATACTCAAACGTGCTCGGATCTGTGTGGAAGAGTAGGTTTTGGAAGAGTAGAGGGTATTTGAGGAGGCGCTGGAAGGGCTTCGAGAGGGTGATAGCAAGCCCAGTTTCACCCTTATCGGCCGCCAGCTCTTCCAGCCGCTGTAGGGACTTACAAACCTTGAGCCATTCAGCGGCATCTTGGTTCTTGGGCTTCTTGGCAGCGCTTGCGGTGCTCAAAGCGTTATCCACCTGCTCGAGCGCACGCTCAAGATGTAAGACATATGTTGCATAGCCTTGGAAGATATGAGACTAACGTAGCATGAGTATATTGTGTCAAATAAGAACTCTGATACTCACACTTGAGACAAATACATCTGCGAGGGACCGGACAAGAGGGTATTGCTCCTCGTACCGCTTCAACAGGCCTTCGCTGAGCTTAACGTGTCCATCAAGCACACCGCTTTCAATAACTTCGAGGCATATGCGTAGATCCTCGGGCAGTAGGTGCGGAGGGACTGCAGTCTGGAGAGGACTACTGGCCTGCGAGGTCGAGCGCTTGAACTTGCGCAATACCCGAGTGCCTTGTGGAGGAGTGGTCTTAACACTGTCTTTACGCTCCCGCTCCTTATCCTTGTCTCCCAGTGATTGAGAGGAAGTGGTAGCGAGCTTACGCTGGGGTGCAGGAAGGGATGCGTGCGAACGTGAAGGGAAGGGGACGATATCATGTATTTTGGTTGCTCTGCCACCTCCCCCATGATATGGAGAGCGAGAATGGCTTGGATTGGCGCGATTGGTTTGCAGCCCCTCGCCTAACGTATCCTCAGCATCCTCGTCACTTTCATCATCAATTTGAGGTGTCGTGGTAGCAAGGCTGCGACCATCTGCAGGCTTTGGAGCTGCATCTGCAGGCTTGGATGCTCCATCAGCATGGAAGCCAAGAGGGCTCATGAAGCGTGCAGCAATGGGCAGGACATCGATCGATTCCTGCGGTGATTCAACCCTACCGTAGTCATCGTACTCGTTGAATGGTGTCGGTGTAGGGCTGACAGGAGGAGGCGTGGCATAAGGGTGGAGAAGGGGCTCGATAAAGGACTCTTTCATTTTTGTCAGGTCATTTACATATCTGTAGCGAATACAACGATCGCATCAGGATCAATGGATCAGTGTGTGGGGAGGGGCAGCGCACCGCTCTTCAGAAGCCACGATTTCCCATAGGACTTCTTGACGAGTGCGCTCACGGGGACCAAGGTTGCTGACGAGGTCTTCTTCTGCAGCCTCACTCCATGAGGTGACTGCGAGAATGCGGCTGCTGGTATTGGACATTTGAGAATAGGGCGTGTTGGAGCGCATTGAGCCTGGGTAAGGGGAGACTGCTGTGCGTGTACTCGTGGCTTTTGCAGTATTGGTTGATGAAGCAGGGGCTACAGTGATGGACGTGGATGGAGAAGAAATGGCGGTAGTGGTAGTAGACTTTGCAGCGAGGTCAGTGCGTGATGTTGAGGCGGCTGTGGAGATGGAGCCACGCGTGTCTTTACCATGTGTTGCCTGAAAACGCGACACGGTGGTTTTGAGCGGGGCGCCCGAGGGCGTCTGAACAATTTGAGAGGGGCTGAGCACCGATGTATCCGGAAGTTGGGTATTAAGAGGCGAGGGTGTCGGAGGGGGTGAAAGGAAGGCCACCTTTTTCTGTACGTCGTTTGATGTGGTACTACCATTTGCCTTGCGACGATTTGCAGGGTCCGGGTCGTGTGTAGGCGGGGAAATGGTAAGGCCGACGCCACTGTCGTCGTCAAGGGGCTCCTCGATTGGAGGTAAAGGGCGAGCACAGATGTCGGGAAGTGGTTTATGCGATGAAATTGAAGTAGGAGTTCCTGCACTGGTATTGACTGTACCTGCACTAGTAGAGCGTTGGATTTGAATCAGGCTGGGAGAAGTGACATGTCTACTACTGGTGTCGGTTGCTGGTCTACTGACAGGCTCGATAGAGAGCCTCTCATTGGTAGGAGGCCAGTTTGGGAGTGGTGGAAGCTGAACTAGCTCACGCTTTTCTCGGCTGGGGGGTGAGTGGGAGTTGGTAGAGGAGTTGTCACTGCGGTCCTTGGTCAAAACAGAGACATTGTCACGATCTTTTTCTTTCTCTTTTTCCTTGTCCTTGTCCCTGTCTCTGTCCTTGTCCTTTGATGACAGGCCTCTGTTAAACCTGTTCAGAAATGCTTTCATGGCCGTGTGGCCAGAATGAAAGAAAGAAGGTGACTAGAGCAGAACAAGTTGTGGAGCAGTGAAAGTGAAAGGTGATTACAAGCAGTGACCAGACAGTAAGACTGACGCTGTTAATGCTGTACTAAGATGTCGTCGGTAGCTAGGATCACGACCGTTACAGTAGTCCCTCATGCCAGACTCATGGTACTTAATAATATCCTTTCATGGCCAACCCTTTACATACATGCGAAAATTCAAACTCACGCGGACACACTTAGCCTCGTGTTCATCGTCAAGTCTCTCGGAGCTTGCTCCTGTCTTTTTCGGATGGCAAATCGCTTCTAACAATCAATGGTCTCCTCGTTATGACGTGGTAGAACTCGCTGTAACTATCATCAAGGTATATATATCTCCTTTCACCCGGAATCATTCATATCGCTCACCCTCGGAACACCGTAACTTCTCGTAGTCGGCAGTTTGGCTGATGGCCCGTGTCCTGCCTCACTGTAGATGACAGCAAGAATACTGAATTCATCATACTTTCAAATTCCTAGATACGGTCGTGAGCGACCTATGCCGAAACTCACTATTGGAATCAACTCGGAATAGGTCGTGACGCCGCCTCCGAATCAGCAACTCACCTGATTGTGCTTGCATCCAACTTGCACCTCCCAAATTCTTCGGAAGTTCAATTTCCCCTACGCACGTCCGAGTGACAAAACTTCCAAGCAATGACGTGAGGCGTACATCCTGCAAGAGTTCGGGGCATTCTTTCCTGTCAAGCAAATGACGAAATGCATCCTCGATAACGCACCAAGTACATACCATACTCATTGATACCCGTTCGTGTCTGATCAAGATGTTTTCTTTGTACTCACAGCTCCAGGTGGTCGAACTCGGGATATGTTTATTTCATTCCATGCAGTCAAACAATGGTTTCCTTGATATCATCCACTGTCATCGCCGTAACTTGACACTGAATTTCGATGTTACTATTTAATATCATTGTATGCAATCGGAATCATTGGCGTGAGTGCTCCACTGTGCAGATATAATATCCCATAAGATGTCAACATGTCAACTGCAGAAAGGAGCAGCGGGTACCACATACACGTTCGCCCTCATCAGAGACTACTATGATGTGCATGGTAGCCCTACTGCGTACCTCGGGACTGCAGTTCTTGACATGCCAAACTTTCACTTGCTAGCTAGCGAGTTCACAAGGGACACATTTGTTTCATGTACTATTTACAGGACCAAATGATACTAGAACGATGAAAGAAGTTTTCATGGGTTGCCAACCTCCCGTATGCGATTAAGTATATATTGCAATCTGCAAACAAGTCACTTTGCCGGAGTGGTTAACGGGATCGCCTGCTATACAGCGAAGCGGTTGGGCTTTGCCCGCGAGTGTTCGAATCGCTCAGGTGACGCATTTTTTCGACCAATTTGGGATAAACTTTTTGTAGGGATTTTGCCACTTTTCACCTACGGCGAAGAAAGCAATGTTCTCCATCACCTCCTGAGGGAGCCAGCTGTCAAACGACGTAACGGCTTGAGTGAACATTATGTCGGTCGCAGTGGCAGTGAGCGTAGATTCTTTAAAAAAACACTGTAGTTGTGTAGTACTGGTATGTCCTGCCGGGCCGCCGTCGGCCAGTCTTTTCCATCCTCATTAATCATTTTTGGTATGGTTTATTGCAATTCTACATAGTATGTACTGAACTTCTCTCAGTTCTCCCGCAAGCTAGGAAAAAACAACACTTTAACACAGATTATCGGCAATCCTTATTTTCCTTATCTCGTACACTACCGTAGTAGAGTTAACAGTTTCTGTCGTTTGTTGGGGTATATAAACACAAAAATTATTCTCTGATAGGCTCCAAACTGGTTGTGTTGATCCGAAAACGCATCACATACATGTGCCCCATGGCTGAGTTGGTTACAGCGTCCGACTGTTACGAATCGTTTCATCGGAAGGTCGTGAGTTCGAGCCTCACTGGGGCAGTTGTTTTTGCCGTACTTGGAACAGTGAACGTTTGATTGATTCGGACTCCCATGGGCCTCAAGGTCTCATCTTCCATGTTCATGCAGAGTTCTGTCTTCAAGTACGTCTGGTTGTTTTTATTCGACCAGCAATATTTCTGGATTATTGCATCTCTTGTCGTTCTCGGAGATGCTATCCTCACTCAACTCATAATGCGGTTCGTTCCCTGTTAGCGCGTCTCACTAGCTCGCATAACACCATGACCGACACATCAGCCAGATACCGAAATCGACTGGGAAACGTACATGGTCCACATTGACCTTTACCTGAAGGGAGAGCGCGACTATGTCAATATCACAGGTCCCACAGGTCCTTTAGTGTAAGTCAACCTGACGAATATACACTGCGCTTACCTTGACGAAACTAGCTATCCAGCTGGACATGTTCATATTCACCGTCTTCTTCATCTAATCACAGACGCTGGTCGCAATGTTGCGCGAGCCCAACAGATTTACGGCGGTCTATACGTACTATCCATCACTCTCGTATGCGCGATATACAAGAAAGCAAAGGTTCCAAATTGGACGCTTCTGCTACTACCGCTCAGTAAAAGGCTGCATTCTATCTTCGTTCTACGCCTATTCAATGACTGCTGGTCATTAATCTTTGTGCAAGCAGCGATTCTCGCTTTCCAGAGCGCTTGGGATGACGTGGGTATCTTGTTATTCAGGTGAGGCCTATACTTTCTTCACTGATGTTGGACATCCATAACTTTGTACAAGCCTCGCTCTCTCTGTCAAAATGTCAGCAATACTATATCTGCCAGGTCTACTAGTCATTCTCTTCAAACGACACGGCCTCTTCGCGACCATCCGACACATGCTCGTTTTGGCATGCACTCAAACTCTACTTGCACGCTCTTTCCTCATTTCAAATGCAAAGTCCTACTTGCAGAATGCATTCGATTTATCACGTGTTTTCCTGTACAAGTGGACCGTCAATTGGCGTTTTGTTGATGAACGAACATTTTTGAGTCCCGCATGGGCGAAAGGCTTACTTCTGGGTCACGTAACGGTATTGATTGCCTTTGGATTATTTCGATGGTGTCGCGGCGACGGTGGCGTAGCTAGGGTTCTGCAGAGAGGTTTCCGGCGACCCGGTCTACCTGCTGGTTTGGCGCCTGTCGATCCCGATTGTGAGTCTTTCTAGGAGTTCGTCAATTTTTGTTTGCTGACTTGTGCACCAGACGTTGCTACTGTGCTTGTGACGTCCAACCTCATAGGCATCATCTTTGCACGATCATTGCACTACCAATTCTACTCGTGGTATTCACAGCAGTTGCCTCTTCTTACTCAAAGAACAAGGTTCCCTTTTATCATGCAGTGGGTCTCTTCATACAGGAAGGTGTATCTTTGCGTTCTAATATGTACAAAGAATGGCACTCATAGGCGCAATCGAATACGCCTGGAACGTTTATCCATCTACACCATTTTCATCTGGCCTTCTCCTCGCAGCAAATCTTGTGACACTACTTGGGGTATGGTTCGGATACCCAGAAGGAAAGATGTTTTCAAGGCGTTCAAACAGCAACCGTAGTCAAGTCTCCCAAAAAAAAGTCTCCCAAAAGGAATAGTCGTTGGTACATTCATTCGTACTCGCCGCCCATACCTACGATATATGTACTTCTGCCACCTCTGGGCAGAATCAAAACCTTTTCAGCTCCATGAACTTGACAAGCATCAGCGCTTGGCACTGTAGACCCCATCGAGGCTTGCGTTAATATCGGTAGTGGTCGAACGTCGACCTTGGGTAAGGTAATTTCGCCGTGATGCAGAGCTATCAATGTCAACGGAACAGCAAATGAACCACCGTCCTAGACATCGTTTAGATCGTGGGAATGAACTAATACCAGTGGGACTTACAGTTGCAACGAAATCTCCACGTTTTCGTCCACACAAAAGCCAATCCTTGACACGCTCTTCGACATCGTATCGCATCGTGTAGCAACGCTGTTTGCCCTCTTTCTCAGCCCAATGAAAAGATGTCTTGAAGATGAGGGTTGCGTTGATTGGTTGGCCTGCGTAGATTGGCGGTAGTTGAGCTGACTGAATGTCACTGGGAAGTGAAGAGGGTTGAATAGTGATTTGTGCTGCAGTCACAATCTGTTACAGACAGGCTAGGTCAATGCGGGTGTCGTTAGGGACAACTGAGAAATACCAACATTCATCCTTGGCACGTCAACTGGTATCTTGATCTCTCTCCAAGGGCAGGGTGATGCAGTCTCTGGGCGACATTGCGCCAATGCCTAAAGGTCACGCATGATGAGCAAGAGCAACAGAACCAGAAATCGACAAACGAACCTCCAAAATAGGTCCCTGGAAATCCCCGTCATCTTCAAACGAACGAGGTAAGATAATTTCACCAGTAGCTCTGTATGCTTCTACCCATTCAGCGTCACTCTCCAGTTGTGCGACCAGTTTGTCGATGAGCATACGTCGTGGAGAGCCGTATTGGGGCTTCTCGACTGGCATGCTTGACAACACAGTTTCCACCGTTTGTCGAACTAATGCCTCCACCTCTAGATAACACATAGCTGCAGTCAAGGTAATACTGGATAGAGAGAATCCTCACCGTCACGTAGTATGCGGTATTTAATAACAAGGTTCAATGGATCAAGAACTGGGTTTCTCTCAGCATTCGACAAGCAAACTGGCTAACAACGCACCAGGTCCATTCGACGACTCTATGGAGAACAAGAAGTTCACGGGATGTTCTGGCATAACGGTCTATGTGAAGTTTATTATCTTCAGTAAACAGCGAAAATATAGAATCCTACCACAACAGGACGGCTCGGACGACAGCCTGAGATCTTCACCCCATCGAGACTTCGTGCACCCTGCAGCTCTGTCGAGGATATTCGAACGTGCTGGTGGGAAGTTGCCGAGATAGTAAACTTGGAAAATAGTCTAAAAGAACTTCAGAACAAAGTGCAAGGTGATATAATGATGGAACCTTTTGCCGCGGAAAAAGTCTTCTACATTAACTGCTATGGGTAGTGAGACCGTGACAACTCTTGAGGTTTGCAAGGTGCGGATCACACCCATTGAGGATTGCGTGTTATATGTCACATTTAACCAGATTTTCTTCAGTGCAGGAATAAGAGTCGTCTTTTCTGGGAAAAAAATGCTTACCATTGTATGATATCTCGAAGCATCGGAGTGTGGCAGCGAAATTATGATGTCCGCGTCGACGGGAGCATCCAGAAGGACGATAGCATTATCAGAGGCCTCAAGAGTCTCCGTACCTTGTCCTGGTTCAAAAATATATCAAAATGTATTGAAAACACTGACCTTCGGCCTCTAAGCGTGCCGCAGAATAGTTGAATCGTACTCCAGAAGGCGGAGTTAGCTTAATAGTTGCCCTCGAGATGTCATTCCGGCCAGTGGAAATCACAAGCAAGAGGTGTGATGTCGTTCCAAGCTCAGCTTGAATCCATAAGTTAAAATTATTACAGTCAAGAAGATTATACCACTTACTTTGCTGAGGTTGACGCACCTGTACATCCAATGCGCGCAAACTGTGTGGCACGCGCACCAATGAAATCTGATTCCTCTTGGGAGCAGTGGTCGTCGCAGTACCCGTATGTTGCCATTGAAAGTGGACACGCGACATCACTATTTCACTGCTCTCAAGAGTATATAGACCCCACGAAGATGACTATGGTGTGCAGTTCAGTTTCACGGGAGACCGTTGAGATGGTCAGACGCACCGGGCAAGATAGGGTTACGGTCGATTGGCCAGGAGGAAGTTTATCCACCTTTGCGATGAACTTCAGACGTTCAGAGTCTCGACCGCGCAATGTTATGTTAATTTCATCAACAAAGACATCCTTGATACAAAATCAGCTCTGGAAACAATGTCAAGACATATGAACACGTACACATGGTAGATGGTTTGAAACGGTGGCATCTACCAAGACTAAGTCTTCATCGTCACTACAGGTAGCATCGCCAGATACTTGAACTGCCATAATAGGATGGTCTGTGTGAACCAGATCTACGATTTGCCAATTCTTAGTCATTCCAGATTGTGACACAGTGCGTTTGGCAAGCACACACCTGAGTCTAAGCTTGCTGCAGCAGTGTGAAGTGCTCTAATAAGCTGGGTAACAGACTTCTCTTGATCCACCTCCGATGTCAGTTCTTTGCTCATGTCATTTGTGCATGTCCTGATATATGCAAGTAAGATATGTATCCACTCTCGGTCTTGAGGATTTTTCAACTCCGCATGTATGTCGAGTGCACGAGAGAGTACGAAGGACTCTAGCGATATCCACATATGAGGTGCATAATGTGCGGGTAAGGATGTAAAAATGGCCAGAGCACTCGCCAGGCGTCCTCGATGGCTGTCCTGTGATAAGAAGGCAGATCATATGTCAAACAGTAGGCTTACATGTCCAGGGCGGCGAGGAAGCCATGCAGTTTTAGCGCAATTTTGCGACGGCCAGCCTTTACGTACATGTCGATGGCACGATTTGAAGTTGCGCAATACAAGTCATAAAAGGCCTCCTTGTCCCTAATAGCTAGTATGATCTCGTGATTGCTTATCCGCCGCGTCGATGAGCGTTTACTGATTTGTTCTGGATGCAAGGCAGTTTCTTCCATACATGTTGTTGCAAAGGGCAGCTTTTTGGGCAGATGACCTACTTTTACGCCAATGATGTCGAGCTGTAACAAAATCAGGGTATGGCGAGAGTGTTAGCAATGATATCTGACCTGAGTCTTGGCTAATTCAAGAAGTTCACCTTTGCTCGCACTGAATCGCGCGAGCTGAATGCCATCCAGTTCTGTCATAGTAGCCCACGTATCACATTGATCGACAACACTGAGAGCAGAAGAAAATATCCATGACTCAATAAAGTATTCCGATAACTTGGCCTATAGAGGGCATGAGTTTCTACGATACAGAATAGTATGATGCGATCCCTGACCTCTACCTCTCGCAATCGTCTACCAAATGTGCCCAAAAAGGTGGTGACCTTCTGGCAAATCTCGGAGGGGCGACGCATCTTATTTAGCAGAGCACACTGACGAGAAAGCAAGTATATCCGGAAATCGAACACTGAGATGGAGTTGGCGAGGATAAGGTCGCGATAATGTTTCTTCGTAATTGAGAGTAGAGGCACCGAGTCGTCCTTGTCCACAGGCTGAATGAGACTACCAAACCAGGACATGTTCTTCTCTCTCAGAACTTGGATGAAAGATACTTCCAGCTCGTTGTACTGGTGCAGGGCATCTTCAAAAAGTTTCACTCCTTCAAAGGAGCTTGCAAGACTTTCCTGAGAGTCAAAAAATCTCAGTTAGAATACGTTCAAAAAATGCCATGTATGAGACATGCCTTCAATATGAAAAACGTGCAGAAATTCCAACCAGGCATTTGCCTCTGACTCTCAGAGCGTCTGACCTCTTCTTCACGTTGAGAAACGGATACATCTAGAGCAGACAGCAAACCGTCCTTGATCTTGTTCACAAGATCAGCCCATATGACAGGACTGTGGTCTCCCGCTGTCCATGACAACTGTACGCATCTGATACATGTAAGCGTGAGGAGAGACACGATAGGCGGGGTAGTCGCACCGGTCTCGCTTGTCAATATTAAAATCTGCCTTTATCTTATCAAGGACGGAGCTCTTCATGTTGAAGAACTTGCGGTCTGTGGTCTTGACATCAGAACGAACAACGTGCACAATGATCCATTCTTGATTCTTCCGCTGAGATATAGAAGAATGCCAGTCTTTGATCTGTTTCTTCACAGTCGTCTTGTACAAGTCGTTATCCTGAATACCTCGTCAAGTTACTGCTACCGATTGTTCACCATGTTTACCTCGCACGTTACAACGTAAAGGTTGAGTAAAGGCTTTTCTAACAGAGTGACTGGTACTTGTGACGTGTGTTCATCGCGGAGAGAATCCAAAGGAACAAGAGTAAGTTCAAGTTCCTGAATGGTTTTGAGATTCGGTCGGGAGGCTGACTTCCAGTGAATGCTCCGAAGCGGTAGCTGAGATTGCAAGGCAGCTAGCACTTGCTTCCAGTTCTCTGAGGCCAAAAACGACACTGGTGCAGAGTATGTCACTAGGACATTCTGATTAGACATTCGAAGATGTTAGATGGGTGGTGTACTGTTAGACGCAGCGAAGGAAGTAGTACTACAGTTGGTAATACCTTCTGGCTATTACTCGGTCAACGTGAGAAAAACATTTTAGAACCCTTTGCTCTGGATCACTTTACTGTCGACGACTACGGCCAGACAGTATGCCTTCGCCAGAAGAAGCAAGCACGTCGACCACACCACCAGAAACCTTCAAAGAACTGGGACTCATAGATCCTTTACTGGAAGCCCTAGATAAGATCAACTTCACAAAACCTACTGAGATTCAGCAACAAGCACTTCCTCATGCATTAGAAGGTCGAGATATCATTGGTGTGGCGGAAACTGGATCAGGAAAAACTGCAGCGTTCGCACTTCCCATCTTACAAAAACTTTGGGACGAGCCAAAAGGATTGTTTGCGTGCATTCTTGCACCGACCCGCGAACTTGCATATCAGATAGCGCAGCAGTTTGAGAGTCTGGGTTCCGCCATGGGGGTACGGTCCTTGGTTCTTGTCGGGGGAATGGATAGGATGCAACAGGCTGTTGGCCTTGCTAAGCGGCCTCATATCATAGTGGCAACCCCCGGTCGTTTGAACGATCATCTTCAGAACACGAAGGGGTTCAGCCTAAGAAGCTTGAAATTCTTGGTGCGTTTTCCCCAGCCCTTGCACCCCAAGTCCTTACAGTTGCACAGGTTATGGATGAAGCAGACCGTCTTCTCGACATGGATTTCGGTCCTGAAATAGACCAGATTCTCAAAGTCATACCCAAGGAGCGCACAACGTACCTGTTCTCCGCTACCATGACCACCAAAGTTGCGAAGCTACAGCGAGCCAGTCTAGTAAACCCTATCCGGGTTGAAGTTTCTTCAAAGTATGGGCAAATTATCGGCATCCTGAGCTGTACTGAGATAATCAATGTAGATACCAGACCGTGTCCACCTTGCTGCAATATTATCTACTCGTCCCCTTGGTTCATAAAGATGTGCATCTCATATATCTCGCCAACCATCTTGCATCGAACTCCATCATGATATTCACCCGGACAGTGCATGATGCCCAACGGTAGGTGGTGAATTGCAATCATTTTATCATCCTCGGCTTATTTTTCCCATTTCTCTATTCCAGACTGTCAATCATGTTACGATCGCTTGGCTTTCCTGCAGTTCCATTGCACGGTCAGCTGAGCCAAAGCCAACGCTTAGGCGCTCTGGGCAAGTTCAAGAGCGGAGACCGCAAGTTGCTCGTGGCGACTGACGTGGCTAGCCGGTTTGTTCCTTATATCTGTTTCTATCCCTGTGTATTGATTCAAGTCGCTCTTCTTACAGTGGTCTTGATCTGCCTTCTGTTGACATTGTCATCAACTTCGATATTCCAACCCATTCCAAGGACTATATTCACCGCGTTGGACGTACTGCGCGAGCAGGTCGATCTGGAAAATCGATTACAATGGTGACGCAATACGATGTGGAACTCGTCCAACGAATAGAAAAGGTTATAGACAAGAAAATGGAACTTTGGCCAACAGACAAGGAAGAAGTAATGTTGCTGAAAGAACGTGTGGATGAGGCTGCCCGCTTGGCCATCAATGAGCTCAAGGAAGAAGCTAAAGCAGGTGGAAAGAAACGCAAACGTGAGGATGGCGTTGGAAGGGACGAGAGAGATCGTGATGATGATGTCGTGGAGGCAGGTGTCCCGAAAAAGAGACATTCAAAAAAGGGGCGATAGGTTTTCCCGTATTTGATACTTGCGGGAAATCATCTCGTTAAAACAACTCGATTAGTGAGGATTACACTGAACTTTGGCCTTTGTCTGTCGGCACAGCAATTTCCTGGGACAAGTTTTGAGTACAAGCATCAAGATACATTCGAGAATAAGTATAGAGAGACATCGTCCGACAACCAAAAGGTGGCGACAAGGTCGATAGTATGCATGATTTAAAGCTTGATCGAAAGTTGACAATTGACCTAGAAGTCCAACCAAGCCCTAGGCTTGATTACCAGAGATCGCGAGTACAAGAGAGTGAAGGATATGGCGATCGTAGTTGATTGTCGTCACATGAACATGAGATCTGAGCGGAGGATGTACTTGGTTCCATTGCGGACCAGCGAACCCTCGTGAAGTAGGCATTCATTTCCGTGGCTAGTCAATCAGTGTTAGTCTGCGGTCAAGAAACAAGGCCCTGGATCACTGACCGATGGAGAAGAACAGTTCCACGCGTTAGAGGTGCTACAACGGTTTCGCGTGCTTTCCCCCGCTCATCCTTGTAGAACAGTGTCTTGTACATGCTAATCAGTCTTGAAGTTTACAATCATAGTCACGGATTAGTACCTCGCCACCTTCAACTCCATCCTCGATTCCAGTTAGGTAAACAAGTACTGTCCATTCAGATTTTGCTTCCGTCTCTGGGTCACGGACAGAATCATCATAGTGAGGTCCAAAGTACTGCGACGGCGTGTATTTGTACATGCGAATATTTGAGTTGCATGAGTGAGGCGAGCGCTTTTCGCCATGCGGAAGACGCCGCCTGACTGAAGCCGGAGGAGGGAAAGATGGGAGATGTGGTAACAGAAGGGAATGTAACTTCTGAGCAAATGAAGGAGAGGTCACAGAAAAACGAACTAGAGTTAGGACTACGGGTGAGCACCGACTCCTGCGGGCAGACTACTGATCAAAATGCTTACAATTGACCCTCTCAGCTTCCCCTTTCTTCTTGGGAGGTGTTAACTCCAACGGAGTGTTGTCGATAAACTTCACAAAACGTTTACATTCTTCAACAGAGAGAAACTCCTGTCTGTCATTTAGAATGCGCAATCATTGCGATACATAGACGAAACGAACATCTATAAGGATAATTTGGTCTTCCAGCAGCACGCGACATTCGAGAGTTTCCTTCTGCAAGATGTCTGGAAATGTAAGAGCTGGCGACACTGCAGACTTGCGTGGTGTTTGCTTTGGTGCTTTCGATTGCTTCGGCATGTCAGGCGCCCAGAACTCTGAACATTAAATCGCAGGAAGGCCCTGAGACATGGTAACGGCACTGGCCTAATTGGTCGAGGTGGCGTCAACAGCACATGCCCCATGGCTGAGTTGGTTACAGCGTCCGACTGTTATTCACCGGCATCGGAAGGTCGTGAGTTCGAGCCTCACTGGGGCAGTACTTTTGCCTACTTTCTAAGTTTTTATTTGTTCCGATTTGTCACATTCTTGCCCAAGCTTTCCACCAAGCCACATCACCCAGTCTCGCACAGTAGTAGCCGAGATTGGGAACAGCCACGATATTTTCTTACACCTGGTATTTGCACCTAAACCCATCAGTGAAGTTTCCTGATGGCCTTTTGCCCGATTAACCTGCTTCACCCTTCGAGGTAATATGCTATTAATAGTATTTCAGGCTGCCAATTGATAATGGGCGCTTCCAACTACACTTCATAATCCTCATTGCAAACATGTACATAGACACCAGTCGGTCCTATTTGCTACCACCACGCCTCCTACTTCCATTCCACAAAAACATGCACATCCATTCACCTATCTCACTTACTAGATGGATGAAAACAATCCTCCTCAGAAGAAACGCTGGGGGCAGTTGAAGCCAAGTCATTCAGATCCTCATTTGGTAGAGGAGAGGGGCAGGACGACAGCCAGTCACGATGTATGAACTTTCATCTTGGCAACTACATCATCTCTAATTTTTACAGCCGTCCTCGCTCTCATCTTCGAGGAATGGATCTCATGCACGACGCCCAGGCCCAGTTTTCAACATCAGGTAACCAGCGCGAAAATGATAAACTTATATATTGCTTTATCTGATCTACAATATGTACAATATGTATCATAATTGTACTTCACATTACAAAGCTTTAAATACCCGGACTACATGGAATGGAAATGGCCAACTGTACAATTTTGATGTCTGATTGCAAGTACCTGTCAGCTCATCATCAAGATGGTATATTTTGTAACATCTGCCAGCTGCAGCAAAGTTGATGAGGGCCTCCATGGTCTACAATCTAAGTATTATTGTTAGTACACTTGTAGTCCACCACAATTCTGCCCTGTCCTGATCATGATATGTAACCTTTGACAGGGGTTTCTTCCTTTGCAATATCTGAATAAATGCCAATATGAGATAAAGCTTTAAATACCTGGACTACATGGGATGAAAATGGCCAAATGTACATTTTTGATGTCTGATTGCAAGTACCTGCCAGCTGTTGCAAAGTTGATGAGAGCCTCCATGGTCTACAATCTGAGTATTATTGTCAGTACACTTGTAGTCCACCACAATTCTGCCCTGTCCTGATCATGATATGTAACCTTTGACAGGGGTTTCTTCCTTTGCAATATCTGAATAAATGCCAATATGAGATAAAGCTTTATATAGCTGGACTGTTCTGGATCACCACCACAAACAAGTAAAGGGTGTGCAACAACTGTAGTGTGTTATCATGGTGTATCAATATGGTTGTCACATGCAAGTCATGATTCCTGTTGCAGTCTTGACAAGAGCTCTCTCATTGCTGATATCAGATATGTGATTGTGATGCTAGATTATGTTGCCCAAATTTATTGAGTACACAATGTAAGCAATGAACCACAGTGGGCTATCATCCCATCCAACTCTGATGAGATATGATTGTGGTATGCAAGTTAAGGTAGTCATTTTATTCTGCAAAAACTCTCTCAGAATGCTGTTGTTCTTTATAGTCTTCCAAGGCCAGACTGTGAAGGACTGGGGCTGACTTTGTTTCAAGGTTGCAGAGTAATAGCAATGCATTAACTTTTGCCAGCTGGCCGGTGAGGTACGGTCACTATGTTCCATTTCAGTTGATTATTTTAATTTCCTCAAAGCTCAAATGAAAAGTTAGTTGCAGATATTGTCTCACAAGACCTGCTCGCATGGACCAATTCGACACATGAGAACATTGTACTGCACAGCGACAACAAGTTGTCATTTCACAATTGAATTTCAGTTATGTTGCCTTAAGTTGTCTTCAACCTGAAACATTCCTATTCGAAGCAATATGCAGGCTTGACTTGGGGTCAATTTAATGTTATCTTTGTTGCAAGAGCACACACAAATTGATATAAAATTGCAATTGTATTTACTACATGGAAAAATGCATGAGTAAATACTACGAAGAGCTTAAATTTTCAGCCTGTTTGACTGCAAGATGTTTGAGTCAAATCTTTGCCAAGGCGCTATTGGTGCTGATAGATCGCTTGGCGGCAGATGAAGCAGGAAAAACTTGTCTGGGTAAAAGACAACATATGAGCCTTGGAAAAATGGTGAGGAGTAAGAAGAATACCGATTCCACCATGTCAGCAGCTCATCGAGCTCCTTAGATTCATCAGGGTCCTCGAGGAGGTCGAGGAGACTGTGATAGAACGTCTCTGAGTCTGTCGTTGTGTTGGTCCGGGAAAATACTGAAGAGGAACTTAAAGCAAATCGGAACTTCAGTTGTGCGTCAGAATAAGTTCAGCTTTAAAAATGTTCTAAGACTAACCTGTGTTGCAATATAAGATATAGAAGTGACGGTGACAGCATTCATGCCATGGAGGCGAGCATTTCCAGATCGCGTAGCTTTTGGTTCTTTGTCAACCGAACTCGGGGATGTAAAAACGTGTTTGTAAGCCTAGTGAAAAAGGATGTACTTAGGGATGACGTAGAATAGTTGTGCCTACTCACATATACAAGTAAGCGATTCCTGAGAAGACCACACCACGGGTCATCAGCGTCGTAAGTATGGTTGGCATACAAAAATACGGGCCATTGATCTCCACATACCGATAGTTCTCCGCTTCGGAGGTTCTCTCTCGTCCTGTACACAATGAAGTGAAAAATTAGTGTTGATCGCGAATGCCAGTAAACCGAAACATACTCTGGGTCTTTCCAGTCCAACCCTGCGGGACAAAGCAGCGATCCAGTAAGCTCATGGTTGAATCCACGGTCAATCTTCGAGTTTCTGTGTAAAGGAGGCTGGATTGCTGTGCCTTTCAGGGAAATCCAATCAAGCACTGCAGACTTTAATGTTTTCGTGTCGTTGCCCCTCGCACCTGCAGCTCCCTTACCAATCTACAGAGCGTAAGCATAAACTCAGGGCACACAACAATAAAAACGTACGAGCTCACCCACATGGATAAGTTCCTCCTCAGATCCATTTTGTAGTCGCTCTAAAAGGCCAGGATATGAGTCTAAGAGGTGCTCAAAAATGCGATGCTCTCGTCGCTCACTGCCAAGCACGTCAATAAGCCAGTGAGCAAATACAGATATGTCGTTTTCACTCAGCAGAAAAGTCCTCCAGCGGAGTATCTTCCATTTGCTCTAACCTGAGGATACCGTTGGTGAGCAGAGAAGGAAAATTGCACAGAGCGAATACTGTTCACCCGAAGTGGCATCCATGAGAGATAAGGGGATCAGATGTTGAACTGTGCGACTAGATGAGTCTGCCAATCTCAGTATACTGAACATGAGGGACAGCTTACACTTTTTTTCGGGGCCCCATCTGAAGGGCTGACGTGGTGTGTTTACTCGGAATGCTTGAAACACCATTTACGGTGGTCATGAGATTTGGCGAGGAAAGTTCGGGTTTCGCTGGAACTGAAGTCAGCTTTTATCACGGACGCACCACGTGGGATTCTAAGTAAACGAGGTACCTGATGGCAGCCAAGCAAAAAGCCAAGATGGCTGGCTGGCTGGCTGGCTGACCATGGTGATTGGGGGCTTGGCGGCTGGCCATGGTGACCAAGGGGCACGATGGTCCACCATAGGGAATTCTGTGTCATAAAAAACGGATCATAGTGAATAAAAGCTCCGTAGACAGTAGAAAATAAAACTGCTTACCATCAACCAAAATATGCAACAATCCTGGACTCAGAGTCAAACCTTTAACCTATCCGGACATATCATTAGCTTAAACCTCCGGTAACTCTGATGACGCACTTGCGGTAGGACTTACTAATGCTATCCATTAGGATTGAGGCAGGGGGAAACACCAATCAGAGGGGCAGGCCTAAAGAACTTGTCGTTGTAAGGTCTGTGAATATCATCATCGCACATTCCTAAAACTTAGGTTAGTTCAGAGCGACAGATGTTGACAAGAACTCATCTTCAGTGAAAGATGACGAGGCTCCCGTTCTTCTGCCGGAGTACAACCGTGAAACGGACAAGGACTCCGTAGCCAAACTCAAAGAACGACTGCATTGTGCAGACTTGCGCTATTCAAAATTGGAAAAATTATACCAAAACTATAGGCTTCGTTGGCTGGAGGAATGTTATCGGGTCAGCGTTTTGGAGGAATACGCACCAAGTGGGATTAGCACATACTCTCCTCGTCAGATCACATGGAATGCCCCTTCCCCCATACAATGTATGTTTCACACGGGCTCCCTTGAAATAAACTGACCGCTTTCCTCAGGCAACGAGGACGATGAAATCGAGGACCAGGAGCAAGTGTAGAAGACATTGCAACGCACAAATTAGTTGCAGTAGTGTTCTGTAACCAAAAGATCTTAGCATAGTGATTGCGATAGCATAAAACAACAATTGCCCTGAGCAGTGCGGTCGCCGATGTCAAGTTGAGAACCATAAAAGCTTCTGTCAAACGTCGAACATATTCTGATAAATTCAATAATGTACAAGTAGGTATCTTGAGACTTAGAATATGCAAATTGACTTGTCTATTGAATTACTAGAGCTAACCTCTGAACCTCTGAGCGCGACCCATGCGAGACGCGAGATCATGTATGCAAACAGCCTCATGACAAAGATGTCATTGAGGTCTCATCCTAGCTGGGCCTGGGCCGTAACTGGCGACCACCAATATAATCAATGAACCTACCACAACAGCGAGTGTAGCAAAGCATGCAATGACCAAGGGCGTAGATGGCTTAAAGTCTACAGTGATGCCTGTGAGAAATCCGAGGATGGAACTTGTCACACTGATAGCAATTTCATGAGTAACCTAAGTAATTGTAATCAAAGTCAAAACTGATTACCTCAACATGCAAAAACAGGTCGGTATGCTTGTAATAACCAAAAGCATCAGCCCCTTCCTTCGCAGATAATAGACCTGTTCAGTAGAAAATGTGAGGCTCAGCATGTAGAAAGATGAGGAAACCGAACCGCAAAGTCCAAAGATTTCATTCTCTTGCCAAAGTGGTGTACTATCGTGCCTGCAAAAATACAGCCGACACCTAAAAGGAAGGAGCAGGAGCACAACATCTGTGCAGTCGACGTTGTACCTAACCATGGAATGGCAAGGATGGCGACATCCAAGGCCATGGAGATACCTGCCTGTAAAGGAAGACTAAATGGGGAGACGTCCTCATTCACGATACTGATATAGCACTGACCAGGGTGATTTGATTTCTAGTCTGATTGCTGAAATCATCGATAAACGACTGGACTTCCACCCCGTTTACGATACCATCAACGGAGGTGCTCCTGACGCGAGCAATAGTGATTGGCATGCAGAGCACTGTAGCTGCAGAATTGCTCATAAATTCCAGAAGTTTAAACTTTCTGTGCTTCTCTCTCACAGCATGTGTTTGAATTAGACGAGCCTCAGGCTGATTGTGGCGATGCAAATACTGGTGATGACCTATGTTTCTGCATGATTAATAGTGTATGCGATACAAGAGAGCGACGTACGTAGCATGTACATAATTCTGCCTGTTAGTAAAAAAAAAAATCAGCATTTGAAGTTCTCGGCCCTACAAACTCACGAACAACATGATATGACTCCGGTTTCTGGGACCAAATCATTTTCAACAATTTCTTCTAAGAGACGAGGGTTCGATTAATCCCATCATGGCTGCTATATAGCGAGACAAAGATAATGTCACATACCGATATTGGCCAGTTGGCCAACGATCTGATTCATTTCGTCTAGATTCCAGAATATGGACGCTGCAGTAGATTGCTTTAAGGTCGTCGCTTCTATTTTGAAGTTATTCTGAGTGTCGCTGCAGTAGTGTAGGACTTGCCTCCAAGATAACAAACCAATTGTCCCCATATGCATCGCACTTCCGATCGAGATATTCTGAACTGGTGGGGAAAGTACTCAAAGTGTTTCCTAGCGAGAAACGCTCAGCTCAATTTGACTTTATTTACGTTCGATGTTGACCGCTCACCAATATTGAGCTTCTAATTCGAGTCCTGCATGGTTCTGATCAAGCTCACAAAAAATAATAATTAGAGGACAACATACTCTTGTGCCTCCATTCGCTTGGCTTGACACAAGCTCAAAAGAGAATGTAGCCATCCAGGTCCTCTAGCCAGGTAATAATGCGGCTGCCGGGGACTACATAGTAGTATTGAAATCTCTCTTCTCCCATAAAGATCATTGGCTGAACAACCAACGTCCATGCATCTTCTTTCGCCGCAGCTCGCGATGCATTTACAAACTCATCGAGTGTCTGTAAATTCCGATAGTCCCTTAGGTTTGTCAGAGTATACATGTTCTAGATTTCCATGAGGTAAAGTAACCCACAAGTACAAGCGGTGCTTACCTGTTTGAGATTATAGAAATACGTACCACCCAATGGATGAACCAACTCCTGCCAGTCTCCGTACACTGAGGGCCTGTCAATGAAGGTTAGTTTGACACCGGTCGAAGATAAGACGACGAACAGTGGATCACTTATTTGCTTCTTGTGGACCAGGTTATCTTCATATGCATCATCCGTACTATGTATATAGAAATCAATGTATACTCCGAATAGTTAATGATGAGTACTCACAGTAATACCACCTCGGCGTAGCGGGGCAATTGCATCGGCCAGGTACCAATACTACTATCAGACAGTGCCACAGATCGCTGTTGGGATACCAACACTGTCTAGAGCGTGTTAGGGTCCTGAGTACCGCGCAACATCATAAGGCGCATCACGATTGAACATACCATCTGCAAAATGACCAATATGGTGTTATGCTGTGATGAGGCTTGAATGAGGCGAATAATAAACACACCTTTGCACGTTCTGAATGGGGGACACTGAATGAAGGACCGTAAATTAGATCTATGAGCTGACGATGGTCACGGTAGCAGAGAGTGTTCGAAAATTACGTAATCCAGCGAGTGCAGGTCGATTAGTAGTGAACGAGTATGGAGGCATAAACAAACACAAATACCACACATATCTCACATTATTTCCATAAACAACAATTATAATTACCAGCTACGGCAAATAAGGTACGACTACTCAAATATATGCCCGATCAGATCTATTAATAAATATCGACGTTGACGTTAGTGCCAGAGAATGACACGCATGATCAACGGTCCCCAACTCGCTGATCATGACGCTTGCGTAAGTAATACTACTATTTACATTGATCGCCAATGCTAACACTCAAAAGACCTACCTAGAATATCTAGAAACAAGAATCAAGGTGCGCGTTTACATTACATCGCTCACTCGTATCGGCCTGACTCCGGCGGTGGAGGCGGCCAACTTGAATATCCCACAAGTGCTGTGATCGAGTCCAATCAGGAGATGGGTACAGTCTTCGAAGGACGGTTTTGGTCGTGTGATTCGGCGATTGGGATCGGCAGTGCAGAGGGCAAGTTTTTTTGTTTGTTTGCGAGCTTGAAAGACTTACAGTCATGTCCTAGAGATGCATTAACAGGCTATAGTTAGCCTACATACCAGACCACATCACAATTGACGACATACTGTGATATCCCACCACTCATTCAATACATACACATTTCACACATATAGCTTCGTTGATGTACAAAAGTAATGCATAATACCCTCGGAGCAGATTGTAATCTATAGTATGCATCATCGTTACTACATTACGACATACAATCGAACAGTATCGATGTCTTATCCAAATCTCGACTACACAGGCGGGAGCGCCATGAAGTAATATTGAGGAATTACCACAGACTTGAACGAATGCGGAAGCCTGAATTGTGCATAAGGGACTGTCAATTCATCATGAGACGGTTCGACAACTATATCCCTGACATCATCCATCATCTTCATCTGCTTCAAATTCGTGATGGGGTCCAGGATTAGTCTCGCATGGCGGGTCTTGGGATCAATAGACAAGACATTTTCTTCCCTGAAGTCGTGATGAGTACGACACAAAAGCAATGTTAAGACACTGACCGTATGTGAGGGAGCTTCAGGACTGCATCGAAGAAAGTGTCGAAACGGTGTGGATGCGTATACATCACATCTAGGGCAGCCATAATGCGAGGGTATAATTCTAGCATCTTTAAATATGTCTTTTCTGCGTGAGACGGTATGAATGACTGATACATCTGATATGAAAAATCGTTAATGATCAGACAAATACGAGAAGAGAACTTACGAGAGCAACAAGTATGCCCACGATACCCTTTCCTAGATAACCCATCAAGGTTTGGATGGCTTTGGGGTAAAGATCCGCCAATCGCGCTTGGCCTTGAGGAAAGTCAGCAATGGGTCTGTATAATGTGGCCCAGAGGATTTCCCGGAACCCTTGAGTGACTATAAGCTTGCAGATAGCTTCTCGAATCTAAAGGATGGAAATGTCAAAAGAATAATTGCGCAATGTGCAATCTCTTACCATATTTTCGTCACCAGAGTTCATCAAATCGATGATGAGAAGTTTGATTTCAGCCTCCTGCTCCGTGCTGTCCCCAAATTTGGTGTCTGGAGTCGTCCCACCCCTCACAACTTTCCTCAGCTCGAAGGTAAAATCTATGGGGTGATCTAAGAACTGCTCGAAATGATCAGTAATAGGTAAGTGTAGTGCTACAGGACAAGCTCACCCTGGTTCTTAACTGGGACCAATATATGCGAGCCTCACTCCCGAAACTGTTCATGACTGTCACTGATCATTGTAAGTTAATGACCTCTGTAGTTAGAGATGGGCACTCACAAGGTATTTCACGAATTTCTTCGTATGTTTTGAGGTCAAGATGGAGGGCTCTCAATAAGCTGGTGGTGATCAAGTGCCTGCATTCCACTTCACACATAGAGAATGTATTGGTGGGTGTCCCAATCAATATGTGACCCACATAAAGATATTTTGCCAACTTGATCGGGCGCCCCCAAGGTGACGTCAGCAATGCAAGTCTGAGTGATTTTTTCTGATTGCCGTCAAGCGAATCGTCCCTAAGCGTCAGCCTCCAATGAAGTTCTTCATGAGGGAGATCTGCCCCGTCAGCGATGATCACGTTGCTGAAGAGGCTGCTGTCATAGTCATCCAAAGCAGATTCGAACATGTCATCTGCCGTAGATGCGACAGTGAGATCAACAGTATGATCATTATCAAAATCCATGGACAGTGGGAGCAACATGTCAGAGAAAGATAACGATTGCTGAGTGAATGGACCAAAGGCGTCCCAAGCGGGAATTCCAACAGAAATGGGGGGAACAGGAGGCAGGAAACCATTTGGGAATTGTGCAGGGTTGAACGGAATCCCGTTTAGCCGTTCGAGCTATGGATGTGATGCGATGAAGTGAGTCGGATGAAGTGATGCAGCACCGAGAATGGTACTCACCACCCAGATGGGACATAGAAGACCTTGTGGGCTGGGCCCGCAAAATGGTGGATGAACATCTTCGAGAAATCCAGAGCTACTGGGCTAATATGGTTGTCTTATGAGAGGTGAGCTTGGCGAAATCATAAAAAGTTGTCACCTTGATCTCATATACTGGAGACCTTGCAAAGTTGTTGTCAGATGCCAGGAAACCAATGTGATGTATGATGTCGTGTGGTGGCTCAGAGAATTCTCGATACTCCTCAGGCCACTATAAATGAACGCAATAAGAACATAAATTTGATTGAGAAAGTATTGATCTCACATAGATTGGTGCAAGTTGATAGTCATGGGCGGCATACCCTATGAATAAGAATCGACTGGAGAGGCCGTGGAAAGGCTGAAATCAGAGAGGTCAAGTTAAGTACACGTCTGATTGGTGATAGCCAACCTCATCATTCTGTGAAAAGGTCAGCGATGGCAAACATAGTCCACAGTGAACTGTACTTACCCTGAGGGGAAGAAGTCGAAGAACGCGGTTGCATATATTTTCACTGTGCACATAGACATAAATTGGAGTGTCAGCAGCCGGAACAGACAAGAGGGAATTTGACTGCTGCATCTTGATGTATGAAAAAGAGCGAATGAGACACTTTAAGTATGCAAGTGAGTCTCATCTGCAAAGGGCAGAAATTGGATTTAAAAAATAAAATAAAATAAAAAGTATGCAAGTGTGTCTGGCCGGACCTACAACTTTCAGCCATCCGATGGTGCGCCAGCCCTTAGCGATGGAAAGTCAGGATTTAGCCAGGGCATTCCGGCTATTTTGCAACGAGGCAGAGCGGAAATGGATGAATGGCCAGAAAGAGCAACGGCGAGTTACGACATGCCAGGAAGAAGCTGCGCCTAATACTGCCGCACCAGGAAGAAGCAACAGCATGTTATGACATGCCAGGGGAAGATGATGATGGATGCCACATTCGAAAATATAGGGGAAGCGAAGATGAAATATCCGGAACCCAGGAAGGCGAAAGCGAGTCACACAAGAGACAATCTACCATGAAATGATCAGCAAGGCAGAAGAACATTAATTTTCGTAGTCAAATGTATGACTATTAGGGAACATGTCATCCAGCTCCCATGAGAGTGACACTGTGCTAGCATTGAGCCCCTGGTCAAAGTAATCAAGTTCTTCCGAGCCAACATGGCCATCCACATCATCTACATCATCCTCTTCACTGTCAGAAGCTTGGTATCTTTCTCCGTTATTTAGATATTCATCTTCTGGATGCGCCGGCGTCTGTGTAGTGGGGCCGGGGGTTACTTGTGTCAAGCAAGGGTTTGTCTGATGAGAATACACGTGCCCTACCCCGAGGCCGTAATGAAAGCGCATGATAGTGTCGTGATCGACGAAGCTAGTGTGATGATATTGAGAAAATTCAAATGATGACATCTCAGTTAATTCACCTGTTGATATAATATTCATGCCAATCATGCATGTCACCTGCAAGAGGGGAAATTCCGTGTTCGCCTGGATTGCGTTGGCCTCAAGAAAAGGCCGGTATAACGTAACACCCCCTCAAAACGACTCTGGGGTCTACGAATCCGAAAGACTTGTGGTTTTCCAGAGGCCGGAAATGAACGCGGCCCAAACTGCATGTGGGCCATGCGTGATTTTGCATGGATTCGTACCACCTAACAAAAAGAAACTCTATCCTACGAGATTCATGCAAGTTTGAAGAGCACACAACGTTAATGTGGTGTATGCCAATAACTTTGGCGTAACAATAGGCATCTCCGTGCTCACCATCAATGTGATCGTGTTTGAGCAACATGATGTTGCAGTGGGGTGTCCTGGGATTGACGACGTCTTGAGCCCTTCGGACATCGTAGGTGGTGTAGTTGAATCTGGCGAGGTTGTGATGATAAATCCAGTTCCACTTGAAGAAAATGGAGTTGTGCTGTTCGGAAGGACTTTCTATGGGCGATTCAGTGATTTCTGATTCAAGGCGAAGAACAATATGCTCTTTCAATCGAGGGAGAAAGTCCTAAACAGCATCTCAGAATGATTTAAGAAGTCGCAACAATATTTTACCTTCATAGCAGGATCTCCTGCGTGCTTGTGCAGGTATTAACCAAACTTGTCAAACATCTTCTCGCTTCGGCCAATGTGATGGTGTAATTGAGGATCACTCGCCATTTCAGACAAGTCTGTATGAGGGGCTTGATGTGGCTGTCGTTGTTTGATCCGGCGCAAACGTGCCTGACGGCGCTCGATCTGAGTCAGCTGATGAACGACACATATTACAGTGACCTATCTCCGTATAATACGAGGGAACGGACATGCATAATATCCCATATGATACGGGCCAGTGGACCATGGGCCCATGATAAAAATATCCTCGACTATGATGGATGGGCCGGGAGGCAAATTATTCCCGATGGAGGCGGGTGGGCCCATGCAGGGAATATATAGAGTAGATGAGTGGGCCGATGTATATGAATATTAGGTAGACGGGTGGGCCGAGGTAGTTGGATATTATGCAGATGGGTGTATTAAGGTAGATGTGTATGAGATAGATGGGTAGGTACTTGTTATCACATTCACGGGTGGGCCCAGACACATATTAAATTAGATGGGTGGGCCGAGGGTATTATAAAATATTGTATTAGATGGGTAGGCCCAGACACATATTAATTAGACGGGTGGGCCGAGGGTGTTGTATGGGATGTTGTATTAGATGGGTGGGCCAAGGGTGGTATAAAATATAGATGGGTGGGCCCATGTGTATCATAATTGTAGACATGATGGAGCTGAGGTAGTTGTACATCAACCAAATCAGAGGAGGTAATAAATCAAAGTTACCAAGTTCCCGGAGCAGCAGGTGATCTCCTGACATGGCCTTTGATGGTGCACAGGTTGTCTTGCAGAATTTGGAATCCGGGGTGCGAAGCTTGTGTTGCCCTATGAGACGCCAAGTTCCGACCACCCAAATTTGGGTCAACCATACCAACTTCTGAGTTCCAGGACCCGGGAGTCGACAAATGAATATCTGATAACCAGCACACTTCCAATCAGGTAGTATTTCATTGAGCAATGGATCATCCAAGGGGTCCCTTATCAGACTCGGTAGTCAATATAAGCAAATGATAATGAAAACATGAAAGTTGTTATTATGCTATTTTTCAAACCCGAGACCCTGAAACCCATTGTTCAACATGTCCATTTTTCACTCACTGCACAAATCACCGAGTTTCGAGTGCCAAAGCATGAAACTTGAAACCCAGTGTGCAACATGTTGATTTTTCATTTATATCACACAAATAACCAAGTGCCAAGTGCCAAGTGCCGAAACCCGAAGCCCGAGACCCGAAAATATGTATGCAACATTTCCATTTTTCACTTGTTGCACAAATCACTGAGTTTCAAGTGCCGAAACCCAAAACTCAAAACCGGGTGTGCAATATGTTCATTGTTCATTTACATTACACAGATCATTGAGTTCCGAGTGCCGAGTGCTGAAGCCCGAAGCCCGAGACCCGAAAATATGTACACAACATGTCCATTTTTCACTCATTGCACAAATCACCGAGTTTTGAGTGCCAAAACCTGAAACTCGAAACTCTCCTCCATCTGACTTGAGTTTCTCTCTCGTCGACCTCCGCTCGTCTTAGGATTGATTCCTATAGACTCGTCACCTCTGCCTCTACCTTTGGTAGTCCTCTGCTGTTTCCTTTCTAGTTCGGACTTCGTCCGGATTAGTCTTATCTCTTGTTCCCGAACGTCCGCCGGAATTCCCGCGCATCGGACATCAGACTCCGGACATCGCCCGACGCCCTCCGGACATCGTCCGGTAACCTTCGGACATCGTTCGACAGCCTTCGGAAGTTAGGGGCACATACTCGGGTAAGGGGCGCAGCGCACGAGCTGAAGCCAAGCCCTTCGGATCTGACCCTTGAGCACGTTCTTAACAGGATGACAGACATGAGAGACCGATGGTACAGATCCGCCACAACGTAAGATCGAATATCCGGCTGAGCTGTTGTTCGAGAAAAGGGAACGTCAATGGTCACTTCCGTTTTGTGCCATCCAGCATCCTCATCCTCCCATTCTTCTCCCTCACTAACACTTGTGCCTAATTGGGAATTGATCTTATCCCAGTGCATATGCCGCACATCGTCCGGATCATAGTCTGGACGTCCGACGATATCAAGCAAATCCTTGAAGCTCTGGTGTGATTTCTGCGCGCTACCGTTCCAATACCAGTGACCAAGCTTAAAGGAAGATTCATTGGGGTACGGATGAAAGGAATTATTGTGAGGAATTGTAGTAGTATCTGAGTCTCCTGGAGAGGGGGTGGGGATAGAACTGATGTCTTGAAGCGTCATGGCCTCTTCCGGGTTGTGACTTGGCGGTACTGAAGAGAAAAATTGGCGTACCAGGCCAAATATATTTCTTGATGTACGGAAAGGAGCATCTTGTACAGAGTTTGCGGGTGGACCAGCCTCTGGTTGTCGTGGGATGTGGCTAGGGACGCTAGGAGGCAGCTGAGGGAGCACATCCTCATATTGTCTGAAGCGGATGGGTAGAGGGACACCAACACGGTGGCTTCTACACTGCACCAATGGTAGACCATCATCTACTTCAGTAAACGAAGTTTCAAGTCGGATGTCAGACATTGAAGTTTGTGCATCAGCTTGCAACGAAGAATCTGAGCATGACATCTCCCCGGGGGTAATGGTCGATGAAGTTCGCGAAACCTCTGCATTAATCAGCTGGTCGGAGGATAAGGAGGGGATTTGCAGACAGCGGACCTGCGGACTTGAAGATGCCATGCTAGTGCACACATCTTGTCTGCAGCCGTTAGCAGACAGTCGAGACCATTTGACAGAGCCCAACAAATCTTTTGCTTTCGATAAAGCAGAGAATAGTTGTTTCTTGCCTTTCATGCATGAATGTTGGTGCTTTGTATACACACTTGCTTGAGTGAACTCGTGCGTGCAAGTGCACTTGAATAGTGTCTTTGGTGGACCAACCATGGATCTGCTACGGAACCGAGTGTGTACAGCTGAGCCAGGAGCAAAAGATGATACTATCAAAGCCGTGGGACTTACCATTTATCAAAACGTAATAGGGCTAATGCAGGAACGAATACCGCCAGCGTAATTACCGCCCAGTGCCATATTCCTATGAGCCAAAGCCCCTGGCGATCTGAAATGGGGGCTGGTGCACTTGGTGGCAGCCAGGCCAGTACGATTGGGATGGCGGAATACAGCAATAACCAAGTGACAAGGAAGCATAGCTATATATAAAAAGTTGTTCAGGTTATTTTCTGCAGAGCCTGACATGTCCGCACCGCTTTCTCCATGTTCTGAATGCTCCATGCTCGATTCCGGAGAATTCGAAGTCGATCCTAAGGTCTTGGAGATGTTAGTGAGGATTCTCACATGCCGCCATGGTATACTTCATTACCACGCGCAAACCAGGGAACTGGTGACATTTCAATGGTCAATTGATTTGTTTCCTGGAAAGAGGTTCTTCACTCACAGGTTCACCCTCTACAGGCCAACCGATCGATATGGGCGGAAAATACACCCTTCATTGTTCGAGGCTTACCGCAAAGCACATATGTTTTGTTACCCGTGTTGCCTGTGCGCAACAGGTAGCATGTACGTGGAGGTGTCGATATTTCGGCGCTTTGACGGGGTGTGCTGGGGGGAGTACGTCTCCGAATGCACAACAGGCAGTTGCGGCTACATGCGTAAGTCAATTTACACACACAGATACAACGGATAAGCTAATTTTTGAATTTCAGTGAATATTGAGAAATTTCATGGCAGGACCTACATACCTGCGGTGTACTATCCTCGAAGGTGTGTGTATTCCTGAGGGGATCGTCAGACAAACTTCATCCGTATGACTAGGAATCAATATAAGTGGATGATTGACTATGATACACCCAGGATGTTCGTGCCGACTTCAACATATTCCTGATGCTCGTTGTGATGGGTTAGGAGCCGTTGCAGCAAACTAGAAAATATACATACTGTCTCAATGTTCCACACCATTTGCTATGATACAGCATGTTAGCCTATGATGTCATTCGATTTTGAATCTGCGAATTGACCGGATAAGCAACCATCTTTGACATTAATTCAAAGTGTGCAATTTGAATGAGTCACATCTCTCGTACGTAGTACACGTCTTCAACTAGCACAAATATGTTGTTCTAACCTAAGTATACTTGATATCGTAATGGTATGTGTAGTATCGTAATAACTGTATGTATATTATGGGGTCGATGATAGAAATTGGAAAGAGGAACAATATCCAAAGTGGGGTATTATTTATAGTGACTGACTTTGTGAAATTAAACTCAGTCGGTAGCACCCGAAGTCAATTTGTCACAACAAACATTGTCAATTTCCAAATTTAGTAATACCGCACGGCATTTACTGAATCCCGCGGAAGCAATTCCGACGTGCGCAAGCCGATATTTGTAAGGACAACATCCATCGCCTCCCATGTGTGCGCTAGATACTAATATAAGTGCAGTAGATCCTGACCAATACTCGTACAAATTTTACAAGGTCTGTGATACGTATTGGTGATACACAAAAACGATATAAAGATATGTGCCTGGTAACCACTGTGACGGCTTATGCAGTAGTGTTAAATATATAACGATGATGCACCCTGTCTGCTTGCAAGTCCGTACTCCTTCTTGGACCATGGAGATATATTCCTAACACTGAGCTTTCGTAGTTAGATGTGGGGATGTACACTCATAGAACACTGTGACCGATATGAAGACTAAAATAAACATAACACGGTTACCATAAGTCAGAGTCAGCGCGAGAGTCGATTGATTCGGCATCCATGCACTCCATGTAACGACGGACTTCCTCTGGTAAATGCTGAGGAAGAATTGGGCGTGGTGATGAATCTGAATCCATAATTGCCCATCAGCGATTAAAGAAACCACTGCAACTAGTTTGCGCTTACCGCTGTCCGAGTAGGTTGACACAGGGGAATTTTCAAGGGCCAGAGTATAAACAGCTGCCTCAGCTTGCGCGCGGCGCATCTTGGCACGCAAGAAAATTAACTCTGATTGGGCATTACGATGGCAAGTATGGCTTCCTCCAACGTCAAGGTACGCTGCAATCAGTCCCGCCTGCGTGGATAATTCGATTTTGCGTGCTTCTTGGAGGGCCTCTTGGAGGCATGTGGTAATCCATGTACTCTGTAGGCTGAACGAGGGGCCATCGGACTTCAAAGAACGTAAAGTGAAAAGCAAAATTAAGCAGATTACAAAAAACACTGACATTCACGGTGACCAGCATTCGTGGTTCGAGGTGCACAAAGGCAAAATGACCAAGAGTCGAAGGAAAGCCGATTAGAGGCAAGCCACTTTCGATCGATGCAATGTCTTTAGGTGGGATGGGGTTAGTTTGTTGCCTCCTTAACCAAGTTTCACACTTGTTTCGCGCAGCTACTGAACAGGTAGCTACGGGTTTGATGATATGTTGTGAAGTTGCTGTGAAATAGGCGGCATCAGTGACTGGTACTACATTAGGATGCATTGCTAAGAGTTATCATGTCAGACCATCGTTATTGTATAAGTTGTAGTCTCTTACGCATTGCCCAGCGCTGCTCTACATGAGAGATGGCTTGGCTGCACAGAGACACCTCCAGCTGGCAGCAGTCCCTCTTCTCTTCCATGAAGTCTCGCTCTATGCTCCAGCAGCTTGTGTGATCCCCAGCAGTACTTCACAATGATTCCTCCCTCTGTGCTTCCAACATACGTCCTGCAACTATCTGCCAAATATCACCTAGATAGGCTCGACCTTTGAGGACAAGATGCAGGAGATATAATTCAGTCCGGAGCTACATAACATATCAGGATGCGCCAATGGATGCTGTATAGACTATGAACTAACCTTTTCCGTTGGTATGAGTCTTATGAAGAATTCTAGCCATTTTGCATGTGTTAATATATTGGAGAGTTCAAACATGCCAATTCGGGCAGCTAAACTGTCGAATGGTGGGAGACAGGAGGGGACCGACATCATCATGCAAATGACGGTTGGAATTAAGATGGGTCAATTAGTCGTGTTGGTCATCTGAAGCAAGATTTGTATGGAAATCGTGGTGGCGAATGCCGGCAAAATTTTAATAAGACGTTTTGACAGCTGGCCATCAAAAGATCTGGCTGGCCATCAAAAATTAATATAGTGGCAATCGCCTGGCAAAAACATCGCAAAGCAAAGAGGACTACTGAAACAACATAAAACATAAAACACTGACTTAAAACAATGTGTAGAAGTGCAATAGTACTAATGTCAACCTTTGACCCAGCAGACGATAAACAAAATAAAATAAAAAATATGCACATGCGCACCGCCAAGTACGGATGGTGACTAACGTCAGGGCTGGTAGGCAGCACCCATATTCAGCATAGGCGAATGTCCACTTAATAGTGATAGCTCCAAACAGAGTGCTCTGATTCTGATCATCTCTAGTAGATGAGTGATTCGTTCAATTAGACGAGCGAAACATTATACATTAACGGACGAACAAATATTTGGCTGGATGCGAGTGACTACAGGCCAAGTCCGAGCTAAGGCAAGCTATGTAGCAGTCAGTTCATTAAAGTGTGGAATCAAATTTTTCGAAGATACTTACCATTCAGGAAATGGTGTTGTCGTAAAAATAGAATGACTCCATGTAAATATGTTCCAGAGAGCGAAACCTATAAACCAATAAGATGAGCGATAAGATATGGAGTGAATAGCCTTACCTGAATTACCTAGCGTTACTTGTGATTGGAAAGTGAGAAAGATTCAACAGAAGGAAAGGTGTGCGCTGATATAGTGAATGACTACATATTCAAACTCAGCTGGAATTCGGCGGCAGCAAGCCACGAGCTTCCAGGTCGGGTATTGCCGGCTGGGTCTGAATGTGCACTAGTCGTTCATTATATCAACCATGTCCTTTCTGCATTTTAGTCTCTTTCCCCACTCCCTGTAACGCGTAATGTATCCCAAGTAGACTGCAATATGAACTTCTATATTTGGCATGAAGGTGAAGCAGTGAAGTATGGGCATGATTCTTACGATAGCCTGCAGCTTTGGTACAGTACAAAGAAAAAGTTCATGGGGCGGCGGGCAGGCATCAAGTTCAATAGTATATTTTTTGATCGTCCACGGTATAATATAATATAATAAACCACTTTTTTTGTCTATTTGTGTGCCTGCTCCTCCTCTAGGGCCCTTTCAACATAGGGTAGGTCACAAAACAATTTCGCATTTTTGCCCCTTTGATAGGGAGGTGTTCTTGGATGTTCAGAACATGTTTATGAGCATATATAAGTAGATTCTCATCTTTATTTGATTCCCTGAAGTGTCCTAAATCAATAGATATAGCACATATGTAAGAAAACACAGAATATGTTTTCATTTAATTATTTCTAGGTGAATAGACTTGGAAAAGTTATTCCCAGCATCTGTTCAACAATAGGATCAATGTATTAGGAGCCCAGGACCATAGGATAATCTCCTGTTGCATAATGTGTCTCCCCTCTCCTGGTGGTTTACCCCCTGTGAAATTGTTTTCTGTAGGACCAGACATAAATTGAGGTAGGGGGTCTATTTCTATGTATATTTGAAGTAGATCCATCATATAGCTGGCCCAGGACACACATAGGATCCTGCTACAGGAACAAAAACATAGAAAATCACATTTTTGACATTTTCAATGTTTTTAAGTATCTTACACCTGCATAAATAATGCAACCTGTTCATATATCATTAGCATAGCATATATACTTGCTTTTTATGCCAAGGATCAGCCCTACATAGGGCGCAAATTTGAGATCTGATGTACAGAGGGTATTTCTACTGATAAGGAGCCTATACTTCTAAAACATCGAAATTTAATAATCAGACACCTGGAGTAGATTCAAAATACATTCACTATCATATATCTAAATTTACAAAACAATCCAACAAGAATCATGTGCTGAGGAAGTGAAATAGATAAGAAATTGAGTGTGGGAAAGTTCAGAGACCCAAAACATTGAAAATAGTCAGTTGGGCAGTGGTAGGACTTTAATGCTGGAGTTAACTCAAATATACACCACACCCCTTCCACCACCCTCCAACCTCAGGGCAGTATGTAGTATAGGTTCCTTTAGTAGTTCACCATGTATCCTACATATTTTTAATGAAATATTTGACCTGTACCATATATAGATGTGACTTTGTGTAAAAAGATGTCAATTGTTACTTTTCACACATATGTTATTTTACTTCTCATTCAGTCAGTCCTTCACAGATCTTTCTAAAATGTCAGATTAATCATTAGGGACATATATAGGAGGTATCAAAGGTCTCAGATCACTTATCACAGGCTCAGTTACTATGTAGGCTTCTTATCAGTAGAAATACCCTCTGTACATCAGATCTCAAATTTGCGCCCTATGTAGGGCTGATCCTTGGCATAAAAAGCAAGTATATATGCTATGCTAATGATATATGAACAGGTTGCATTATTTATGCAGGTGTAAGATACTTAAAAACATTGAAAATGTCAAAAATGTGATTTTCTATGTTTTTGTTCCTGTAGCAGGATCCTATGTGTGTCCTGGGCCAGCTATATGATGGATCTACTTCAAATATACATAGAAATAGACCCCCTACCTCAATTTATGTCTGGTCCTACAGAAAACAATTTCACAGGGGGTAAACCACCAGGAGAGGGGAGACACATTATGCAACAGGAGATTATCCTATGGTCCTGGGCTCCTAATACATTGATCCTATTGTTGAACAGATGCTGGGAATAACTTTTCCAAGTCTATTCACCTAGAAATAATTAAATGAAAACATATTCTGTGTTTTCTTACATATGTGCTATATCTATTGATTTAGGACACTTCAGGGAATCAAATAAAGATGAGAATCTACTTATATATGCTCATAAACATGTTCTGAACATCCAAGAACACCTCCCTATCAAAGGGGCAAAAATGCGAAATTGTTTTGTGACCTACCCTATGTTGAAAGGGCCCTAGAGGAGGAGCAGGCACACAAATAGACAAAAAAAGTGGTTTATTATATTATATTATACATGTATATACTAAACTACTACTCATATATGCACAGGGACCTATTGTGGTGTGGTGGTGAAGCTGCAGTGAGGTGGGGAGGGTGTGGGAATAATTGATATTGTGGAGATTCCCAAATAGGTGATGTTTTGGGAGTAGTGGTGTAATTACCTTGCGGAGCAAGGTCATATAAATGTAGCATGACTTGTGGTCGTAAACAACACAACATATTCACATGACCATTGCGACCGTCTGACACCCCAATAATCAACAGCGCACCGCAATAAATTGCGATGCGCTGTTGATAGTTTGCGATGACGGTGACATGAGTTCTCATTACAGCGTAACACCTACAGCGTTTTAAATCATTTAGAATTTTGTTGACACTGCTAAATCCATCCAGCTATTGCCGTGTGACTATTGAGGTTCGCACGTTTGCGAGGCCATGTACTGTGTGAGATTCAATGGGAATAAGAACGGGATGCGGCAACATCTCTTCGACCTTTATCATGATGAATAGCATTGGACGTCGAAGATTGGTTTTGAGCATCAATATCCAGACCGTCAACAACCAAAATATCGAGTATGTCGTACTTAGTTATTTGTCTCTATTGATCTCTATCTGAGATCTCGGCTTGAACCAATTGACTCTGCATGTACCTTGAAGTGACGAACATGATACATTAAATCCTACACTGCGCAAAACAAAAGACCATTAATCAGCCAACATGAGATACATCCAACGACGAAATGTCCCGTCCATCGTCAACCGACACTGATGAAGCTACCCTTTGCCAGCTCAGCCGCGCACAGCTGCAAAAGGTTGCACAAGTAGTATGATTCGGATTACTTATTCAGGTTTATTTGCTCACTGAAGTACAGAAACACAAAGTGAAGGCCAAATTGTTATTGTATTTCAATGTTGAGTTGATATCGTCCCTTTCATACATGTAACACTAGGCGACAAGCATGTACATAGTACAGAATAAAATCGGGGATGAGAAAACAAAACGACGACGCGGGAACAACCAGAGCAAGGTTATTAGTCGGCAACGCCAACCCCTAGTTCCCACAGTAGGTAGCTAAAAATGCGAAAATGTGGAGTGTGGGGATAGTGTGGGGAGGAGGAGCAATCTATTTTTGGGTTTTCTGGGGAAATTCCCACAGTAGGTGGCCAAAAATGCGATGGAGATGCTATGAGTATTGTGGGGTAATTACCACATTGTATGGCTAAAATGCAAAAATATAAATAAAAGAAAATATTGTAAAAAGGCCTGATACTGTGCGGCCTGTCCAGGTTCTGCATATTGTAGTAGTGGGCTGGCCGGCACCAGTGTGCAGATATCCTACACCCCGGCCTGTCCAGGTTCTGCATATTGCAGCAATGGGCCAGCCGGCACCAGGATGCAGATATCCTACACTCCGGCCTGTCCAGGTTCTGCATATTGCAGCAATGGGCTGGCCGGCACCAGTATGCAGATATCCTACACCCTGGCCTGTCCAGGTTCTACATATTGCAGTAGTGGGCCGGCCAGCATAAGTATGCAGATGTCCTACAGTGCGGCCTGTCCAGGTTTTGCATATTGCAGTAGTGGGATCAATATGCAGGTGCCCTACAGTGTGGCCTATCCAAGTTTTGCATATTGCAGAACCAGGATGGCCCACTATCATCGGCCGGTGTACTGTAGGCCTGGTTTTACAGGCCAATGTACGTGTCCTATGACAGGGTTCTACAGGATATTTGACTGAAGGGTCTGGGAAATCAACTTATAATTGTCCATGGTTGGTATTCCTTTCGCCAGGCCGTGTCGTGTCATCACGTGTGTGTCTTGTGCACCAACAGTGAGTTGAGGATCAAGTTACTTCTAGGGAAATGCACGCCTGTCATGTCGCTGAAGCAGATTCCGAGCTAGTTCCTAATAAGTTATCCAACCGGACTCACCATTGATATTGCAGGAACTGGACACTCACGCTGAACTTCCATCTTTGTCTCAGGAGAAATATTGTAACCAATGCTGTTGTATAGGTTGAAATACAGCACAGCGACGTTCGAACCACCAGATGAGGCACAGCTGCAAATGATGATGCGGGAAAATTTGATAAGGGCTTCAGCTTAAACAGGCCTAAAATTTGCCCAATTAATGTTTAACCTGTGAGATAATGTGCTATTAATAGTAGTTCAACGTTCAGGGGCTGCCAATCAACAACTGTTGGGCGCTTCCAATGTTCATGATTAATAATAACCCTCATTGTCGATCCTATTCACTACCACCACGCCTCCTACTTCCATTCCACCAAAACACGCACATCCATCCACATATCTTTCTCACTTACTAGATGGATGATCCTTGGAAGAAATGCTGGGGGCAGCTGAAGCCAAGTCATTCAGACCATCATCATTTGGTAGAGGAGAGAGGCAGGACGACAGTCAATCCCGATGCATGAACTTTGACATTGGCAGTTATATCATATCTAATTGTTACAGCCGTCCTCTCTCTCGCCTTCAAGGAATGGGTCATGAAAGAGGTTTAAGGTCAGGTTTCAAGCTCTCAATTGGCAAGGTGACCAAGCGCTTCGCTCGAAGCACTCGACAACCCCCAAACCCTGAACCCATGGCTGCAAGTTCCAGCCTGTTCAGGTAAGCGTAATCTAAAATCTGAATGTGTCCCGTGTGCTGTGAATAGGACTAATCGCTTCTGCAGGATCTCAGGGGCCCCTCCCACTCTCGAACCAGATTGTGAGCAGTCTTCCAAATTGGTCACACTGGCTGGATTCAGTCCGTCACAATCTCGCTGGATGGAAAGTGCATAGTATCTGGTTCAGATGACAGGACAATCAGGGTGTGAAATATGGAGACTGGCGAAGCGGTAGGTGACCCTCTCTGAGGGCACAATTACTATGTTTTGTCTGTTGCAATCTCACAGGACGTGAAACATATTGTATCTGGTTCAGCTGACGCAACCGTTCGGGTGTGGGATAAAGGGAGTGGCAAGGCATTAGGTGCCCCTCTGCAAGGGTACATCGGCTGGGTTAGCTCTGTCGCGATCTCACAAAATGGGCACCACATTGTGTCCGGTTCAAGTGACAAGATGATCCAGGTGTGGGATATGAAGATCGGCCAGGGAATGGGCCCTACTTTCCAAGGGCACACCGGAAGTGTTCTGTCTGTCGCAATCTCACCCAATGGCAAGTGCATTGTATCTGGTTCAGAAGACAATACCATCCGTGTATGGGACATAGAATTTCTCAACCAGCCCCACCTTTCCAAAGCGCCTGCAATATGCTTTTCACCTAGCCCATCCTACGCTCTTCATTCCGCCTCATCCTTTCTCCAGGATTCTTCAACCCTGGTCTCTGTCATAGCAAACGAGGATGGATGGGTTGTAGGTCCTGACAGACACCTTCTTCTCTGGATCCCACTCAATTTTCACCTGGTGATGTATGCTCCAAGAAACACGCTAGTGATACACGATCATGCCACTCAGTTCGATCTGAGTCGTCTTGCGCATGGCACGTCTTGGCACACGTGCAGGAACAGGAGGCTGCTTTGTCTTCGTTATAATACCCTTGTATGTTGTGTCACACATTACACATTTGTACCATACATGTTTGTCTTGGCCAGGGCTTATTCAGTTGACTTCAGTCGAATTTCGCTAAAACACGATGTTTTCCATGATACTCCGATAGTACAAATCACAGCCATACATATACCACCGTTCATATGCGACATACACAAATATTTGAGGATTTCTGCGGCAGTGAATGGGCAGATTCAGCAGCATACATTTCGGCCTTCGGGCATTGAAAATAAGAAAATTTCCTGACTGAAGGCATACCATGACCACTAGTATGTCAATGATTTGGAGCATACCAGAATTTACATAAACACGTTTGAGTCAAAGTTCCAGGGAAAGGGATGCACACCAGCTAAGAGCTTGGACATGAAGATATGGAAGGCGGTAACAACGACCACCTATGTAGTACTTGGATCAACTTGATACAGCCGCGCCACCATCAACAAAAGAACAGTTCGCGTGTATGGCTGGTTACTGCCTTTTATGGCTTACAAACCCTGGTAGATGGTTGTATGAGATTGTAGCACATATGCAAGTAGTAACAGACACGTGTAAGATGTAAAACTTGTACCGGAAGGGTACGAAGCTTGTAAAGTAACTAACAGAAGTGTGGAGGTATGCATGAGATCGTAGCATGTATGCAAGCCATAGCAGATATGGGCGAAATGTAAAGCTTGTACACGAAATGTGCGAAGCTTGTACAGTGATTAACAGAAGTGCAGAAGTATGCATCATCAAGATTGCATGTATATGTCATGCACATGTATATATACTAGCTATAGGTCTTATATACATATGGTGATTGGTCTCATGCATATGCATGCATCATGTACCGATCCAAGATGTGCCGCAGTTTGACCACGAATTCGGCCGACAGCAACTTGACACGTACATTATAATTTTTGCCAAGTCATTTATGTACCTCATAGGGCCCCGAACTCGAAGCTTGAGCTTGAAGTTCCGACTTCGAGATCTGTCCATCTCTAAGACTTTTCTCACATAAGTGTCACCCACACGGTGGGCCACACCGTTACCTCTTTCCCGCCACGAGTGTTATGTTCTAGCTAATAATGTTCCCTCACCAGCTGTCGTCACCCTTGTAAGTCCTTTTATGTTTTTCTCTTAATATCAATAGTAGTACTACTCAGAGACTCTTCCTTGCATTGCGCTGCTTACCACGCCCTATTGTGACAGCTTACGCCCTGCCGCTGCCACCTCTTACATTTTGTCGTCCCTCACTGCATCTCTTGCACCCTTTTGCGTCATTCGAGTGAGTTTATTCCCACATTTACCTGCTAGCTAGCATCTCCCGCACTCAACTCTACGGTAATTTCTTGTTTTGTTCACTCCCTAAGCTAACCAAAGCTCGTACACATGTAAGTTCTATCTTTTCTTTTTGTCTTCTAACTTTGGTAGCCTTCGGCATCCCCCCACATCCTCTGAAACCTTCCTCCACCCTTTTGCACCATCTCGCACCATCCCTGCATGCTCTCGCATGTTCTTGATCCCTCTCGTGTGCTCTCATACTGTCTAGCGCTGTCATGTGTTATTGTGTGCCTTTCACTTTCACTTTTTCCCTTGTCTCTGCTGGCTCACATCATACACATGACTACCTTTGCATCGTCACTTTCATATTCAGTACTTTCCCTTCGCATATTCGTATCTCTACTTACTACTTTACTTCCGTGCTCATTGCCTATAGCCCAGTGTACTGTAGCTACTACAGTGCAATTTGATGTGGCCATTATCGTGATCAAACAGAGCCTACAATTATCGCACAATATGGTGACAAGACTAGTAGGAGTATGTGTATAAGTTCATTACCCGCACAAGGGACTGCCAGGAAGCACAATTGTCACAACAATTGTAGTGGCATGTATCGAATTTCATCACCTAAACAAGGATCTACCGAGTGATACAAATATAACAAGGCCGGTAATAGTATGTATAAAACCTCGCTGCATGCACGGACTTATATGGAGACTGACAAACTCAACACATGTCTGTCATGTGTTTGTGGGGATGGTAGCAATTTGTGCACCTTGTACTGGCTGTTACTGGCTGTCACATGGGATGTACGGTTGTTGTGTTTTTTATGATGACCAACAGTAACTTGAAGATCTGCAGTAAAGTGATGGTAGCCGCTTTTATTTGTGCATGCTTGGTTCACACCCCGACGAGGTGATCCCGCTTTTATACTACATTTTTGAATCTTCTTGTGCTATTCAACGAACTCGATGAATGCAACGGACTAGACCTTTACCCGACTGTCATCCTGAGTTATCTGTCATAGAATGGCCTAGTTTTCGGGAATATCGTGTTGAGAACTGGCGACTTGCTCGAGATGGAAGCGGGAATGTTGTTCGCGGTGCGACATCATGGGGATGGATCGACCTTTGTCTACCTTTGGTCATCTCATTCATATGGCCAAGAGTTAGTATCCTACTCGAAGTTCCCCAGCTTAAAAGCCGAAAGCTAACAGTCTCTAATTTGTAGTTTCGTGACAGCACCATGTCGTGTGCATTCGTAGTCCTGGTACTTGGGTTTTCCACCTACTGCCGTTGTACGCAAGTTCTTCATGGTATATTCAAAAAAAGTGGTTTCTGTGCATTCCTCATTTTTGAAACAGAATCTGTGCTAGTGTTTCCAGCTTACGGTATACAGCTCGAGACGCATCGGGGATATCCTCTGCTAAAGCCGCTCTTCGTGTCTAGGCGATTTATTCACGTATCCCTTTTAGAAGACTTCGTCATAAATGAAGGTTTAAGAAGATTGAACATTCGCTATTATCTGGCTGCTGTGCACGGATCCAGCACGGACAAGATTGCTCTAGATGTCGCATTTGAGGTCAGCGATTTGCTATACTATCTTTTCCTTCTCTAGTCTAATTTTACCTTGATTCAGAATATTTTACCATACTTTCCTGTGCTCCTTGAAGTATACCAAGGGGTGCAAGAGCTCATGTTCTACAACCATACGGACAATAGGCATACCTGCATATAATATACCATCTATTTTCGAGTAAAACCAAAATTTTCACTCACGCAGCGTTCTGGGTCTGTTTTTCATAGTTTATCGCATTAGCTGGTACCACCAACAGGAACAGTCATGACAACATCTACTCCCTACTCCCTTCCTCACTCTCATATGCGCTCAGAATGTCATCGTAGCCTTCGTCGTCCCCTTCTTCTGCAGCGCTATCTCTAGTGTCCCGCGCCTCATAGAAGGAAGATCTACTAAGCCGAACAACCGATTCTCCCGAAATGTTCCGTGAACGCCCCACCGTATCCCCGGATGTCTTCCGCCTAGGACGTGGAGAATGCGACGAGAAATTTGGGGATGTTGATGTGGGGTCCTTGGAACCAAATTCAGGAGCACGAGGTGTCATGGCTATCTCTTGCTCCTCGGGCCACTCTGGAGGGGCGAGCGAGTTTGGGCTCACGCTCTTGTGCTCAGCCACAGAAGTACTAGGCCGAAGGTTGGTGTCCCGAGTTCGCAGGCTGGGTAGTTTTGGAAGGTGACGCTTCGAGCGCATATGGGAATTCCTAGAGGGTGTCCAGTCCTGCGAATCAGAATTGTCTATATCTTGTCGTAGAGGTGGTGGTGTCTTTTTTCGTAGTGAAATCTTGCTTGGTGTAGGTGGCCTCAGAGGTATACTATCTTCGCTAAAGGAGCTCTCCCGACTTTCGCCATTCACCCGTACTTTCCCTGCTTCAACATGAATTGCGGTGATAGGCGTCGGAGGAATGGGCGGAGATGACACCGTTGTGGGTGAATCGGCAGCAGTATATGCACACCAGCCCCTGTCAGACGAGCTGTCTTCAGCGGCGGACCTAGTATAGGTTCTAGTGGATGGATCACATGTCGTTGCATCAGACGTGCTTAAAGGAGAAGTTGTCCAAGGAGCTCGTGGCGCACGGGACGCGGGTGCCATTGGCGATATCGACTTGCGGTTTAGTGCCACCTTCCGACTTCTGCCCTCAGATTCGATGTCAGATCTGGAGCCGACGCTTGGTTTTCCACTAAGGGCATCAGAAGGCGACTGCGATGAAACCGAAGACACCGACTCAGTGCGCAGTCCGTGTCCTTTACTACGCGCAACATCCATCCACTCGCCACGCCGTTTGATTGGCATCCCGCCATCCGAGTGCGCGGCCAACGGAGGTTTCGCGGTAATCAAAGAGCTTGAATTGAGAAGAAGAGGACGTGGTGGACCCCTGGGAGGTTGTTGTGGGGCTGATGTACGTGACGTTGCGGTGAGGGAGTTCAAAGCAGCCAAGGATGCCAGAGAGGCCTGCGCCTTGTGCATAAAGTTATCTTCCTGCTGAGGCTGGACTTCCGGGCTCGGAGGAGCGGTGTAAGTTCCTCCTCTGCGCGGTAGTGGCAAAAAGCTGTCTCGTGGCGATCGAAAGAATGTTGGGCGAGGGGGTTCTTCATAAGTAGCCCCTCGACTGCTACCAGAAAGCGAGCCCCCTCTACTCCTATCTCCAGAATGGCTAATACCATCTCTCAGTGGTGACCACTTGTCCGGAACTGAGGGTGGTAACTCAGATTTCGCGATCACCGGTGACGATGCATCTCCATTCGATGTCACGCTATTGCGTCGACTGCTCCATGCATCCATCGCTCGGGCACGCCAATTTGTGCTTACTTTCGCAAAAGCCGCAACGGTGTCAGAGTCTTTGAGTTTTCCAGCATAACCCCAGATACTTGCAGGCGGTGGGCTTAGGGATGGGTTTGAAGTGATTTGCTCTGGGGGACTCTGAGGGGAATGAGGGAGCGGTGGTGACTGTGGTTGTAGCGGGGAAGTTGGAGATGGTGGAGATGGTGGATCTTCCATAGAGCTTTGATTGGTGATCCCTCTCCAAACCGTATTGGCGAGACGCGAAGTCAGGGTTGGAGCAGCCGGAGTTTCTGTCTCATTGCCATCTTCATGGGAGCTCTCTTCATCCGAACTCGAGTCTTCTTCTTCCTCCTCTTCCTCCTCTCCCTCCTCATCAGCATCAGCAACTTGGTTTGTAAACCCCTTCCACATGGTGGCTTTGATCCGAGCACCGAGGGTGACATTGTCTGACTTCGAAAGTCTATTTTCTTCGATGCGCCTTTGGGCCAAATCGTGTGCGGTTTGCAAGACTCGGTCGATACCACCAGCTGCATCAATTGGATAGGATTGCAAAAGAGCAATGCCCTCGAGGAAAGCGTCGCTGAGCTCCCATGGTCGAAGCGGAGAAGAAGGACGAATAGTAGTATGCTCTTCAGCCCACAGTCCCGGAGACTTACCTCCAGGCTTTGCAAGTCTAGAAGGATTCAATATAATCATCAATTTGTATGAATGATTCACTGACCTAAAAAGCGGCGCGCGCGCACGGATCAGAAGACTTGTGCAGATATCAACGAGGGCATCGAGTTTATGGTTCTCATCTCGAGTTCTCATTGGGTAGGAGAAAAGCACATCCCATACGGGCAGGAGGGAGGTAAGAGGAAGTGTTTGCGACAAGAGAGGTGCAAGCCAACGACTGCGAGCTTGTGTAAGCCATGAAATGTCAGATAAGAGAGCGCATCATACTAGGAGTAATGTGGAAGCAAAGGATCCAAGCCTTTGGTGTGCTGTTACATCTAGAGTTGAGGGGAGTCCATAATTCGCTAAGAGGAACACATACCAGGCTCGCAGCAAGTTCTCCGTCAGCTTGTGCTAATCGATCGCTGAATTTCTTCATCCAGACTTTACCACCTTCCTGATCTGCCAGTTCTGAAAACTCCCCAACGAGAGCTTCGAATAACCAGAATGTATCTGCTTCAGCGTGGGCTAAATCTTCCGGTTCCACCTCCCTGATAAGAACAGCGTACAACGGTACAAGTAAGGAGGGAATGTCTGGAGATTGGTTTGCTGGATTTATACATGAATGCAGATACAGCAGACGGAGGAGGGCTGAGATGTGCTGTGGATGTGCGCTGGAACCACCGAACGGTCCAGCATGTAATAGTGTGGTGGATGCCCCTGGTCCACAGGAATCCATGCTCGGCAATTGTGACAGTTCGAGTGTGCCAATGTCAGGCTCAAGGCGAATTTCGGGAATACCTGCGGGGTTCGATGCGGAAATTTGTCCGTGGAGGACCTGCAGTCGCGCGTCAAGAAGATGAGCACACCCAATCCTTTCTGTCTCATCAGCATTTTCATCTAACGGAGACAGAGTTGGGCAGTTTGTGCCTATGTCAAGCGTGTCGAAGAGTTCAGGGGGAAGACGAAATAGAGATTCAGATATTTTCATTAGCGTCGTATCCGTGTTGCTCAGCGGCTTCGTGGGTGCTGGCATGTCATAAAATGGTGATAACAAACGGCGAACGAGATCCTAGTCAATGTATCAGCTTGCGTTCCGAGACATGAGCAACACATACATAGTAGCTGTCTCGTTGTTTCCGATTTTCTTTTTGCCATGTTGACTTCAAGACCGGAACAGTGCCCAGTAAAAGCCTACATTGCAAGTTAGGTCAGTCAGAGGTCAGACACGCTGGCTTTCACGTACTTCCATATCCTAGGCCTAAGCCATGGAGGTTCATCGGGTAACCCTGGCAAATCGCATTGGATATTACTCCATGACGATTTGTAGTTACTTACCTTGCGAACACAGCCTCCGCAGACGAGGTAGGTCAACAATGGGTGAACCTTGCGGATCCAAAATTTCTGAGATCAAATTCAAGCTAACTCGGACGTTCAGCTCGTCTCACAAAGAACTAGAAAACACACACATATCCTGCCGGGGAGGGTCTGCAGCCCAGTTTACATGATACACCTTTGATACATTTGTCAGACAGTTATTTATCTGGGATGCAGAAGGGGTTGATGGGTGTAGTAATTGCATGACCTAATAAGGAGTTAATAAACGAGTACAGAAACTAAAGAAATACTTGCACGCAAAGGGACGTGGTTTTCAAGGCTATTGGGTGAACTAGAAAAATGATGGTGCATGCGTTGAATTAACATATCCCTAACAACATTGAGTTCTGTTTGATTCCGTGAGCACAATCGATCACTGAGACAATCTTCGTCTCTCACCTTTAATATTAACATTGGGAGCTGCAGCTATGATGGAGGCTGCAGCCTCTGTAAGAATGGGGCTCGGTGAACGCCTAATGGATGGTCGCTGCAATCAGCTGTAGCACGATTTTATAAAAGGTTTGGAAACGCACCCTTCGTCCAACTCGCCAAGATACTCGATGATCATGCTGACGTGCATTTCCACCACCTCCAATAAGTCGCCTTTTGCATCATCTTGTATGAGATTCTGTGCCTTGGCGCGTGCAAGAGCAGTATTATTCTGTTGCAATAACGTTGCAATGTCACGTCGTGTGATTTGCCCTTGAGAGTCTATTCTCTCTTGAATTTGACCAAGACGCTGCGATGTTGATCGTAGTAAGACCTGCAAGGAGCATGAACTTATTATGGATGTGTGGTAAGGACAAAGACGACACATACTTTAGTCGCAACTGGGTCCCAGTTCATCATGTTCGTCGTCAGTCACCCGAAAGTGTATAATTGAGTGAAGCTATAGGTCGGTATTCATGAAGGTTTGAGTGGGACGTTAGCGTTGCGCCCAGTGGTACCGCTCTCTCCGTTTTAAACGTTAGCGACAATATTTGCACTGCCAGTGCAGCTGGATCTTTAAATAGATCTTGTTAGCTTACTTAGGGTGATAGGGCTTCAATGCGAAGTTTACGGTATCAAATAGATTGATTCGATTACTAGTACGTTAAATCTAAGTGGACTACAATGACAGTTACATGCACCAAGGTGGTAAGGGTTTTGACAATCGTCCCGACCTGCGAGGATTACTTTCAATCTGTACAGAATCAACGAATGATGGCGCAAGAGACACGTGTCGCTGAGGAGACTGTTTACCGAGTGCTCCTGATTGCGGATGTGAATCACGACGTGGCATGGCAGTGACCGTGAGCGGAGATGGAATATTTGCCTCCGGATGTGAGAAGGAGTCGGTGCGAAGGGGTGACATCGAGGCCCGAATGTCGAGAACAGAAAGATGGGGAGAAGCAATCGCCATTTCTGGGTCTACCACGAGAGGAGACCCTGTATCCGTATAGACTTTTTCACGCGAATCAACCGCCACGGGTATCCTCGACTGGCGGTAAACCATGGCAGCAAAGTAGCTAGCATATAAAACAACTACGCAGGCTGTAAGCAATTGTATCCATGAAAGGTTAGCTTGCAACTGACGTATGACAGGAATTATCCAACAGCCCACGAGCATGTAAATATTGATCAACTTGCAGACACCTTGCTGGTCGGTTGCTGAGGTCAAATTAGAACGGCACATAGAATTTGAGGTGTCTGTATCAGACGTACTTTGATCTGGGCATTGTATTTGAGGATTCCAGTAAGTGAAAGCGACAGCAGATCCTGGAAACAAATCATGAAGGGGTGTCACAGAACCGCTTACAGGTACCTCACCTATTTGTCCTATTGCAACTAATAATAGGCGAGCGGCATCTAACCACACTCGAAATTCCAGTAGTAATCTGCAATGCAGTACTTGTCAAGTACTGCTAATGTGGCAAATGTGAAAATTGCGCACAGGAAAGGTAAAATTAAGATCGTTGTCGCGTTGGTCAAGAGGAATACAGCGGTTAACGACCCTGATCAATAAGGGTCTAATTTCAGCAGACATTCAGCACGATGATATTGTGATTGGATTGCTTACGACTGCAGCGGTCAGATATGTCCCAGCGGGCGTAAGCTTGGACTGAAAGAAGTACAGTCCACAGAAGGCTAATGAGAATGATACAGGCTGATCAGACTGGTGATCAGACATTTCCGGAGTGATCGAATGAAGTGACACGAACTGAAAGCTACAGCCCTAACCTTGAAAAATACAGGAAAAAAATCCATGATAAATGTATACAATGACTGTTGTCGTAGCCGTCCGTGCGTTCGATGAAACAATGCAAGATATTAGAAAATGTCAAGTATAGACGAGAACACCTCCAGAGGTGGCTCGAGAGAGGGACGTTGGAAAGCACGGGAACAGGCGAATATCTACATGCATCGCAGAATATAAGAAAGACTGTGAACAAAAAGCTGTGGCTTCCGAAGAAGAATTCGCTTGTGGACGTTCGTGTTAACACACCTCTTTTGTTCGTTGTTCCCTATTTGTACAAGGTGTATCGTTAGTACAAAGTACTTGTCGTAAATTTCCCCAGTTACACAGACTTAATTACCCGAAGACAACTAGGCTGATGATCATGCTATGGGTCAAAGGGAAGAGATAAACTAATGGAAGTAAGTTCGAACTCGAATATTGGATGGGCTGCACCTAGAGAGCTAATTAAATATGAATATGCAAGGTCATCGTCCAACTGCGCCAGCACATCAGCATCAGCATTCTTGTCATCCTTCAATGCGAGCAATATTAATGTTGTATCCTTTGGTGCTTTGAAATAAGCTGCCAGTGCTTCCACTTCGGGTTTCGACATGCAGGACACCGAAGTCATTCTCCCAGGGAAAATTAATCGGGACAATATGCATGATCGATTAAATCCTCAACGTTGCAACCAGCTGGACTCATGTGATCGTTTATACACAACTGCCAGTGCAGTCGATTAGGCTGATTGCGTGGAGATGTGCGCCTGTAATGAATGAGTCGATAAAAAGAAATTTGAAGGCTCTCAGGCTGTTGGTGTACTTACTACTTAATTACTTGAAGACATAACGCAAAGTTTTGGAACAAGTTAAGATCTCTAGCTAGGCTGGTGATGATCATGCTATAGAAGAAACCAAGGTCGCATGGAGCTGATATATGTCCACCCGTTAGAAGAGCAGCATGGAATTTCCCGATCGGAGGGAGCCTAAACTATCAAGCACTTCAAGCTGCACCACATTGGCCGTGGCACTCATTGATTGTTGGTCCTCTCATTCAAATAACCATTACATGCAACGGAATACCGTCCAGTACATTCTATAACATGCCTCTTTCTGTACAGTCGCAGACTCAACGTACTCATTTGCGTCGAGTTCGGCTCGCCTTCGCTTGCGTGTCCATTGCTGCCAATGCGTCTGTCATACTACCCTCGCGTGTCCAGCCTCAGAGCTGATTTATGTCATTACAGACTTTGTGGTGGAAGTGTTTTTACATTTTCCCTCATGTCACCTGCTTTGGTCGATCACTTGAAGTTGACTCAACCTCAACTGACGACCATAGCTTTGGCGTAAGCATATCTCAGCTCATAACTTGAATAATAGCTAATCGGCTTTCCAGCGGGATGATGGGCCAATATCCCTTCGCAGCCATGATAGGCAAGGTTGTCGACAAGTACGGTCCTTGGGCCTGTTCCATCATCGCCAGTTGCTTGTTCTTCACAGGCTTTGGATTATTCGCAAAGGAAATTGCTAACACACCAGATGATATCACTGTACCTTCATCATCCACATTCCATCATCTTACCGTCTACTTCTTTATCGCGGGACTTGGAACTGCCTTCTCGTTAGTTGCTCACTTTCTCAGGAGTTTTGATATTTATCATTGTCTAGATATTTCTCTTCCATATTCGCTGCCTGCAAGAACTTCCCGGATTTCATCGGCATAGCATCTGGAACGAGCATAACCTTGTTCGGCTTATCGCCGATGTTTATATCAATACTGGCTTCGAGGTTCTTTTCCCATCCCGACGAAGGTCTTGATGTCACGCGCTTCTTACAGTTCCTGGCCCTTTTTTGCGGTGCCGTTCATTTATTCGGTGCCTTTACTCTCCATATTATACCTCTCCCTGAAGATCCTCCAAGTGTTGTCTTGGAGGATCCAGAAGAGTCGGTCCACATTGACGAGCAAACAGCTCTTCTCCATGGAAAGCGCGGTCGTACTGCTGGAGTCGAGACTGGCGTTGTCGTTGCTTCCCCCATCAAGGATAGTTCGGTAGTTGACCTTGTCAAAGACCGTTATTTCTGGGCCCTGGCATTTGTATTGTTTGTGATATTAGGTTCTGTGAGTTTGCTCTCTCATATCACTGGATTGATCTGATATTCTGGCTTGGTAAGAGCGAAATGGTGATATCCAACATTGGCACAATAGTACTTTCTCTTGCATCACAAACTTCAAGCACAATCGGAGCTCCATCTACTGATGTGGCAACTGCAACGCAAGTCCGCTTTCTCTCTATTGCCAATACACTCTCTCGTCTGGTTGTCGGACCTTTGGCGGACTTTGTGTCTCCCACCGCCACTGCATCTGGTACCCAAAGTATCTCCCGCAAGCGCCATGTCAGCCGTGTGGCATTTCTCTTCTTCTCGGTACTGGTGCTTACATTTACTTATCTGTGGATGGTACTCGGCGTAAAGTCACCAGTGGACTTGTGGGCTCTTAGGTCAGTGACAACACTTTGAACCTAATCAGCACTCTCATCAGGTTATTAGCATCGGCGCTGGGGTCGCTTACGGTTCAGCTTTCACAATTTTGTATGTTCCATTGGTTCCTTTTTCAGTATGTTCCGGTTGACGCTCTCTGGCTTGTTCTATAGACCGAGTCTGGTGTCGTCTGCGTGGGGTATAGACGACCTCGGACGCAACTTTGGCATTCTAACCTACGCTCCTTTTCTCGGTGCTCCTGCGTTCTCATACTTCTATGCCTTCAATGCCGCAAGCCACTCGAGTGATGGCGCTGTCTGTAAAGGCATTGAGTGCTGGAGTACGACCTTTTTATGGTATACTGCGGTTGCTGTCGTGGCGTGCGGTGTCACTGGATACCTCTGGCGCAGTTGGAGAGACCAAGTGTAGTCCACATTAGTGCATGTAATTGGCAATGTGTATTATGTAGGTGTCTGCGCGATATTTTACATTTGTCTGGTGTCTCAGCTGTCCAGCGCAGGTAGTCAAAATACTCTGGTTACATGGATTGTACGTATAAAGTTGTGTAAAGTAGAGTCGAATTGTTGTTTGTACAACCCTTCGCATGCCGCCTTGTCCCAAATGTGTTGTTTCGGTGCCATAGCATATCACAGCTTCGTGGGTGACCGGTTGACCGGTGACCCTGAAAAGATTCCCGTCGAAATGTAAACTTTGCGTGTCGCATTCGCAGTATAATCCTTGCTGCGCTTAGGTTTAGATTTCAAATTTCATGGTCCGTCTTTCAAAGTGTCTTAATACCAATGTCATTGTGCAAACTATAACAATAGAAACCCAATTGCAATGTCCAGTAGACTGATAGTAGAAAAAATAGATGTAGTAAAGAGCGTGAACAACCAGTGAAGTGATAGGTTATTAAATAAGGTGGTGGAATAAGCATGAGATGGCAAACGCAGACAAGTCATAAACAGAGGTTTTACTTGCCACTACTTTGCTTAACAACGACGACGACGATAATGGCAATGATTGCGATGATGAGAAGTAACAGGAAGAAGCAGATCCATCGCTTTTTACGGGCTGAGCGAGCAGAGTTGACAGCTTTTCCCGTGTGTTGAAGGCTGCAGAAACATTTAGAAACTGTACAACTATTCCAAGGGAAACATTTACCCAGCCTCCGTGTCTTTCTCGACGATTTCTGCTGCTGCCTGAATCGTGTTGATAGTTTCGTCTTGTTGTTCTACCAACATACTCATCTGAAGATTTCGAGAGATTAACAGCCAACTTGACTAAGAACATCAGGACGCACATCGTTGAAAAGCTGAGCAAGTTCTGCAATGGTCTGCTCAATGCGCTTGATGTCCTGGTGTCGCTCCTGCACCTCCCGGTATGCTGCCCTTGATTCGCCATATCGGCTAGAGTTCATCAACTAGTACACAAATGAGATTATGTTGGAAAGAATGAATAAGGCCACTCACAGCTTGGCTGAATATTTGCCCCCCATTCTCGTCATTCACAACGGCCCGAACTTCTTCAGGCGTAGCGTCTGGCTTAACTAAAGGTTGTTGACTATGAGTGACGGACAAAGAATAATGGATTCATCCCACCAATCTTGAACTGTCTCTCCATTCGCTGCTTGTACTTTTGGCGATACTGTTGCTCAACAGTCTGATAGGATTGGATGGCATCAACGAACTTCGACTTGACGAGAGCCGTCTAGGAGACAATTTAGTCACTCCTTTGCTACTGTAAAAAGCGGCACACTTGTTGTTTGCGGATCTGGCCATCACGTCCGCTGCCTCCCTGCCTCTCCAAATCCTTTACACGGCGCTTGAGTGTTGCACTCAGAGCACTGGTATCCTCCACGAGCTCTTCTAGCTGAGAAGCGTTGCGTTGCGCAGCAGCATCATCTGTGTTGTTCAGTGAACGAGAGTGCAACTCGTCAATGCGAGAAACGTTGGCGTTGAAAGTCTTGATAGTGTCTTGAATGGATGAAATCTAATTACAACACATTAGTTGGCTAACCGCAACCACGAAAAGCGTTTACCTCGGCATAAAAATCTGACATGCTGTCGCCTCCCGAAGTCAGGTTTGTTGAGCTATCCCGCACGTCAGCCATTTCGTACGCATGGTCGTCTTGTCTAACATATGGGTTTTGTCTTTGGTAGCCAGGAATACTGTAATCCCGTCAAGTCAGAAGAACCCGTATGAATTTGGACGACAAGCAAACTCACCCGCCCTGTTGCTGGGCCTGTAGTGCAGAATACGTCAACTACGCATTCCTGATGTGAAAAAAGGAGAAACGTACTCTCATTGCCGCCAACCTATCCATGTTATGTCGTCAAGAGAAGGTAGGCGTGTTTTGGAAAAATCAAGGTGAGGTGAATTTAGAGTTGCTTATAATATATAATTGCGTAGATGAACACGTTAAGCTGCGGTCTCCCGATGTTGGATGAGTGCTCGCTGGAGTAAGATGAGTGGTGAAACGAACCGCGAAGAAGCGAGTACAGCCACAAGTCGCAGCCGGATGTAGTTGTATTATAAAAAAAAAGACCACAAATGCAGTACTCTAGGATTGTGCTAGTGGATCAGCTTGGCGCTCTGGCAGACACAGGTTCGACGGTTGTACGGGTCTCAGGGTCCAGTTACAAGGCTCTTATTTTATTATTGAAGTCACGGCGATTGACATCAAAATGACCAAATGTACAGATTTCGGAACTATTTTTGGCCAAGCGCTGCTCGCAGGACTGCGATCTGCCTGTCCAGCGTCTTGCGGCTTGGTCCACCAATAGATGACCTTCTCTCAACGCTAGCTTCGAAGTTGAAGACTTCGACCACATCGTCAGAGAACCTTTCATGTAGACCCTTGTAGTCCTCGACAGACAATTCATTCAACTGGCATTTCCTAGCCTCGGCCAAAGCAACAGCACGGCCAGAAACGTGATGGGTCTCGCGGAAAGGCACCTATTTGGTCGTCAATAAGTAATAACTGTAAGCCCAACAGAATACAAACCCCTTTCCGGACGAGATAATCAGCAAGATCGGTAGCGAGGACATCCATAGTCAGTGCTCGTTCCATCTTTTCGCCATGGACCTGTTTGACCATCATGTCATTGAGTGCCATAGAAATACAGTGGGATCAGACAGACCTCCATAGTCGCTATGACACCCTCCGTGATCTTGAGCGATGCAGAAATGTTGTCGACAGTGTCAAATAGTGGTTCTTTGTCTTCCTGAAGATCCTTATTGTATGTCGACGGTAGACCCTTCAGCGTCATCATGAATCCTGCCATCTAGGAAAGTGGTTGTGCTCGTGAAGATGAATTGCATCACAATACCACATGACGTACATCTCCAAAGATGCGCCCAGATTTTCCTCGCAATAATTCAAGAGAATCTGGGTTCTTCTTCTGGGGCATCATACTCGAGCCAGTGCTACGCGCAAGGTAAAATGACGTCTCAGACTGCCGTCCGTATAAACCCATACCTGTATGCATCGCTGAGAGTGACGAAGCCAAACTCGGCAGTGGAATATATGATCAAATCCTCAGCCAGACGGCTCATGTGAATCATAGTGAGGCTTGACCACATCAAAAATTCGACAATGAAGTCGCGATCGCCGACCCCCCACATGCTATTTTCGGCAAGTGAAGCGAACCCCAGTTCTTTGGCAAGAAATTCACGATCGATTGAGAATGGATTGCCAGCTAGGGCACCGCTTCCCAAAGGTAGAACGGAAATACGCGGGATGAGTTGATAAAGTCGCTCAAGATCGTTGCGGAACGAAAAGGCGTGCGACAACAGGAAGTGTGACCACCGGATAGGTTGTCCTCGCTGCCTCATCGTGAGTGGCCCCCTCGTATGAGAAGCATGCACCTACTTGGAGATGGGTATACCCAGGGAGCAGAATATCTCTCTCCTTGTCTGCACGCTCTACCATGATGCGCACGAGACCTTTGAGACTGGATTGTATGTCATCCACTTCACCGAGAAGCCAAAGGCGCATGTCGGTCGCCACTTGATCATTGCGAGACCGTCCAGTATGAAGTTTTCCGCCGAGTGGGCCAATCAGCTCGCTTAGTCTGCGTTCGTTTGCAGTATGGATGTCCTCATCATCAGGGGCAGGTCGGAACTGTGACGCAAGGTTATCTAATGAAACACAGGATCGAGTGCCTTATGAATGAGGTATGTACTTGACCAGTTGCCCATTCTCGACCGACAGCATCTAAACCTTGAGTCATTTTGACTTCTTCCTCCTCGGTAATAAGACCAACACGTCGAAGAGCTTTTGCATACGCAATTGATCCACGAATATCGGCAGCATGCATCCTCTGATCATACTTGAGGGACTGATTAAACGCATGCATCCTTCGAGACCATCAGAATATCAGTAATTCATCGTGAGTCAGATGCGTACAGAGGATCCGTTTTGCCTGTAAACCTCCCGCCCCATAGTTTTTGTTTTGTGGGTTGATCGGTCATCGTGTGTTGACAGAGAAAAGGGCAACCCACGGTGAAGTCTCTCCTAGACAGACCTTTTATATTGAAGTTAGACAAAAGTTGTTCCTCTCACAGATGCGGCAACTGCTTTAACTCACGATGCTAATTCATATGTGCAATGTCGAGGACTTATGACACATCGGATATGGTGTAACGGTTAACATTGCTGTCTTTCACACAGCGGCCCCGGGTTCGACTCCCGGTATCCGAATTACTTTTTGTAACCTGCTCGTCAACAGCCTGGCCATGTGTATCCCTCACGAGTCTATCCCTTCATCGGGCTATTAGCCATCGTCAACGAAGGATGCTACATTATGGGGATTTACAAATAAAGTTTGCTTTTTCTCTCGTGAGTACTTGCTTCCTCAAGCGCTAGCTAGCCTACAATCAGCCATAGTACTCCTTAGGTCTACTATTTGAACATACATGTCATTGTCTATGTCTTCAATGTATTTGCTATCATATCTTCCGTGTTCCAACTGCACTAGATTTTCTCTATTGCCTGTGTTGTACTTCCCAAGTTCCAACCATGTTGATCAACCCCATGGTTCCTTCATGACCCCAAGACTCTCAGAAGTCCTGATGTACCATTCTCTTCTGAGCACCATGTCATCAAGCACAGCGTGTCTTCAAGGCCACGTGTCTCGCGAGTCCCAGCCTCATTTCGAACTCAAGTACAATATTCCATGTGCACTTATCTCTCATTCCTTCATTAACACTTTGTAACAAGGCAGACCTGAGGAATCTACATAACATTCGACTCTGAGCGGGGATTGGGATGGGGCCCGCAACATGTTCGCTGCGAGCATCCGACCGGGAGCCGGTAGCTTCTGCGGCTGCCTGACTCCAGCCTGAGTAACACATTTACGCCATTCAACAGTGACATGGCCCTATCGCAGTGCCGCCACGTCACTCAAATTTCAGTGGCACAGCCTACAGGCAATGGTGCCGTGATTCCCATCGTTATGCCATACATCATGCACTGCAGCACCGGTCCAGCGCTTCGAAGAGCCATACCTTTCACACCGGTGCCATCGTACACACTTGTTAATCCAGACACCAGAGGAGTACCGGAGCCACGTCTGTGACCTCAGCATACTGTACAAGTACTTGGGGGATAGTATTCGTAAAGTTGGGTTGCTGAACGGGCTCTTAGTAACTGCCCGTGATTTTCGACTGTTTTAGTTGGCTTGTGTGATGTGGCCGATCCGATGCTAGAATACTTGGGTTCATTCACTCTCTTGTTACCACCGGTGGCTCTCAGCAAGCTCCTTTTATCCTTGTGTTATGTAGACCCGGATCGCCAGAGTAAAGTTCGCCGATTCGGACTCCCGCAGTGTGCCTTTTGCCCCTCCATGCCACGTGCTGGCGGCTATTTTGGGAGGCTTAGCAGTTACATGGCTGACGCGTCGTCGAAGCTGTGCGCCTTATAAGATCGACACACACCTTCCACCTCACCTTCCCCTCCTGCCACCACCATCGTTGCGTATTCGAGTATCCCGCCCCCCACTCTTCACAGTATGTTTCCCCTGTGTTGATCTGATCTCGCGCTTATAGTGAATCATTTACAGGTTCTCACTCGCTTGCCACCACCATGCCTGCCAAGAAGCGTTGTCAATTCCAGTCTGAGACTCCTTGCAATTCTGCAGCTCTTCGCATAGTTGGCCAGTGCCCACATTGCAGGGCAGATTTTTGTGGCGCAGTGAGTAGATTGCCCATTAGGTCGTGTGCAATTCACCCATCGCAACCTTTTCAGCATCGCTTACCTGAACATCATAATTGTAACAACCTAGAGGATTGTCGACAGCAAGCTTTCGAGCGCAACAAGGCGAAGCTAGAGAGCGAACGCACTGTGGCTTCCAAGATGGCTACTGCATGATGCCTCTCTACGTGCCGACAATATGTCGCTCCACATTAACATTTCTTTTTTACTGGCCTCTGCATTATCAGCATGTCCCACATCCCGCTACTTTATAATACTTGGTCTTCTATCTATTGCGTCCCATCTATCCATCCCTTCCCACACTGTGACACTTGTGATACCTCGGTCACCTCTCCGCCAGCTATAGGACGCTCGATCTGTTGTGGGTTGTACTGTTTGTAACTTGGTTTGTAATAGAATTCTCACATACACGTATACTTTGACAACGAGATATGTATGTTACATCACTCAGCTGGGCGGGGTTTATGTTGGACTTATTTGCCTAGGTATCTTTGGATTTATCTTTCTTCACATATGTATTTGTCCGGTTTCTGATCATCGTCATGACGCGCCGTTGAATCATTATCCGCCTTTTTCACGTGTCCGATTGGTCGATTCAAAGGAATTAAAGTGGTGGTTCGTCACGGTGCGCTCGGAGAGTAGCTGCCCTGAAACGGCATTGATAACGATAAGTTCAGTGGCCTTCCGCTGGCACTTTTCTGACTGCATTCGAAAAGTAGAGCTCAAAACCCTCAGCTTATCAGCCATTTAGGCTTTGGCCCATCCGCATCACAAATCAAACGACATGTCAAGGTATGATCTAGATCTAAGACAATTTTTTGGTTACCACAACCTGATTTAGGAGTCTGTCGATTGCGTGATATTCGTGCACGATGTTGCCCTACCCACTGTGGTGGGTGAGGGCAAGTCGCAGCATCTGTTACTCCTGCCGCAGAATGCGGCATCGCTTACCTCGGCTAACCAACATGGTACACAGGAGGTCTATAATAGTCTTTCTCAAGTTCAGATGGCAGGCAAGTGGCAACCGTCACGATTGCATCATTGCGCACGGCATTCAAACCCTTTTATGCTCCAGAATCATTCCAGGATAATCCCTTGCTCCATCCGACAGAAGCGTATCAGCTGTGACAAGTTTATCCTGTTCGCCGACCGATTGTCGGACTGAGTGTAGCGTATAATATGGATGTGTCACAGTGTGACAACAAGCCTTCCCTGTCACCCAAGATGCGTCCTCTTTACCTGCCATACTCTGAACTCAATCACCGCGCCTATGCCGTTCAGAATCGCAAATGATCTTACCCTAACCTCGATCGGTCATCGCGGGTTTACCGGGGACTTGACCGCCGGGGCAAGGCATGGCGTAGCTCATTCATGAATGATATCAAGTGACGCTGATACTATTGCAAAGGGGCGCACCGTTAGCTTACAGACCATCTCCGGACCTGATGCAAATCACATATGACGCTTGTTCCTGGGCACTGGAATGGCCTTCAAGTATGTTTAATGAAAGTGAAAGTTTCACTGCAGACCATTTTTAAGGGTGTTGTTGTACCCGACTTCTGGATCACCCTTTACTACTATTACCCGTGCACTATGGCCGTGCAATTTGATGCCCTACTAAGACAGCGCTGCGCTGTGTGTCGTTCCCACACGCTTGTGCCCATAGTTGACCTCAATCGTGACTCATGCAAGCGGCGACCTCGACGACGACGCGTGGGTGGTACATCGTGGAGAGAAGGACTCCTATGCCCATGTTCGTGTATCAGGTCAGTGGGTCATTAAAGCACTATGGCACAACAAATTGAGTAATGTTGGACCTTCGCCAAGAGTACGCGAGTGCACTGTCCTAGGACCTAGTCGTCGGTTTTGGTGTGATAACCCTGGCAAGTCAAGGCACATGGTTTGCGCTATTTACATCGGGGCGTATGACATATATCATTGGCATGTTGAGGTGAGTCTGCAGTTTTGATCTGGCAGTCAGACACATTATCGACTAAATTTGCACGTTACGTATGACGCGAAAAACATGCGTTGGACGCGTGGACGAGGCGAGGACCGGGCTAGTGAACTGAGAGAACAAAATATGAGTAGTAGGCTAGTATATTGAATGAAATGGGGGATGTGTATGCATGTGGATCAACAATTTTGTATATGTATCGGTATTCGGATATCGTGAGGAAGGAAAGTAATCGAATACGGGGGAACACGCATGGAAGTGACGTCAATACGTGCCTTGCTAACTAATATGGACGATGACATCACAAGGAAATTTACAGGTTTGTTGTTCCGATTCTCCGGACTTGCCTAAACTTGATCCCATTTTCCGCGGTGTCAATTCGACTTGTGCAATCTCGCGTCTTCCTCGAGCTCTCTTCCGTCCCGGTCTCTTCTTGTTCTTTTCGGCTTCTCTCCATCTTTCTTGTCCTTTCTTGTAATTCTTCGCGTTCTCTTCCGGTACCCACCCTGACTTTTGGCTGACACCTCAATCCTCCGGGCTACTGCTGCTGCTGCTTAATAGAAAATTCACCGTGAATTTACCTTTTCACCACGGTGCAAACTCTCATCTGCAAGCAGTTCTTCAGTAATGCGTTTGTATTATTTTGTAATGAACTTGTGTGCTAAACTAACCAAGATTGACTTGCTGCATTGTGGCCTTGCGTCATTTCTTAATTCGCTCTTTTACTGGGCAGCCCGTTGTCCTCGTGTCCCCCTCACTTCATTCCCCGCGGTCCTTCCTCAAGGGGTCTTATAGAAAGGCCTATTCCAAAGTCCGTCCCCATCATTTTTCTATTTCCTCAATGTATCTTAAGCCAACATGGGTAATGTAGTGTCTCTTGTCGATATTCAACACAGCAACCCTGCCTCAGAGGAACATGTACCAGTAGAACCTGTTTTGGAGGCTTATCAACGTCCTTCGGCTCCTGCAAGGACAACCATTCCTCTTTCTCGTATACATCTGACTTATCCACAGGTGCTTGGCGCCTTTGCGCTACCACTCATTATTTCCCCTTCTCCGGGTGAGAATTCTCCTGATTCGCCTCCACTATCGCCCACGCTTTCCTTCCATACCGCTCCTTCCACACCTGTTACCTCTCCGCAAGGTGAAGATCCACCACCAGATCCTCCGCCTGTTCCTATCTTTGGTAACTCCAGACCGCCATCACCACCACTCATCAATATTCCATCAATCGCATCTGTTGAAATCGAAACAATACCACCACCCGAGGCCCTTTCATCGCCTGACTTTGCACTAGATTTCACCCTCGATGATGAGGGTTTAAGTACCCTTGAAAAGATATACCTTTTTTCTCGTAGTAGATCAGCGCATCACAGGTAGGCTTTGGGTAGTAGTAGTGCTTATACACTGCTGAGAACAAAGTATCGTGCACAGGGTATTTATTTCACATGCTCTACCAGCATTCCTAGCGCAGGTATCGCCTATAGAAGCTGTCGAGTATGTCCTCCCGCTGCTTCCGAGTTTGTCTGTCGATGAAGGTGTGTTCGCCGTATAGTTCCGGGGTTCTCCGGCTTGAATGATATTTCTAGATGAGGCAGTGAAGGAGGCTCTGTCAGCGGAACTTGTTTCCATCATGTGGTGGTTTTTAACGGTCGGTTTACCTCATTATCAATCTTGACCCTGTGACATTCAATTTCATTGCACATGTAGCATTGTCACTTGGTCGAAGAGCCGGGTGGCCCGTCTAATGCCGATTATTCTCCTCAGCCTCAATCTGACGATCAGGTCACGTTAATCTCAGTCCAGGCGTTCACTCCTATTCTAGCAACGCTCCTCCTGAGTTCAAATGGGGTTGTTAGTGGCTCTGCGAGATCTGCCGTTGTTGAATTGTTGGCAAGAATACATAGGGCTGATGATCTAGGAGACCAGCCCGCTGATGACCTATCTTACGGATTATTCGGGAGACACGAAAGGACCCTGTTCGAAGAAGAGGTCATTCAGCAACTTGTGATAGGCATGGGACGCCTTGAACCAAGTGAAGACGAAACAGATGTGGACGAAGTGTGGTATACACCCGCGGTAGAGGTTCTTCAACCAGATCCTTCTTTACAAGGCAACAGTTCTGTCAATCCGTATTTTCCAAGCACGCATACACCCTTGTCTTCAGCGACGCACAGCTCGGCGACGGCATCGACTCTTTCTAACCTTCCTAGTCCACCGGTTGGTGTACCCCCGCCCTATCCTGAAGCCGTAGTCATTAGAGTGGACACATCACCTATGACTATATTATCTCTTCAGCTAGAGGATACTGGTCAACACAGTCCAATGCAGCCCACTGAGGGATCCTGGGAGCGCGACTCGATGTCCGCTACGACCCACACTGGATCTGCACATTCAGATCCTGGGTTGGACGGGCATGAAGGCGGACAAGACATGGATCTTGGCGAGCAAGCTGCTGTTGGTCGACTCTCAAGCATGAGTCTCATTGCTGCCGTAGTTGCTGGGGGTACGTATGATATCAACTTCATCATATAACTCTGTCGACAATTCTTGTCATGCAGGCACGCCGAGGGTCGATACTCAACGTGCTTTCGTGAGAGAAGTTGAACGAGTCGGAAGAGATCCTATTCACTGGGTCAGAAGAGAGGCGTCATTTGCGTTGGGTGCTCTTGCAAAAGCCGTCCCCGATGAGCTTATCATTGGCTCGCTCGTGAGTACGTTGCACTCAGACTTACTATGTTCTTACTACTGGTTCCCGTAGCTTCCGTTGTTTGAATCTCTACGTGCCGATCCCGCATGGCACGTGAGGCACTCCTCCCTTTTTGCTTTGCCTGCACTTTTGTCACGTTTGCCATCAGGCTTGCGCCGATCAGTTGCTGTCTCTACCATCATTCCTCTGTCGCGAGACGAATCTGCTCCAGTCCGCACTGGGGTCCTGGAGGCTCTAGGGGAAGTCGTATACACCTTCTATGGCGATGACCGCGGACCACCTGATGATCTTTTGCGACTGTTCCTTGGCATCGACAATAACTCCTCACAACGAGAACGTTATGCACACCCTACTCGACGATCGCCATTACAGGTACTGTCTGGTGCGTATTGATGATTCGTCCATCATGTGTGATGATTAACCAAATACTTTTCTTGTTCGTGCAGCGAATGCTCCGGTGTTGATAATTGATGACGACCCGGGTCGTCCGCTTGCGTGTGCATTTAACTTTCCTGCAGTAGCAGTTACCCTTGGCAGAGCGCGATGGGGAGAGCTACGGGGACTATACCTCACACTCGCGCAGGACCGCTCACCTAAAGTCCGGCGGACATTAGCTGCTAGTCTGGGTGAATTAGCCAAGATCGTCGGACCAGACAATGCTCAACGAGATATGATGAGCCTGTGGTGGGATGCAATGCGATCTGATGACGATCATGAGATTAAATTCAAAGCAATTGAGGCTGTCCCTCTCTTCGTTGAGGCTTTGGGCGAAGGAAGGGCGAGGAATGAGGTGATCGCTGGTCTGCTCAATGTATGGGAGGAAGGCTGTTTGCGCAATTGGAGAGCACGTGAAGGCGTCATCAAGATTATCGCTGACCTCGCTGGCGGACCTGAACGACCTGATAACATACGTGCACTGTTAAAAAAAGCGCTTGAAGACGACTTTGGTGCAGTGAGGGAGACTGCTATCTCTGTGGTGCGTGGAGACTTGACAAACAGTGGTTCTGATTAACAAGGACTTCGTCCTGCTCTGAAGATCTGTCGAATAGCACCGCACGACGTCTGGAGAGCTACGCTCAATTTGGTCAACGAAGATATACTTTCGCTAGCTAACTCTCCAATTTTTCGAAGACGAATGACGTAGGTGTATCCTCTACTTCATTCAGCCTTTTACATTGTTCTACAGGTTTGTTGCATGTCAGCAGGCTTTAGTATCCTCAGCAGGTGGGCTATCAATCTTAGTGGATGATGCAAGATGGCACACTCTCGAGCGGTTAAGCAATGATAGCATAGTGGGCGTTCGCATTGGCGTTGCTCGTTTATCTGCGTCGATACTTGGTATGTTTTTGATTTTACACCTTGCACCGCATTTCTCACTCTGCACTAGAAAACGCTTTGCGCGTCACATCCGTAGTGCCCCGGCGAATCTTTGACATGATAGATCATCTGCAGCAGGACTCTTCTGCAGAAGTCCGATCTTATGTTCCTAGTATGGCAGACTTTCAGCAAGGCCGGACAATATTCCCCACCCACTCGGATAGTTTCTTGACCTTTTCCCGCCCACCCCCATTGTCCTCATAGAAGCAAAATCAAGGAGCCCGTCTTCCCAATGGCCGCTGGTCGAGTGTTCGGCTGGATCTCTGTCGCTCTTGACACCTTTCCTCGAAGTCGCCATCGGTGTATAATAACTTTGTTCTGGACTTCCATCTGTCTGACTTCATTTACCTTGTTATTACTCAATCACCCATTTGTATTCTAAAGTTCATCTGTTATAAAAGTCAAACGCATTTTCCTAGATCATGATAGTAAGTATTGTGGGGAAGAGTATTTGTGAATGTTTGAACAGCGGTGCCGCGGGCTTTGTAAATCGGGCATGGGAGCTGATCATGAGTTAACGCAAGACGGCATTCTTACACAAAGCTGGATCTTTGTGAATCAGTTTCCCTTGCTCGTTTCATCTTCCGCCGTGCGGTTTGATCTCGCATATGCCCTCCTAAAATCCTATCGATATCAAAAATGAAGTTCACTATGCTTTTCGCTCGTTATGTTTTGTTCGGTATGCCTTGGTTCTCTCACCTTTGGGCGGTTATCACATATCCTTCGCCTGATAGGTCTTTTCGTCGTCTGTAATGCTATCATATGCAGCGTTGCTGTATGGAATCACAGCCTCGTCCAAGCTACAGGAGGCCAGACTGGTACGTAGTCATTCATATGGGTCATCACATCACTCTAAGCTCCGTCCCCAGTGCAAGTCGATGTCTATCTCATATTCTTGGGTGCTTTTAGCCTTACTTTTATCTTTCCAATGCAAGTGTCTTGTGTCTGTCTTTCCTAGATACTAACATCTCCCCTAGTATTTTCGCCGACTTACTATGTACCGATCCACTCTCTGCGCGAGTGTGGTTCGAGTGCACATGGGTGACGATAATCTGGCTCATGCAATTAGGTGCGCTCCTTCGTGCTTATCGGGATACATGTCTCACTTTTACTTCAGCTGGTGCGGCCGCTGTGACCGCAATTGCGCCGCATATTCAATGCTCCGCCCAAGGTTGAGTCCATCATCTTTTTACTGAGCAATGTGCTAATTACACATCTAGCTACCGAAGTGAATAACAATTCCTGTTTGTCGACCAATGTTCTTGTAGCTTTTACTTGGATTTGTACTATCATATGTATGTGTCCCAGATTTTCTCATCTAACCTTACTAATTAGCTCACTGTACTAGTGCTTCTTTATCTGTCTCTTCTATTCGTGACAGCGGTTACGACACAATGGACCGATCCAGGCGTATGGCATCACAATGTTCGTTATCTCCGCATGGAGTCCACTCGGCAATGTCTGCCTAGTGCCCAGAACTCGCCGATAACTCCTCGTTTCGTCAAAGGTCGCGGAACATCGGAAGTCCATAAACCTCGCTCGCTTCGCCCAGTTGCTCCGAATCCGGTCTATGGATATCGTGCTGGACTTGGTCCTGAGTACGAGATCGAACATTATCGCCCACATGAGACACAACATAAGCCCGTGGATTCCGCCTTGTCACTGCGTGAAACGATGCCTGCTCACTCTGTATCATATCCTTCCCCTGCTCGCGTTTACTCGCAAAGAATTCGTGGTTTGATTCCTCCAGAGATGGATCTTCCACCGTTACCTTCTCGACTTCATACGGCCATCACCTATTCAAAGTCGGTCCAATCATCAATATCGGTGCATGAGGCGCGAGCATCGTCCCCATCTCCATCACACCCATCTTCGTCGCCGTTTGACTGGCCGCGAGCAAACTCTACGGAACAACCTTTCAGGACAAAGAGGAAACCACCACCCAGCACCTCGCACTCGGTCCAGTCATCAATATCGGCACAGGAGGCGCAAGCATCGTCCCCATCCCCATCACCCCCATTTTCGTCACCGTTTGACCGGCCGCGAGCAAATGCTATGGAACAACCTTTCAGGACAAAGAGGAAACCACCGCCCAGCACCTCGCACTCGGCCCAATCATCAGTACCGACGCAGGAGGCGCGAACATCGCCCTCTCCATCGCCCCCATCTTCATCACCATTTGATTGGCCACGAGTGAATGTGATGGAGCAACCAATTAAGACAAAGAGAAAACCGCCACCCAGCGCTTTCGAGTTTCCGAAACGAAGCGCTCAGGCTCCGTCGGAGCTCTTTTCTGATGCTCCTCCTGATTCATTGACACATCCCCGCACTAGACGGCCTTCTGGTCCTCGCGTGCGGCCACCATCAGCTGACGAGACACAGCACCCTAATCCTCATTTGGCTCGCCCCGCGTATTGATATATGTATATGTATATACGATGGGAGCTGACAGCGAACTTTGAAGTTGAGTTAGAAAGTCGAGTATATCTATATGATGCTTGCTAGAACACGATAGAACACTTGAGTTTTGTGAGCTGTAAAGGGTTGATCCAGAGAGGAAATTGAATATTGTTTGTCCCGTCTGTCATCATCACAAGTTTACAACACACTAGTAAATCATGGAGAATCCTCACGCCGAACGACAAGCAGTGTTACTAGAGCGTATTCTCAAGAACGCTGTGAGTCCTATCTATATCCGATATTAATCGACCATGCTCATATCAGTACTAACAGTCAGCGTGCACGGAGATGATCCTCGAGCTGAATCACTGTGTGGAGGTGTGTCTTGTTGCGACTCAAATGCCCAGTGTCATCAAGAGTCAATTGCAGGAAATACTTCGGGCCAATGCTTCTGTAAAGATTGCAGCAGATTTGACGACGAAATACCGCAAAAATGTTCAGTATAATCTAGCAGCGACAACTTTGCACTCAGAGGCTCCATAACCATCCAAGTTGTGGAGGTCCGTTTACACTCACACCGGGTTATAAAACGTCTTCGATTCCCATTAAATAGTGTCCAAGAGTACGATATCGAGTCGGTGATCGTGTCGCCCACGGGAGCTTCAAGATAGTTTGTACTCACATTCTACCAATCACTTAATTGCGCAGCTATCCGGAGTTACTAGTAAGCTAAGCCTACTGCCTGCTACAGATGGGCGTCCCTGTTACTGTAATTTCCTTATTTGGACAATGCACATTTAGCTTATTGTTGTGTGCGTTCCTATTGTTTTTACAATGTGAAGCCTTGCCACGTTGACAATGGTCGATATTTAATGGGATCCTTCGTGGACCGATCCCTTTGTCTCTGGTGGACCAAACCGTATTTGCTCCTAGAGAGGTATCACTCATAGTTCTGTTAATCCCCGCTTGGCTTCGTTTTTCACCTTTCACAGTTTTGCAACAGTGCACGACTTTCCCTACCGTCACTCTTTCTTTCACGACCAACAGCACCATTAGAGCCAACGAAATGCAGAATTCCTTCATCATCATCCGAGCCATATTTTTCAGTAAGTATACGATATCAGTAAATGTGATTCAGCCAGATAACATCGACGCAGCCCTCATCCTTTATTTCAATTTGCTAGCAACTATATTTGCAGGGTGGAACATCATGTCCTCTACTTCTTCTGGGATGCCAGGTGTGTTGCTTAGTATGACGGTGATGATCTCGACTGACATGTCTGTAGCGCCTGGTGCAGCGGCATTCCTTGTCGTAAACGCTGCCCTCATATTCGCTCTTACAATCCTGTATGCATCGTGTTGTTGACCTTACATAACCCCCTGACTTTTCTCATTAGAGCATATTCGGCGGAGGTTATATGCCCGAAAGCGAGGCCTTCCCATGTTAGATTTGAGTGTGGCTGGACTGTACTGATGGGCGTGCTTCAGCTAGGTAAGCTATCGCTGGCAATAACATCTGAGATCTATGCCTCCTCTAACCACACTATCATTGGAATTTGAAGCTGCCAGCATTTATGTCACGACCGCTCGTTCCCCAGCGTTTTGTCAATCGCAATGTAAATATGGTTGATCAGTGGTTTGTTGCGTAACTGACTTCCTTTGTTCTTTTAGCCACGTGGACTATCTGCGCCTCTGCAGCACTACTTACGCCGATCAGCTGGTTAGCTACGTCCATCAGTATGTCATCATTAATCATAACTCATGGCTAGCATTAGTACTGATGATGTGACAATAGTGCTTGTGTATTGTGTTACGTTATGCGTAATGGCAGCAACTCATGTCCATTTCTTGCCTGCCCTTTGGAAAATGCCTGTGAACGCGGTTCCTTGGTTCAACCTCGCTGATTCGATACCTATCTCTCTTCCCTCACGCCCATTGTCGGAAATCTCATCGTCCACTTGGGCTGAAAGCGGCAGTTCTTGCAGCATCTCCAAATACATTGTGGACACTTGGGAAAGGCTTCATAGAGTCGAAGGACGTGTCGTCGAACCCTCGAAGCCTATCCTGTTTTCCCGCAATTGTCCGTCCATCGATTCTACTCGACCGGCGTGGGCGAAGCAACTTGAACTTCAGACTCGGCGTGGTGTGGACCAACCTTTTTTGACACAACGCTTATCGCCGTCTAGCAGCTCTCCAAAGGTACCCCTGCCACCTCCAAAAGCTTGTGCCAGACAGGTGTCAGGTTCGAATGACTCCAAGTATTCTGGGACTTTTGTGGATTTGCAGCTGGGTAAAAATACATCCTGCTCAACTTTGACGCCACCGACACCCACCATTTTTCCGAAGAGGATTGCAGATCCTGATCTGCCCATCCCACGACCACGATTGTCTGAGTGGATACCCGCGAGCGTGGCCAATTTTCACGCCGTACTCTGATGACCCCTTTTTGATCACCATCCTTGCACTTAAATCACTTTCTTGTCCCAATCAACATATCCAATTGTATCCCGTACTATATTTAGCTTTCATTCGGACTTTGGGTATCACCACCAATGCTGTATTAAATATATCCACCATCGTAATGCAGTTGTAAAATTTTGAATACCTCAGTCTGGACTAGTGACTTTCCAAGGATAGGTGACAGAAAGCATGTGTTATGAGATCAGCTTTCGGCTCAAAACTCGGCTCCTTCGGATCCGCCCGTCTCCAACCAGGCCACCCGGCCCCGCAACTTGCGATTCTCCTCGCGAGCCTTTGCAAGTGCAATTGTGGTGCCCTCAAGCTGCCTCTTTGTCACTTGGAGTTCCTCTGCAGTTTCTTCCCCTAGTTCCGCAGCTCCTACGGCAATGCCTGTTGGAAGGGTCGTGAGACGAGACGAGAGAAATGGGTCTAACTTAAAATTACCTCCAACAAGCTTTACTAATCGCCACAAACGAAGAATGATCAGCAGACCAGCCAATTCGCGTTGGCGTCCCTTGAGGACAAATTCGAGTATGAAAGTCGTGATGATAATTGCGGCATCAAACAGATGCAAAGTCGAATGCGGAACATCTGAGAATGGGTTGTAGAAGCGGACTCCAAAGGTCCAGAGGGCAACTGGTATTTCAATAAGAAAGAGCGTGGTTATGGCAAGGGATATAGTGGCCAGAATTTCGAGCCATGCAGGGCCCTCATCTAGCGGGGTGCATGAATCGGACAAAACGGTGAATCCGAGATCAGCGAGGACACAAGTAGCATCAATCACAATCTACAGCAGTGCTGCACGTCAACAAGAAGCGACAATATTTGACAGCGGCTGCTCACCAATGTAATAATGAATGTATGGAAGCGCCGGGACTCTAAAACGCACGAAATGTTCTCGCGCCAGACGTCTAAAGTCCCTTTGGGCGGCTCTATGGGCGCACCATCTTCGCCATACGGGACCGTGAGGAGAGGCTGTTGTTCTCCTGGACCGGACATGATGGTTTGGAGTCAATTGTGCCTCGCACCGCTAAGCGTTTTCTACTTTGCCTGTTACGGAAGTTCGTCCTTATTACAGCTGTTTGCAGAACGCTGAGCCGAAAAGAATATAAATATCGGCAAGAAAATATTCAACTTCCGACGGCCAATCAATCACGGAACAGAACGTTTCAAAGTCTACAGCAGCTTGAGCTTGTTAGACATCAAGGATCCAATGATCCGTCGTTACACTGGGCATCAGTGAACGGTCAATATTTCAATGCGATACATTGGAAAGACGTATCAAGAGACTGGCAAGGTCCGGTTTGTGCAGATGGACCCTGCATCCTCGACAACCCTGATGCAAAAGTTAACGTTGAAAGACTGATCTGTATTCATAGAGTTCTACGTTGACCATGGGGGTGTTGTCGCAGCACGAGAAGCTTGGGAGAGGATATATGCTATTACTAGTATCAATAATAATATATGTCCCTGAGGCCTGAGCTCAACAGAGTTTACCTAATAATTCTACATATCCTATCGGACATTGAAATTCAAACACCGTTGTTGTACATAAGTTATTAATAATACACTGCTTTGAGGCCTGGGAATATTGTGCCCCACTACGGCGCCCTACCTCGCACTTACTCAAAAAGGTACCACACCCCCTACGAATTCACTACTTCAGCGACCGCTAATCATGAGGCAGTGTCTCTAGGACCGACCGTCACTTGGCAGGGTGCGCTGAAGACTCGAGGCTGGCACTGCATACCACCTAGGCGACTAAATTTATCATGTTACTTCCCAGGAACACACTAGTTACTGCGGTAATAAATAACACACCGTGACACAGTCCTTGACTAAAAATGCAGCTGCGCACAGGCAGGGCTTATCCCATCCCTCAGGGTGTCCGTCTGGTACTGACACAGTCTGTGACTGCGCCGAATTAATTTTGTTTCATCGTGACCACGTTTTGCTATTTTCTTTCTTCTTTCCTATATTACATTCAACTTCTTCATCTTTCGATTTCGCTGACTACGTCAGTCCCCCCTTTTAATGGCTTCAAATACTTCCTGGAACACGTTTCGGCAATTTCGTCTCATTGTTCTCGGTGAGTTTGACATGTGGGATATGGCTGATTCCGATTGACCCCTTCGAAGCTTTTGCCTCGATTATTTCCTTGACATGGTCCATCATCATAGCCGTGTACATGGCCAACAATTGGTCAGGCTACAATTCCGGCGAGCGTAAGTAGCATCACCACCTTTCACAATGACCTGTACCGAAACCGTCCGAATCGCAGGCGGATTTCTGTTCGGTCTCGTTGTTCTTGATTTCGTTGCTTCGATTTTGTTGTATCTCATGTGAGTATTATCACTCCACTCCTATCTGTAGTATGCTCACGGTGCGCAGGATCGTCGTGCAATATCATTTTTGGCCAGACGCCGCGCGAACGGCAGTACTTTTGGGTCTTGACGTCGGTTCGTGTTGATCGTGCTGTGCGTACACCAATGGAACTCACGTCGCTTTTTCTAGCCGGTGCCGTAGTCTTCATGATTCTTAGCCCAAAATTTCCGTGTAACGCTTTCGGTTAGTTTTCTTGACTGCGTGAGCGATTCGTAGACTGACTGAACAAGGCTCTACTGCAAAATGTCATGTTATGACAATGACGGTCCTCGTAGGATCTTGGGCCATTTCCGCACTGAGTAGGTGCTTGTTTACACCATCCTTTTTTGCACGTAATGATAGCGATGACAGTACTTCTGTATGCCATTTGCCTGCCCTTCGTGATTTCTATCCCTCGTCCACGCAGCCCAACTCAAACTGACGATTCGGAGAATCAACCTGATGTTTTGGAGGTCACGGAAGATCTGCACATGTCTCATGCGTCGTCTGCGTCTCAAGCGTGGCTCTTCAAAAAGCAGGAGATGTCTCCTGAGGTCCCTGCGTCGGAGCTTCCGTTACCCCAGCACATCCCTGCTGACTACCAGCTTCCCAGCAATGCTGTGTCACCGTCGTCGTTGCACATGCCACCACAAGAAACACGTGATGATCGCATCGAATTGGAGATGCTAAATACTGCTTCAGTCTATTCTGACGCATCTCCTCGATATAGCACTGTGAGAACTATCCGTGCTCCAGACATTGCCGACAGAAGCCTGAATTCATCTGGCTCATCTTCCCCGCGACAATACCCACCTCACTTGGATCCTCTCCAGTCATCCGTTTTGCCGAACCCCTTCGTCGGCGAGGCTTTGGATGCCAATCGTGATTCAGTGGCCAGCAGCCTCTATGAATCCACTTGTGAATTTCCCACAGTCCCCGTACCACTCGCTGAGGCACCTCATCGAACCCTGAGTGTGATCACGGGAAGTTCGGCCTCAGTGTATTCCCAAGGAACTATGTTTGCCCGTGCCAGAACTACATCCCCCGCCAGTGCAACTACTCGTCTGATTGCATCGCCGTCGATGTCGCGCTCCCCTGTTCACATGTCTGTACATTCCATGATGGCTAGCGTTCACGATCATGCGGAGTATCAGGCTGCAAGAGGTGATTACGACACTCCCAGCCATGGCTTTTTGGATCCCCCGCTGACTGCTCTTCCCACACCACAACTCTCTACAGGACCACATGAACCCACGTTTGAACTTCACCTTTCCGATGTCCCCAGAAGAGATTCTCAGGACGAATCATTGGATTTTCCTCGGGACGTAGTGCAAGATCAACATCCCCCACTAGTGCGGCCCAGCTTGCAACATCTTCGCAATGATTCTACAAACTCTAATATCGATCTGGACGGGTGGAGGAGGCTCGTGCTTAGCGCTGCTGGGCGAGAACAATGATGATCTTAGATTTGGACTTTCACTTATAGTAATCTACATTGGCATTTAATGGTCTGCCAATATGACCTGGACTTGTGCTTGAGGCCCATGTACTTAGTACCCGTAGTACCCGTAGCTGCCTTATGAGGATGACGTACGTCGACTTAGACCTGTCAATAGTTTACTACTTATGCTTGTCGATCTCCTTGAACTCGTACATAACACTCCAGCTTCAGCACACCAAACCATTTCTACTGTTGCATATGTCGCTCTCGCTTGTCTGGCCATTACTTGGGTTCAGCCCATTGATCACTGCTCGTTCGAGTTTGAGCGCAATTCAGTCTCGCTCACTCTTAGGCTCTGTCATTTGTCAACAACGTTTACTTTCCGCACGTGCGCATGTGCCTCGGACGTGGGTATTGAATCGACGAGGCGCTGTACGCAAAGGGCAGCTCCTCCTGCCCAGCTTGCTGACAGCTGCAGGGACAGCAGGGATTGCACTTGGCCTAGCAACGTGCATCGCACCAATCATTCATTGTGACAGTAAAGGTACTACGAATTGTTTTCGTTATGTTTAGCTGAACACGGGTTGATCTCGAGGCACCCAGGGCCAGGTACCACACCCGCTCCGCCTTCTCAGGCCCCACCCCCAGAGTCCACTGTCAATCTGTATGAATTGACATTTGGTACAGTAGCTGGCATGTGCGCAGGGGTGTTTATCAAGAAAGGTGCAAAAATAGTCGCATTCTTCTTGGGTGGTGTATTCGTCCTCCTCCAAGTATGTAACATGTATTCTTGGTCGATGACGTGCACTTACCGATTTAACAGTACCTTGGGTCGATGTCACTCGTCCGTGTTGATTGGGCTCGTATGGCTGCTCGATTCGAGAACTTGTTGTATACGAGAGATGCGTTAGGTAACAAGAGGCCACCAACTATTTCATCACTGTGGAGATGGGCGGTGGACTTTTTAACAGCAGACTTTCAGCCAAGGGCGTCTTTCATTGCTGGACTCGCGTTAGGGTTGCGTATCGGTTGAAGCGACGCGGTGTTGAAAGGACATTATCCAAATCGGGCAAGAGAAAAAATAGCTCGTAATTTGTTCTCAGTCTGTAGTGTCTTCTATCTCTCCGCGCGGTCTACTATATCATTATCAGCTGGTTTGCTATGGGAGGGCGACGAACAAAGTACAAGCAAGAGCCTCCAGCTCCACTTCGCAATCCAAATGAAACTCGCCCTTCGACAAAAAGGCTCGGGAAACGAAAGGCAAATGTAGATCATGAGCCTGAACCAAGTACCAACAGCCGTCCCACGAAAAAAGCTAAGGCAGATAAACCTTCGGCCTCAAAGAAGCGGACGAAGGATCCAGAGAAGATATCAAAGGTTAAGCCTACACCTACCAAAGAAACAAGCATACCACTCTCAGAAGAAGGCGAAAGCGATGGGTGGGAAGCCGCTAGTGATTTGGAAGATGTCGATGGTTTCGCGGTAGACGGTCTGGATGACTTGGACATCGATGAGGAGTGAGTTCTTCCTCCCACTGTATTCCTGGCTAAAGTTTTTTTGCCCTGCAGCGATGACCTTTTACGAGGGGTTCCGGAAGAATTGGATCTTGGCTCAGACGATGAGGAAGTCGCACTGTTCCCACAAAAAGGCCGGAAATCTAAACAGGCTGAACGTCCAACCAAAATTATTCCAACAGCCTCAGATGAAGACTCCGATGATGAGTCTGATGACGAGGACGGGCCAATTACTGCCAAGAATATTGAATTCCGCTCTCGTGCCCTCGATGAGGAGGCTGCTCGTGAGGCGGAGCTTGATCTTGAGGAGATGCAGAACGCTGCCTTGGATGCCAGTGACGACGAAATTGACATGGAAGGGGAGGAAGAAGACACAGAGGCATTTCATTTACCTACGGCTGAAGAGAGAGCAGAGGAGAAAAACCATGTTGCTGATGTCCATGTCGTTCAGCGGAGGATGCGAGAATGTGTCCGTATCTTGGGCAATTTCAGCAAACTGGGCGCAAAAGATCGGTACGTCTCTCAATCGGCCGTTTTCAATCGTGTCTGTATTTTCAAGGACATGTGCAGGTTACGGTCGGAATATGTCGAGCAGCTCGTCTCCGACATCGCTAGTTACTATGGATATAATGATTTTCTTGCCGAGAAGCTATTCCAGCTATTTCCAGTTTCTGAGGTGTGTGCTCCATCTCTTTCTAGTTCCATGCTTATCCCATTTTACCTCTTTCGCAGGCGGTCGAGTTCTTCGAAGCAAATGAGGTATCAAGACCAGTGACTATCCGAACAAATACACTTAAAACACGAAGACGAGACCTTGCGCAAGCCCTCATCAACCGTGGTGTCAACCTTGAGCCGATAGGCAAATGGACCAATGTTGGTCTCCAAGTTTTCGAAAGCAGCGTGCCCATAGGTTCGTATGGATCCTTTACCCCCGAGCCATGCGGAGCTAAATTCCATGACAGGTGCGACACCCGAGTATCTCTCTGGCCACTATATGCTTCAGGCAGCTTCATCATTCCTTCCCGTCATCGCATTAAGCCCTCAACCGAACGAACGTGTGCTTGACATGGCATCTGCTCCTGGAGGCAAAACGACGCACATTGCTGCACTCCTACAAAATACTGGCATTGTTTTTGCCAATGATGCGAACAAGGCACGGACAAAGAGTCTGACGGCAAACGTGCATCGTCTAGGATGCAAAAACGTCGTCATATGTTCATACGACGGTCGGGAGTTTCCCAAGGTAATGGGTGGGTTTGACAGGGTCCTTTTGGATGCGCCATGTAGCGGCACTGGTGTTATCAGCAAAGACTCGAGTGTGAAGGTCAACAAAGTGAGGTTTCTGGCTTGTGGTCAAAGATACATTTACTCACATATTCATAGTCTGAACGTGATTTCCACCTCCTCTCGCACCTCCAGAAGCAACTCATCCTCTGCGCCATCGACAGCGTCTCTCCCGACTCCAAAACGGGAGGATTTCTGGTCTACTCCACGTGTTCTGTCACTGTTGATGAAAACGAGGCTGTCGTCGATTATGCGTTGCGAAAGCGCCCGAACGTGAAACTGGTGGACACCGGTCTTGGCTTTGGCAGGGATGGTTTTACAAAGTATCGTGGAAAGACCTTCCACCCAAGCGTGAAGCTGACAAAGAGGTTTTACCCCCATGTGCACAACATGGATGGGTTCTATGTCGCAAAATTCAAGGTGGAAAAACGGACCAAGATAAAAGCTGGTACGCAGGAAGCCGGGTCGACTAATACAGTCGATGGAGATGAGCAGCAAGATGTTGGATTTGATTCTGATGAGGACAGAGCGTTCATCGAAGGTCAGTGCCTCGATTTTATTGTTTTATATCGCTTGTTCATGTATCTCCACAGAGGGGAAACGTATTCAGATGAAGGCCAAGGGTCTGCGCGTACCTCACAGACGACAATCAGATATAGCGGGCAAGGTGGTGAAAGCAGCCGCGTGATATACGTCAGCGCTGTTATATTGCACATATGTCACACTTGATCTTCATCCCAAAAGACGCATGGTCTGTCATTGCGGCAGAACACATAACGTATCCATTTTGTGCACGATAAGACAGACATTCTCGAAGAAGTTTTTCAGTGGCGGACGATCAAAATACTTTGCAATGGAACCCAAGCAAAATTCTGACCAGCTGATGAAGGTGTATCGGCGGAGCCGGCTTGCAGGCAGCTGCGAGAGGGCGCGGGAGGTTGCTAGGTGATCCCAGGTACGCGAAGGTGGGCACAATAGCAGCTCTGAGATAGCGCAAGTAACAGGCGACAAAACGAAGCATCAACGTGCAGATCTGGACGCGGATCAGAGGTCAGCTGCTCTTCTATACGAAACCCGCAAGGCACTACTGTTGTGACGATGTCTAGATGTAACCATGAGTGGGTCTGAGCCGTGGACGAACACCCATCAAACGAATTAATCGGTGCAGACTCCTATTTTTCGAAATGGAATCGCAAGTGGTCCTCGTGGTGTTTGGGCGCAGATTGATGCAGAACGTGCGTGAGGCTCATCTGGTGAGGGTATTTGAGGGGCAGTGACCATCATCTGCGATAAATTAACTTGCGTGCGAGTCCTGAGACACGATGCGGGAATACAGATTTCTTGGTGCGCGAGTTGAGAGTTGGACTGCGATTTGAGTTTGCAAATGGTAAACGTGGTGCCCTCCGTGGAGTCTGAGCGCGGGTCTGCTAATGAAGGAAACGAATGCCGACTTCTGCTTGCCAGGGTGTCGATAGTCTGGTAGGATCTTTAGTACGCATCGAGTCGTCGTGGCACATGCACTGAATGACCTTTGTCGGACTTTGTGGCATGACATTGGTATGGTGGTTCCGCTGTGGCTGGCTAGCGTGTACGAAAATAGGATGTAGATCAAGATATGATTCATGCTGACTCGACATGTATGCACTCTAGTGGTATATGACTGGGATGATGAGAAAATGACGGTGTAGTCAGACCGCATAGGTTTCTCGTGATGTGATTCTACCCTCACCATTATTTATAGCGATTGAGGAGGAAGTATGTCTGAGCCCCAGTGCTGTAGTGTGCCTTAGCGTTAAACGTCTTCACTTATCGATACATAAATAGAAAGAAGAAAAAGAGTCTACGCCGTTGCCTGCACACGCTCGATATAATAAATGTCACTCTTATGAAAATGACACATTTGATCAGGACGCCAAGGTGATTGGGCCAAGAATGTCCTATGTACGCATGAAAGGGGAGAATCGAGGTGAACAATAGTACTTTGAGACCTCCACGGACGGCCACGATGATGACGACAGTGCACATGTCGTCATGACCACATGACAAGCCTGAGAAGTAATTCTACCACTCAGTGCTGCTTGTCTTGACCTTATACAGGAGTCGAAACCGCGCTCGGTGGCGAGCGGATGTGATCGGTATCCTAGTCTCGTGATCTCGCTAGTTTTGACGTGATCCGAACCTTCCTTTGTACAACTGAGAACATCCTTCTTGGGATTTGTCTCATTCTGACCACCCTACGCCCAACCGCACGGGCCATAACCTCCTCAAACTACCTATACTCACTTCTATTCCTAAAAATTCCCCCTACATCGTCTCAATATTTTTTTACGCGCAATCAGACGCCGTGAGAGATAACATAACCGGAAAAGGTAATCAAACAAATAGGAAGAACGTTAGAAATTAGGTTAGCTGCTTTGTTTGGCGCGTAAAGCGGAGCCAAATACGGATAAGTAGAGCCCGAATTTGACAACAACCATATCTCTTCCTCTCTCTTACTCCTCCTCTCTTCTAGCCTTTGGGCCCAGCGTTGCGTAGCACGCCCTTCTCTCTCTTGTCAATTTATTATCTTTTCATGTTCGTATCCTTTAGTCCTCTTTTATCTCCTACCTCTCACTCACTTGCTCTTGTTGACAGCTCACATTCGCATTTTTTGCTATAATGTCTGCTCCTGAGGTCACCGCTGCTGTTCCCGTCCCCGCTGAGGAAGTCAAGGTCGCTGAGACCCCTGCCGCTGAACCCGCCCCTGAGGCTGCCGCTGCTGAAGAGCCTACTCCTGTTGCTGTAATTTTTTTCAATTTCCCTTTGTTGCTCCGGCCGATTCTAACCTTATACACAGGAAGCTCCAAAGGAGGAAGCTAAGGCTGAAGTGAGCTCCTCACTTTGTTCCCTTGCTTTTGTAAGTTGACGCGTTTTTTCAGGAGGCCGCCCCTGCCCCAGAGGCCGCTCCTGAGGCTCCTGCAGAGTCTGCCAAGGAGGAAGCCAAGACTGTATGTCTTCCAATTTGTAATTCCACTAGCACACCTGACCTTCTCGTAGGAGGCCAAGAAGGAGGAACGCCCCAAGAGTCCCGGCCTCCTTGCCAAGCTCCTTGCCCCCTTCAAGGAAGGCAAGACCAAGGTAGAGAAGAAGGTGAAGGCTCCCAAGAGTCCCAAGAAGGATAAGAAGAAGGAAGAATTGAAGGAGGAGGTCAGTGTTCAATTTCAGCCCAACAACGTTGTAATTCATGGGTATTTAGGCTGCTCCTCCTGCTGAGGAGCCTGCCAAAGAGGAGGCGCCTCCCGCTGAGGCAAAGGTTGAGGAGACCCCTGCTGTCGCCGAGCCTTCCGCAGCTCCGGAGCCTGCAGCTGAGCCCGTCAAAGAAACGTTTGTCTTTTCTCGTTGGATGACTTCATTAACTGACCAACCTTAGTGAGACCGCTGCCGCTGAAGCCCCTGCTGCAGAGCCCGCATCTGAGTCTGCCCCGGAGGCTGTAGTTGAGGCCCCCAAGGAGAACAAGGCTGCCAAGGTTGGCCGCCGTCTGTCTGCGCGTGTGGGCGACCTTTTCTTCAGGTCCAAGCCAAAGACTGAGAGCTCGACTCCTGCCAAGGTGGACGAGCATCCCCCCGTGATTGATGAACCAGCTCCGGTTGCTCCCCTTGAGAACCCTGCTAGCTCAGAGCCTGCTCCCGTGGAGGCTGCTGCACCTGCCGTCGAGGAGCCCGTCCCTGCTGAGCCCGCACTCGCTGCCACCCCTGTGATCTCGGCTGTCGCATAAGCGCTTACTCCGAGGTTGTTGGTAATATCATGAACGACACGAGCGCATATTCATCTGCTCCTCTTTATTCCATGGGTATGTTGAGCAGTCTTTCTCACTGCACTTGGTTTTGGTCATTATCAGGATCCCTTCATTAGCTCTCCTCATTCATGTCTTTTACCCTCTTCTGCTACCATACTTGTTGGATTTGGTCTTTGCTTTCTTTTCACGACCCTACTCATCATGACTACATTCCGATCCGTGTTTTCACTACCTAATGTCGATCTTGATCATTGATACCCTTACTTTGCTATGGTCGGATCAGTTAACCATGTCATTAAAGTTCTATCCTGTAATGATGTTGGAGGGTTGTATGAACATCAACAGCTCACGCACCCTTTTGGCGAGTTGAAGTGTGACTCGACTTGATTCATGTCATCAACAAACCGGGCACCTCTTAGTTACCTTTGCTTGCAATGTCTCCGAACACAACTTCCTCTACTGGCAAGGATAAATTGATCGCAGATGAAGAAGAGGTTCTGCAAGCTGTTGTTCTAGCAGATAGTTTTAACAAACGATTCAAGCCGCTAACCACGCACAAACCTCGAGTAAGTCATTTCCTGCATCACGAAATCATATCAATATCATTCTCAATCAGTGCCTGCTGCCGATATGCAATGCTCCATTGCTGGACTGGACGTTCGAAAGCCTTGCTCTAGCTGGCGTACAAGAGATCTTCGTGATATGTAGATCACATGCGGAACTGGTCAAGACTGCGATCAAGTGAGTCTCTGAACCGCCATTCTTCTGTTCATGGTGGTTGATTGTGCGATCCAGGAATTCGAAGTGGTCCAAGCCTGGCGCGGGCCTCAAGATCGTCCCAATCGTGACTGCGAAAGAGACGTTCACGCCTGGCGATGCCATGCGCGACATCTACACCCATGGCATCATCACTTCAGATTTCGTGCTCGTCACCGGTGACCTCGTGAGCAACATACATATAGGCGATGTTGTTCGCGAGCACAAAGAGAGGAGAAAAATGGACAAGGACGCTATAATGACGATGGTAGTCAAACAGAGTGGCGTAAACCATCGGACGCGGTACGTCAGTCCTCGACCAAGTCATCACTCTACTCATTTCTCCCCCTAGTTCGAAAGGCGATTCTGCGGTGTTTGTGATAGATCCAGAGACATCAAAGTGCCTTCATTATGAGGCAGTGACTGGGTACCCGCCAAAGAAATACGCAAGCATACCACGCGAAATCCTGAATGAACACCCTGAGGTGGAGATCCGAAATGACTTGATTGATTGTTCGATAGATATATGCTCTGTAGAGGTGCGTTTGACATAGTTTTGCCTTATTCACTTTAATTGGTTTGATCTCTTCTTGCGCAGGTGCCGTCACTGTTCCAGGACAACTTTGACTACGGGGATGTACGGAGGGATTTCGTTCATGGCGTCCTTACGTCTGACCTGCTCATGAAAAGTATCTATTGCTATGTCGCCAAAGAGGGTTATGCTGCTCGTGTCAGGGATACCAGGAGTTATGACTCCATCAGGTTAGCGTCCCAAACTTGTTTTGACGATTCCATCGCATTTAACAGAAATCAGCAAAGACATTCTTTCAAGATGGACATTCCCTTTGGTGCCAGACGATAACCATCCTGGCGGCCACTCGTACGAGCATCTACGAGGAAACAAATACATTGCCAAGGATAATTCAGTGATACTCTCCCGGTAAGAACGTTTCCAAATTCTGTCGGTCATTTACCCATTCGTCGAGAATTTAGGACGTGCAAGATCGGAAACAACACGCTGATCGGTTCAAAATCGCAGATAGCTGATAATGCTCAGGTCACGGCATCTGTTCTTGGCCAGCGATGCATTGTTGGCGCGGGCAGTATAGTCCGCAACTCTTATCTCTTCGATGGAGCGGTCATCGGACCGAATTGTGTCGTCGAGCACAGTATAATTGGGTCAGGGGTACACATCAAGGAGCGCACTCATGTTGAGCGCGGATGTTTGATTGCTGATGGCGTCGTCGTCGGTCCGCAGGCGAAACTTGCGCCGTTTTCAAGATTGTCTAAGCGGCGGCAGGACAGCGATGAGGAAGATGAAGAATTCGAAGATGCAGAAGAACATTTCGAAGAAGAAGAAGATGGTGACGACGAAGGCGAAGATGGTGACGACGAAGATGAGGTCGACTCAGAGCTAGAGGACGTAGAAGCAAGTGGGTAAAGTTAACGTCTAGTCGACCCTAACTCATTATTTCTCCCAAGACCAAGATCCTAAAGCTCTTGCAAAACTTGGTTCTGACACCAATGCGATCATTTGGCCACTGCCGGTTGTTGACGAGGACGAGGCCATTGACGACTTGGAACACCCTGATAACCAGCGCTTAATGCGAATAGGTAGGTCTTGTTCATCATCAATCCACATCATCTGCTTAACTATACGATATTTTACAGGCGACAATGCATCAGATCTGGTCCTTTCTGATCCTGGCTCTGTCACTTCATCAGAGTCGGAGTCAGATTCTGACGATGACGATGATGACGAGCACTTTTACGATTCCAACCCCGCTTCCTCAACCACTTCGCTTCCGCTCAGCACACCTTCGAATCTGGTTGCACAAGCAGACTCGGCAGTAATATCAGAGTTCCAGCAGGAAGTCAAACAGTCGCTCGATCGTGCTTTTGCCGAAGGCCATTCTGTCGATAACGCCGCCGTGGAACTAAAGACGCTACGTATGGCGAGCAATGTATCTCTCCGCCTAGTGCGGGAGGCCGTGATCGCAGCCATGGTAAGCCGGATCAAAATTATAGCGGGCGGAGGCATTCCGCAACGACAGGAGATTGCTAGTATGATTGCCCGATGGGGAGGGTTGATTGACAAGATTGGAGGGGTAGATCCTGTGGAAACTGTCGAGATCCTTCAGGTAAGTATCTCGTGATGATGACTTGAGGCAGTTTTGAATCGTGCACTGCAGGAATATTGCGCTTCATCGGATCGCTTGCCCTTGTTTGGTCAGATTCTTGCTGCGCTCTACCAGGACGATATAGTCGACGAAGATGACATTCGCGCATGGCATGGAATGTCCAAGTCTCAAGGCCAGGGCGTCAAGCCTGCGACTCTGCAAGACTGTTATAACAAATGCTGGGTCACTGGAGCCCATATGATAAAACAGTTTGATGAACAGGACAGTGATGAAGAATCGGAGGAAGACTCGGACGAGGGCAGCGAAACGAGGGAACCTGCTGTCAAAAATCCAGTTACAAAGGAGCTCCCTTTGGCAGGCGGGAATTCTTCGGAAGAGGGTTCGTGCGAGGAAAGCTCGGACGAAGAGGACGAGGGTGACACTGACGAGGATGACAGTGAATAAGATAGATCAGACCAAAGGGGTCAAAATCTGGTCTGCGAGGTTGTGATAGTGTCGATTGTGCCCTTCCTTCCCGCGACCCTAGTCCGATTTATTTTTCCCGTGACAGGTGATTAATTATTTGTTGAGCATTCAATCAGTGACATAAAGATTGAAGATTGAGACGGAAATATCACTATACTAATATACTAGTCGGAAGGTATGTATAAAGTGTAGTGCATTATGTGCATTTTACATATTTGGTCATGTATGCATCAATGTCAGGAAAACGTGTGGGATCCCCTCCTGGATATACCACCAAATGATTAAGCTCATCGACGGACCATGGAAGGCTCAAGTCTAAATTGGAGTAGGATGTGAGACGGAAAGATGGGTAGTGCACATGTTGGCTTGCCTGAGGCTGTGAACGCCACTCAATACTTGAGAATAATGTAGAGTGCTACAGGCGACATGATGAGAAGGGTGACAACCAGTGACTCGGAAGAGTATTATGTGACATACCGTGAATGATTCCTGGACTGAGAACCGAAGAATGGTCAGTGAAGATGGCGGACAAAGTAGACGAACGATCTCACATATCTAAAGCAAATTAAAAAGTGGTTAGCCAAAGCAATAAATCAAAGGAAAGGGACTGACATCCTGCAGGCGATTATAGGCCGACTAAATTTGAGTATTATGCGACGGGCTTACCAAGAAGAGTTAGCAGGCAATTAATGAGCTATCACAGAGCTAGTGAGCGAGGCGAATTCCCATGAAGAACCTAAGTTAACTGACCAGGTCGGCTGTACACCCCCGTTCCAAGAATACACCTAAAGGAGGAAGGACGATAGCACAACTGACGGGTAGGTGAGCCTTCTTAATTGGACAAGCGGTTGGCGACATACATTATCTAAATGGATCAGGTTATACTGACTTTTTAGAATAAGGAAAGTAAAATACCTTGCAAATATCGGAAGCTGTGAATGCCATGTTGCAACTGAGACAACCATGCTTTCAACTGCCGTTATATAGACTGCACTACTCCAAATGACGTCAATTGAATTTGTGGCGCTGACGTCACCCACGCCAGACCAGTGGCTGTGTTCAATCGTCGTTAGTACGCCATGTCGGACGAATACACTGATATTTCCTATATCCCCTCTCATCCACCCGACAACTTCCACACTTTTAACTTTTACATCCCCACGCCACGTAATACATCGGCTCTAATTTGTTTTGTACATGGAGGTGCATGGAGAAGGTGGGTCTCTCCTCCCCAAAGAGTCTCATTCCTTACCGTCTCTCCTCTTTAGCGAAGATAAACTTGATCACGCTGGATTGGCTCGTAGACTCGCCAGTTTCACTGGATACGCAGTGGCAGTCCCCAATTACCGCCTATGCCCTCGTGAATTCACAGAAGACAATGCAATCCGCCATCCCGATCACGCGAAAGATATCCTACGCTTTCTCGAATTCATCATCACATGGCAAGGCCCGTATGGCACCAATTCAAACAACTTATGTTTGATGGGACATAGCTGCGGTGCTCATGTATTGTCATCGATCTTCCTCGAGGCCACCGAGGACCCTTTGCGTCCCTCATCCCAGCTTCTCAACAGCACAAAAGCAATCATCATGTCAGAGGGAATATATGACATCGATCTCCTTCTCTCGAGTTTCCCCACTTATAGGGATTGGTTCATCGAGGCCGCATTTGGCCCGCGGAGTGCTTACCGGGAAGTTTCAGTCACGACGATGAATCCGAGGATAGAGTACAATCACTTGCGGTGGTTGATCGTGCATTCAAAAGGGGATACCTTGATCGATGAAGCTCAGAGCGAAGCAATGTATCACCATTTACTTCGCAATGTCTCCCATGTTACGAGAAACTTTGAACAACTCATAGAAGAGCACAATGACATACTAAAAGGCGTCGAATTTGTAAAACTTGTGGGACAATACATCATAGATAATGTACCTCCATGTACATAATATTACAATCTTGCTTTCCTCAAACCCTCAAATGCCTTTTCAAGACACGAGGCAGCTCTCTCGCAATCACCTAGTGTGTTGTACAAGGCTGCAGGTGTTAAGCGAATCACGTCCGGTCTTCTCTCATCCCCTACAACGCCCATTGCAGTCAATGCATTAAAAACCCTATCCATCACGTCTGAATTAGGTGGCAGGAATAGAAGCGATAACTGTGAACCCCGACACTCGGGATCACGAGGTGTGATGATGGTGAATCCGGGTTGGCCCTGTTGGGCAGTGTCCTCCTTGCTGTCCACAACACCCCGTAATAGGCATTGTGCCGAAGCCTCATTGATGGGCACATAAAATCTTGACTTCATCAGTCTCATCTCCAGTTCGGATGTCAACCGAAGCGATCGATCCCGTAAGGGCCCCATCATGCCGAATTCCTTGAAGATCTGCAAAGAACCCAGAAGCGATACGGTCGCAAGGACCGAGGGATTGGATTGCTGATATCCTTGTGCGCCAGGGATAGCTGAAAACCGAGGAGGCATGGCAAATCTGGTGGCTGGATCGTGTCCCCACCACCCTGCATACCTGGTAGTAATGCCGATTAGAAACCCCAAAAGAAGTGGCCACTCAGCAAGGTCAATTACGCACTGTGGTAGCAAGCTGTTCTCCCATTTATTGTGCACGAAAAGCCCGCCAATTCCGCCGGGGCCTGAATTAAGATATTTGTATGAGCACCATACAGCGAAATCGACATCCCAATCGTGAAGTGCCATGGGAACATTTCCAATAGCATGAGCGAGGTCCCAGCCGCAAACACACCCCTTTGAACAACGAACGAACAAGTCAACACATGTTTAGCAGGGTAACGTGTGGGGTAATTGAATGTAGCGGATCTTCGCCTGTCTTTTCACGTCATGAGGGGATGATGAAAGATGTACGTAATAATCGAAGAAGATGGTAGTTGAACAAAATTTACCTGTGCCTTGGCTGCAGTGGTGATAGCCTTCATAGGAAATAATTGACCAGTGTAATACTGCACGCCGCTGAAGATCACCATAGAAATCGAGGGTCCTTCTTTGGCAATCAAGTCCACGATGTCGGACTCTCGTAGTGTAAACTCTCCTTCGCGAGGACACATTTCGATTATTGCTTCGTTCGGGTCATACCCGTGCAGAAGAGCCTGGGAAGCGAATGCGTACTATGCCGCATGTAAGAAACAGAGGAAGGATGTAAAAAGTCAACCACTCACCTGATCCGAGGGAAATGCACCGCCTTCACATAGAATCTTAAAACGTTGAGGAGTAGGTTTGTAAAATGCGGCCATCATCAAATGCAGGTTCGCAGTCAGAGTGCCCATGCATGCCACCTCCTTCTCTGAGGCACCTACATCAGGTACCGCATCAGAACTTCTCGATTCTCTGCAAAACGTGACAGTTAATAGTCACTCACCCACCAATTCAGCAAGTAGAGGGGTGACTGTATCGGCAATGTTCATCCATTCGCGGTCATAAGGGTGCGCAAAATGTCCTTGGACGGCCCTAATAATTTTTTTTCGTAGACAAGAAAACAAAGGGCCATCAAGATAAGGAACGGTTCGTGGTCTCAGGGATGCGCAGCACGTACCGTGTACCCCAAACATCTAACTCCTCTTGTAGGAGAGCCTTGGACCGTTTGGTTAATGGACCAAGAGAGTTTCCGCAAAGATAAGTGCATCTCTGATGAGCTGATGATCCAGCCCTTGAATAATCTGAGAAGTTACGTAAAGAGGTTCTTCACCATTTTCTTGTTGTATTTTAGCTCCAATATCTTTATTGGTTGGGATAATAAAATCCCTGGAGAGTACGACGTTAAGGTCATTCCAATCCGGAGGCATCATCAGGGTCGGGTAAAGATTCAGACTCAAGAGTTGATCTAAGATCTTACATAAATTTCATTATTTCCTTTTTTGTACGACTAGGATTAATGTGCCCAACCGTGCATGTGGCCCTCGCGACTCGTCCTGATAGTCACCCTTGATGAACAATAACACTCCTCCCCTCGATATCACCCGTAAAGTGGTTATCGTCGGTGCAGGTCCAGTAGGATGTCTTGCCGCAATTGCCTTCGCTAAAATGAAATGGCAGGTCGAGGTCTATGAAGCGAGACCAGGTAAAACGACAATGTTCTCGTCACCCATTGTCTTGATTCTTTTTTTCAAGATTTACGGCTATCATCTTCGAAAGCGGCTGCTCAACAACGATCTATTAACCTAGCTATTTCATCGCGTGGCATCGCCGCTCTACGAGCTGTCGATGCCTCTGCAGCTGAGAGGTTTCTGCAAACGGTCATCCCTATGCGTGGGCGGATGATTCACGACAGACATGGAAATCTACAAAGCCAACCATATGACAAGGACGGCCAGGTATGTTTGGTTCCTGTATTTTACCACGGCTATGTGCCAAGTAAATTAACATTGTTCCATGTTTGCTCACTTTCTTAGTGCATCAATTCCATAGATCGCACACTTCTAAACGAAGGCCTACTGGAGGAGGCCTCGGCAACGCCCAACATCCGTTTTAACTTCGAGCACAAGGTCCTTTCAGCTGATTTCGACCAAAGAGTGTTGTTCCTTCGGGACGGCAATTCGGGAACAGATGTCCGAGTCAAATTCGACCTGTGTATCGCTGCAGACGGGAGTTATTCCATCATAAGGAGACAATTGATGAGGGTTGTGAGGTTGGTAGACAAGTTTCCGCTCTCGAGATATGATTCCAGTGTGTTGATATTGTTGCTTCTCCATAGAATGAATTTTCAGCAAGAATATATTCCTCATGAGTATATTGAACTTAAAATGCCGGCAGGACACGACGAGCACGGCAATCCTGCCTTCCTCCTTGATCCGAATCATCTCCACATATGGCCTCGCCACTCCTTCATGCTCATCGCTCTGCCAAACAAAGTAATCACGCACGCAGCTTCTATGTGCTTCCCACCTGACGAGATTCAATTTCAGGATAAGACATTCACTTGCACCCTCTTCGCGCCTACTGTCGAGTTTGATCGCTTGATCACTCGCGAAGACATCCTGTTGTGGTTCCAGAATCATTTTCCAGATGCACTGTCGCTACTTGGCGAAGACAAATTGTTGAAAGATTTTGAGAAAAACCCCCGTAGCCCCCTGATTACTACGAAGGTACCTCTCTTTCGTTTCACACGAGCACCATTAGAGAGCTAATTGTCGCCATTGGTGGGGAGTAGTTAACGCCTTATCATTACAAAGATCGGTGTGTAATTCTCGGTGACGCTGCCCACTCGATGGTGCCCTTTTTCGGACAAGGGCTTAACTGTGGTCTCGAAGACGTTCGGGTGTTGCTCACGCTGCTGCAAGAAGAATGCGTTGTCCCTACTAGAGCTATGCCTAATTCGGGAGACCCTGAATCTGACTTCATAGACCAGAGGCTAGCCAAGGCATTGGCTCGTTATTCTGCAAGTAGGCACGAAGATGTCGTTGCCATATGCGAACTTGCAATGGACAATTAGTAAGTGAAGTCACTTGTGGTGCGTTGCTGGTTGTCATTGATTTCGCCGTGCATCAGCATTGAAATGCGCCATTCCGTAACAACGCCTGTCTACATCATTAAAAAAGCGCTCGACCACCTTTTGTTCTCATTGACCGCTCGTGGACCCACGGTCCTTTCGTCTCTGGGTGACTCATTGTCCCGCATCGCCTTCCCGACTGCCAATCCTCGCGGCTGGTTGCCTCTCTACACCATGGTTACATTCCGTCCCGATATCAGTTATGCTACCGCTAAGAGGAAAGCAGCTCGACAGGCCATCATTCTCACCACTATGGCAAGACTTGGAACCGTTGGCATGTGTGCCACGAGCTTCTACCTTACGTGGAGAGTCTTACGTTGGCTGCGAAGTCAAAGATAATGTCCTCACTGTTGTGAATTATCGAACCTCGTGCTACCATGGGTGAAATGCAAATATTGGGCCGAAGCACTTATTTAAAATCTAGAATTTTCCGTGGTCTCGAGCGCAGAACATTTGAGCGGTGATTAATTTGAGCATTCCGACCATGGAATTAATTCGCAGAAAAGATTGCTGGGAGCGCGTGCTCGTCTGACCCGATTCGTCCAAAGGAGAATGCCAGCTCTTGAGTCGACCCGAAATCCTCTGCGTTCACATGCAGACAAAAATAAGTAGGGACGCGTGTACAGTGATCTGTGGCAGAGATTACATGACCTCCGGTTAAAGTGACATTATATAGTCTAGATGTTGTGGGCCCTAGTAAAATCATAAAAGCAAGAAATTGGTACTAATCATGTCAAGTCGTAGAGAGCGCGGGAAAGCGATAGATCTGGCACGTGCAGATACGAACGAGAGCGGAGAAAATTATACAAAGCAGGAAGACAGAAACTGAGAAAGTTGGTGTCTCAGGTCTTCTTCGGTGGCCGGCCCCGCTTTTTCTTTGTACCTGATTCTCCAGCAGTATCAGGTGCAGGCTCTGAGACTGTGTCGGGTACTGCTTCCGATTTTGCCTTAGGCGGGCGACCGCGCCTGCGTTTGGTAGCCGGTTCGCCATCAGCAACTTCCTCTTTCTTCTCCTAGTGCCATGTAAGCATATGCAGAAATGGTAGGAACGAGATATGCACCTTCGGAGGTCTGCCGCGTTTCCTCTTAGCACCAGCCTCTGCTGTTGCTGCGGTGGCAGACGTTCCCCCCGACTTCTTGTTCTTGCTTCCTTTCGGACGGCCACGTCCCCTTTTGGGAGGAGGAGCATCGCTAGCGTCTGCCGCGCCTGTACATGGCGGAAATGAGACGCATTTGACAAGTTAAGCTGCTTCTAAGTGGCAACGATAAAGTAACGGGGAACTTACCCTCAGTCTCTTCGACTTGCTGTTCCTCTTCGAAATCCTCCTGAGATTTATCGCGTACTTCCTCTTGCTGGGGTGAAGTAGACATATTGAATGTCTTGACACCGGGTAGATAGATCAGAGCAGGGAGCGACTGTAATATACAGGAAAGAACGTCCGCGTCGAGGTGAAAGAAGGAAAGACGGGGAAAGGGTGTGTGCCCTTGTTTTATCGAATATTCCCCCTACCGAATATAGTGAGCATGTATTGTTTCCCTCGCGTGGAATCTGGACCAAAAGTGGGTTATATTTATTATATCGATCAGCATCTTCTGTGCATTTGCCCCTGATATTCGGGGACATATACGTACGTAAATGGACGACTGAGGATTAGAGAAAATTCATTATTACAGAGAGGAATGAAGACACTCTCAGGGAGATTGCCACCGCCTGACAGCGATGCGGTTGTCGCTCGACATGCCGCTGTTGATCGTTGTTGACACAACGTGGTTTATTCTAGTACTAGCAACAAATTAATATCTGAATATCATGTAGAATATGTACATATGCCTAACATAAAGGCATATGTACATATTTAATACTTCTGAAAGATATGTCAGATATTCGTATAGAGCCATCTCTCAGTTTTAAGGATACAGAATACTTTTGACGGAATATAACCATTCAGGCCGCCGATCGGCGATTCGCGGTTTAAAGCGCCACTCAGGGGTCGAATCCATGGCATCAGAACGGAGAAAAAAAAGAAATATTGACGAGTGCAAACAATATTCTGGCATTTCAGCATGAATGGACGGGCCGCGGAGTCAGTTCGGTCGCCGATATAATTAGATATTTCTCACGGTACATGGTATGTTGAGGAAGAGTCAATTTCGCTCTACGTACGTCACGATTAGCATGCTACCTCCTCGAGCTATAGCTTTCACTTTGTTTTGTACTCTCTCCTCAGTTCAGGCCAAGCTACTTTACTCCGGTCCAGAAGACCTTTACGCCTTCCCAAAGCATCGTGTAACCTTTCTGAATAATCTTCCAGTACAGAATGAAACAGCTCAACGGTGGTTTAACGAGGGACTAAGGGGCGGTGAAAGCGAATTTTTAGATGACCGGCAGGATGAACCTTCCTGGTTTTCCAATGCAGTATACAAGGAGATAGGTGGCTCTGAGCTGGAAATGTCAAATGACGCTTCGCAAATCTGTATGTCCCCTCGTGTTCAATTATACTTGATTTATTCACAGTCGTTTTCGGATCTAGCACAGTCTCCGATACCAGATAATTCTGGATATATATTAAATCATATGAAAATGGGACCAGATAACGACTTTATTTGCCTGATTCCCCCAGCCCGTGATGTTCCAATACAAGTACAGGAAAATATCGACCAAGATACAGTCCTCCGCAATGGCTGGTCACTGCTGGAACCTTTATCCGGAAAATGTCTTTATGTGCGATATTTCACTTGCTATGGTTCTGGAATGTCACTCAATCATTTCTTATAGTACCGGCAACCGTGGTTCACTTATTCATACTGTCACAATCAAGAAATAAGACAGTTCAAGGAACTCACTCACACGCAACCTCGCTCACCAGGTATGGTCTTCCCATTTGGCAGCGTATGATTCACTCACACGTGTACAGGAGCTTCCGAACCCACTGAGGACCCAGAAGTATGTGTTGTATTATTTGATTAGTACTTTGTAGGTGATTGTCTAGTGGGAAGCGTTTACTTTAGGACGCGCCCCCTCCGCACAAGATTCAGGAGCGGACGTAGCCGTCACGGATCGGCATGCTCAGGTCGGACACTTTGAAGTTGCTCATGGTCCAGGCTCTCGTTATCTGGTTCAACGATGGGGTGATGGCACATTCTGTGATAAGACGGGAAAATCTCGTGAAGTTGAAGTTCAGGTAACGTTATTTAATTTTTTTCCCCCAATGCGCTCAAATTATTAGTACAGTTCCATTGCTCGATGACGATGGCGGATTCTATTCTTCTTGTACGAGAAGCAAAAACATGTTCCTACGTGCTGATCGTACAAACTCCACGTCTCTGCGGAGAACCTGGATTCAAATCGCGAATGGAATTGCCAGAGCAAACCTTTATCCGCTGTCGGCAAATCATCAACCCTTCGCTGGACTCTACTCCCCAAATTACCCATCTCGAACAGCGAAAACTTGACGGCCATCGGATACCACAAGATTCCGACCTACCTTCCTATCTGAACCGTGAAACGCGTTTCGCCGTACCATCCCCCGCAGCCAAGAGTTCCCTGGGTCCCAGCGCAGGTCAAAGCGATGACCCGTCGGATGGGATATTGAAACGCGTGCTAGAGGCGTTGATGAATGATCCGGAGCTTCAATCCTTGTCGGGCGAAAACGCTCAGGTTGTGTTTGGGCGCGGCGAAAACGGCGAGATTGTAATCGAGATTCTGGAAGAGATTCCATTTGATGACCTCGGAGAGTCTGATTTGCAGGAAAGGGATGTGGATAACTACGCTCATATAGCAGAATTTCTTCAAAAGGCCGGTCACCAGTTGAATAAACCAAAGGACGAGAAGGAACAAGAGGATGACGAGGTCAGGGACGGTCAAGGGGAAGAATTAGAAAAAATTCGCGAAAGGAAAGACGAGCTCTGAGGTAGGCAGGCATCTTGCTGCTGGGTTGAACAGCTTGTTAATCTTGTTTCTGCACTAGGGCTCGAGATCTGATCGTTTCGACACTGTCTCTACTTAGAGAATCCGTGGACTATAGCAGACTGCTTATATTGGTTGACGTTCCAATTATTATCATTTGACTTGCGTCTTACCCAACTCTAATTTGCATTTTATGACTAGCTGGCATGAGATCCCCTGAGCCTCATGTCCTGATGCAACATGTTAGAGACTCATAAGTGATTCAGTCAGTAATGGGATTTCAAACACTGCTAGGTATGTTTTATTTGAAGTCGCCTCGGACCTTATTCGCAGTTTAATGTATGGCGTATGTGAAGCCGATCCAATCTCCCAATCTCTGAACTCTATCTTCTCGGTCACAAGTCCTGTTGTTCTGCTGACAACGTCATCAGGGACAGCTGAGTGTTTGTCGATACTCATCCGGATAGATCTACTACGACCATTGCCGGATTTCCCGGGGTCAATTGCAAGTTGCTGCCCTGGCATCTTAGGAATATTTCGGAATATAGAGAGTGCTAAATGATACAGCGAATAAGAATTTCAACGTAGCTTCCACGGATCTCTGGCATACCGTCGCATTATTTCCCAACCCCAAAATCTTAGCGAAAACTCACGTCGAATCGCACCAATCAAATGCTTGGGTCGTCTACACCACCTTCGTCGTCCTCTGCCTTTCTGCTGTTACCAAGCCTGAATCTTCGCGGCAAACAGGCGTGGTATCGAAGCTTCCTTCTATTTGATCGATAATCGAGGCGCTTATCGCCGCTGTCTCAAAAAGTCGGATCGCGCGTTCTCTGCATAACCTTGAATAACTCCTACAAGTTGAGTTTGCGCCCTCTGTAGAGACTAGGGATTCGAAAGAATTTAATTGCAGCTTCATCAGGTGCGATCTTATGCAATTTCCCCTCGATTATCTGTTACTCATGCTCCTTCGAAATTCAGCGGCGTTTGTTTATTGGGTCTAATTATTGGCAGGTGGCGGCTACTTTTGAGTTCATTCAATCCATCAATGTTCAAAAGCATGTGCTATTTTGACGGTGGTGCGCCCAATTTCCAATCTCTCTCCGTCGTGACCTCTTCATTATTATTTTCCGCTGAAACGTTCGTAATTATTTGATGGTTTGCCATATGCATCGCGAGCATCAGCATGCGTTTTCGTGATGCTTTCCATTTCCGCCAGGCCAGGATATTGTTCGACCCTTCAGCACGAGCCCATCGCCATCTGAGGGAACTTGAAGGTAATCGTCTGATCTGATGTATCTTCGTAACCACCTGATCATCCTCTGAATACGCCTAGATCAGATTGCACCCCACCAGAGCACGGTCTCGGTCGTGTGATCCTCCACTTCTCACCTTCAGGATAGTAGCGACCACTTTTCATACGCCTACTAATCCGAACCGGCAGGATCACGGAAAACGCACGAGATAGCTTATCGCAAGCTCTTGCCGCACTTCCCGCCGGCAGAGACTTTTTGCCAGCGACAAGGGAAAAAAAATACTCGCAGCGATGCGGATGGGTGCGACTCGCGCTCAAAATAGTCTTGACTGTCGACGGCAATGCTATGTTTCTGCACCCGTCGGTGCTCGTCCTCGGCGAGATATATTTGCGCATTGTGTCTTGTTTCTATTTATCGCCACAGGGCCCTCGAGGTCAAATTCTGACCGTGCCATGCCATGCCACTCGTGAATATCCTTGTATTTTTCCCATCGCAGGACCTCGTGGATGCGCAGTACGAACGACAGTCACCCGATCGCTGTCTGGAACAATATTACCCAGCACCTGGATAGATAACAAATGGCGCCCACCTACCCAACCCTCCCTGGCGCAGACCCTAGACGGGCCAACCCCGAGTTTCTATACACGGTGACATTACCACACCCTCGGCGTACTCGTCCCGATTTACCTTCTTGACCTCGTCCTATAAAGTTCAAGGGTACTCTCCCGACCACAGATTCAGAACAAATTTATTATAATTCAGGGGGAATTTTAACGCCTCTACATGGCCGAATCCACATCTTCCCACACGATGTAATCCATAATCGTCGTTGTATTATTGCCCTTCCGTTCAATCAAGAAAGGTAGCATGCTTTTGTGTGTAGGCGTAGAGCAACGAAGTAATGAAATGAAATGAAATAACATTTAATCAAGAGGCGAGAACGCATCAGAATGAAAACAACGAAGATAAAAAAGATAGCGAATGGACTAGGCTAGGTGGACGAGAATAAGGTAGATGATAGGCGTATGGTCGTATCGTGTTGCCGCGGCGGACACTATAAAAACGGGCGAGAGGATGAAATAGAATGGGAATGAACGTTGTGAATGATGTTTTGAGTGTCCGCTGTATGTACCGAACCGTGCGTATGCGTGCTAGGCGTTGTGTTGTATATACATGCGAGGGAAGATGAAGTACATATGGATCGAGATGGATGGGAAGATCTTTGAGGATGGTTGGGTGGTCGAAGTGAATGAGTGATCGAGGGTAATCAGATGAAATATTACATGGTAAGCGAGTCGGAATAAAATGGAATGATAGTGGCTCACGCCATGGTTCTGGAGCGTGAAATGGATGCAAGAGTGCCACTAGAACCAAGACATGAGGATTGGGAGGCTGCAGATATGGTACATAACGAGCGAAGCGAAGGTGGATGATGATCAATGTGAAGGTAGAGGATGATCAGGGTGATGGTGGATGCCGTCAAGATGAAAGAGGGTAATGACACATGGATGACATCAGGGCGTCGATCCGAGGTAAACACAGCCGTCGCACAACAGCTCCATGCGTACGCACAGCCAGACCAGTATGACACACTCGAGGGTAATGCCAGCCCGCCTCCCAACTCAGAAAAACCTTTTCTTGAAGCTCTTCTCCTCGTTCTGGATCTTCACATGCACATGCTTGGCCGCACCACTCTCCGTGCACGTCTCAATACTCCGCACCCACTCGTCCCCGTCCTCGTCATCCTCCGCACCATCTTCATCCACATTATCATCTTGCTCTTCCGTGTCAGATTCGCATTCCTCATCTTCGCAACCACATACTTCCCCCTCCGCCAGCGCAATAATCCCACCTGCTTCTCGTCGGCCCCACAGTAGCTCACCCATGGTCGTGCGCAGCTTAGGGTCTACACACAGCATCCGCCGTAGTGCAGGCCGCGTTTCGCGCGGTAGCAACCGAAATATTGAGTTTGGTGACGTTGTTGACGATGCACGAGGTCGTCTTCCGGGAGAAGTTAGCGTGCGCTCTGGTGGCGACGGTTGAGCGATAGGTGGAGATGATGATGATGATGATGATGATGATGATGAAGCAGTAGCCTCCTCAGGTATTGACGGCGCTGTTATACCGTTGGCTTGTACACCATTGACCTTCGTCTCCAGGGCCTTGCGCGTCAGAGACTCCCGCGCGAAATCCCGCTCCTTAGGGGCTTTTCCCTGCCCATTGATGGCATCCTTGATCTCCGGGTTGTCAGCCCTCAGCGCAGGTAAACTCTCCGTCGAAACTCCAGGGCGCGCAAACACCAACACACTCTTATCTGTTTCCCCGCCCTCAGCCAGGTGTGCACACTGCGAACTAGACATCGCCGGCAGCGTCGATGTCCTTGCACCAGGACTAGGTAATCCCAGCTCAATCGCACGCCGGCGTGGTGAGCTCTCGCTCCCTGAATCACTGCCAGTCGGTGACGATAGCGTGAGGGTGCTCGCCGTGGCGGTACATACCGACCCATTCGACAGCACCGACTTGTTGTCGTTGATCCCGTCGACATGAGTACTCGGGACATCCAGGGACGTGCTTCGGGAGTCTCGAACAGGACTATCTGGGGTGCTTATGGTGGGGCTTGACGGAAGGGGATCTGAGGACACAGGTTTTGCGCCATTTGGACGCCTGTGTTTACGTTTGGATTTAGGGCGCGGCAGTGGGCAAGAAGCTTCGGCCTCGATAAATGCTTTGAATGAGTTATCGCGCTCGCGGTCAGGGACTGCCCATGGGAAGCGCCGAAGGACCATGCAGACCTGTCGAAACTTTGTTAGCTTCTGCGATAGATCTTTTCATGTGGCGCAACTGTCGTTCCGGATGGATAGAGCGGCCTAGATAGGGCCCATGGCAATGCCCGAGCGACAGTTTTTCAGGATTGGTCCGGAACATGACCGTGGGTCATCCATCCATCCAGAGGCGTAACGCCCTCAACCATAAAAGCAAGCAAGAGGAACGCTACTCACAAAAATAACGCCAACGCCCCACACATCGGTTTTTCGAGGATCATACGAGCCACCTTCCAGGACTTCGGGCGCGAGGTACGGATCGCTGCCAACTATACCCGTGGCAGGTATCAATCTTGCATGGGAGTGCGGACCGGATGGTGGATCATTGGGATGTGGGGGTTGTAGAGGGCAAGGGGCACTGACATATCCTGTGACAACCGGTAGCGAGCCGTTGGATGTGCCAGTTCCAGGATAGGCAAAGACGACGGCGGTTCCGAAATCGATTAGTTTAACGACGTCGCCCTGTGTCATGACGCAGTTGTCGAGCTTTAGATCTCTATGTGCTAGGCCTAGAGAGTGAAGGTATGCGACGCCGTTGCAGATCTGACGGAAGACACAGAAAATTTCTGGACGTAGCATGCGGCCAGACATGACGACGCTGAAGAGGTCGTAGGGAGCGTACTCCATGACCTGTTGGGGATGAGGGGAGGAAGTTGTTGTGAATGAGCGATAATCTAACCTCGTAGTAATGGCCATGATCGCAAACGATATCGACTGTTTCAATGACGTTGACGTGCTTTAAACAGGCGCCGACGCAGAACTCAGCTCTAACTTTGTTCTCATACTCACGCTCTGATTCGCCAGAACGTCTTGGGCGAAATTGCTTGACAGCATAGACGGCACCTCCTACTTTAGTTCGTGCACGGATGAGGCGAACTGTGCCACCCGCACCGGTACCGAGTACACGGCCCCACTTGCCATACTT